AATTTATTGTACTATTCCACAGTCGAATTATGGGCCGGTGTTCCGGATAAATAATCTTTTTATTCTTCTCTGGATACTTTTATTACAAAAAGCTTTATTGGTAATCTCTGTCCCGTTATCCTATTGAATATCCTAAACGACGAAGCTTTACCTCAAGTTTTTATCTAGGATTTTACTAAACGCCTGACCACTGTAGATTTTTTAGCGATCGGTATACCCCACACAAACACCCTCGTACCTTTTTCACTACAGTAAGGTGGGAGGTTGCCCCGCCTAGTGACTTCGGTCATGGGCAGGTAAATCAAGATATAGGTGAGATCCGGCTGGGAGCCCATCATAGTCAAGATATTATAACCTTCGCACAGATTTATGAGTAGGTTTAGTTCTACACAAGAAATGCAGATAAGTTTCTCCATCTTGATGTTAATGCCGTATTCATTAAAAAATTTTTTTAGTTTATCTTTCTTAATATATCCCATAATATCAGGTTAATCATGTATAGGGCGTAATGTTCTGACCTCATGCAGTTAATCGCAACCGTTCAAATTTCTGCTAGCAGTCATAACTGGTGACACTTCACATAAAAACCAGGTCCTGGCCTCTTTGTCATAGACTTTTCTTTCTTTAAAATCAAAAATTACTATTTTATCCTCAGCATACAGTTACTTCACATTTACCATGTTTTCTGGTGTAAGTAACTAAAGTACCTTTTTATTGTAATATTTTACAACGCCTAAGGTCGGTATATGACCTTTTGTGCCCATGACACATTTATTAGTGGGTTGGAAATCTTTTATAAGCCTGGAGTCATCAAGCATAAGGCAGCAAAGCACCCGAATCCAAATTAATTTTACTTGTATTTTATAAAATAGAGAGTTATTCTCTATCAATTTCTTGGTTTCTGCAATGTTTTGCGATATGTTCAGCCCTTCCACATTAGAAACATTTAAATTTCAGCGTAATTTTTTCTCTTGTAGTCTTTTCACTTACCATACTACTCATATTTCCATCGCCCTTTTCTTTAAAGACAGCTTCGAAAAAATTGCGCTCAAGGCTGTATTCATCTTGTGCTCATACTATTGTTAAATCGTAATTCCCATGAATTTGCAGAGGCTACGTCCTCCAAACTTAATTTGAATTATTTTCGACTTAACAATACGTTTTGCTTAAAGGATGCCCATATCCCATCGTTTGGTAGGGGTCCAAGAAATTCTTGTTAGGTTCATTATTTCGCTAATTTTTGCATTCTATTCTTGAACTTAATTTTAGAGCTTATAAGATTAAGGCAGTTTTCTAACTTTTGCAAACTCCTCTTCGAGAGTCAAAAACACTGTTTACCGTGACAACATTGAACTTGTACAAAGCATTTCCACCATTAAAATAATATTACAGGCTACCCACCTTTTCCAATCCGTGAAAATCTCCCAAACGCATTAGACTCGGATCTACGTTGGCAGTAATAGCATGCCATGCCAACCCAAGCTGTCACTTATTGCAACACTTAGTATCCGTAATAGTTGCTTTAATAGCATCCATACTAATAAGGTAGGATTCCAAGTGAATACTCTAATTTGCCCATCCTCAAACTTTTATTTACTTACTAAAAAAGCTGGAGTGGTGATAGTTGATAATAGAGCTTAGCTATTAATTCTGTTAAAATATTGTCTATAAAAGTTAAAAAGAAATATATATATAATCCTGAACAAAACGAAGGTTGTTTTATTTATTTCTCATCTAAATATTCCCATTTATATTAGTTATTTCCAAAGGGAATGGAGTTTAGCTGAGGGTTGTAGTCTTACGACTTTTGAGCTGCTAGAGAAAATAGATAACTTAAAAAAAGCCTCGGCAGTACGAAATTCTACCTTTTAGTAAGTATCGATGACAACTCACTAGAAAACTACCATGCTAACTATTATCAATGCTCCTAGTAAATATTATAAATTGCGCTACAAAACCATGTTTATTATAAGCACTTTCGCTGCCCGCCTTATGTATAAAAAAGGGCTTGTGGAAAAAGAAATAATACCTATCACACATCTATAGTTAAAGTCACAACTGTACATCTATGTAAAATAAAACTGGTCTATAGTAAAAGCGCTATAGTATAGGCTATAAACAGAATACACAACCCGACAGTTTCTTTCGCAAAGACATTAAAGTAAATACTGAAGAGAAACCCAGTACTTTCGAAAATAAGTTAACTTAGTGGCCATAGAAATACGAAAGATGGCAAATTTAATAAAATAAAATAAAAAAAGAAACAGTAATTTTAAACATAATTTATTAAAAAGTAATAAATAGACTAAGTCATAATGAAACCTATTCTAAACATCGAGAGCGTCCATAGCTCTCTTTGTTTTAACTCGTTTTTGAAGTCTCATTCAGCCTTTCTCAGCGACTGTTACGATAAATGTAAATTATACAGACTGTTTCTTTTTAAAAAGCATTATTAAAATAATTTGGTCGTTTGCCGATAGGGACTAAACATCAAACATTATAAATAACCTGAAACTTAGAGCACATACAATATAAGAATTTTCTGAATACTCGAGCTCTCTTGATCAGAAGTAACCGCAGCCAATCACTTCCTAATTTACAGGACAATAATTTCTTCGATCTCTCTTGAAACTACGTATACGCAGATTACCTTAATTAGTTACTTATGTAATTATACGAACAACTGCACGTCCAGTCTCCTTGGTCTTTAGCTTTGTCTTCTGAATGCAGTTGCAAAATAGTTCAATAAACTTGCTGTTTCTCTTTATCTCTATTTTATTGCTATAAGCGCCACAGTCAACTAGAGAGATACGCGAGCGGAGGTATTAACTAATAAATGAACTTATTCTGCAACTGCACCAAAAGACAAGACAAAAAAGGCTGGGCGTGCAGTTCGTTATATAATTAACTACATATGGTAACTTACCTGTCCTTGGTTTTCCATGTGCACTTGCTGGACACTTGCAAAATAAAAAAAAAATAGTACTTAAAGCCCGTCACGTGAACGCCAATAACGTGCCCTTCGGTCTCATCAGCAGGGGATTAGGGCGTTTGGTGGCCGGTCATAAAGAATAGCATTGCGATTGAAAACGGCGTTTATGAGCCAAGCAGGAGGTCCCAGTGAAGACCTTCGGTTCACACAAACAACAAAACCTTTGTCATGAAGCACAGTAACTTGTTTTGTCGCACCGCGGATCGTAGACCCCTGCAGCAGAAGCGTTTGTCATTATTGGCTGAATGCAAGACGCGGTATCGTTAATCCTTCTCTTGCTGTATAGTTAAGGGTAAAGCGCCTTAGCAACTGCCTTAATCGTCGCCGCAACGTAGTTTACGTGCGACCACCACGAAATTAAATTATCAGTGATGACTTCCGGAGATGTTTCATTTAAGAGCACTTAGGGATATTTTTGAGATTAGAAATTCAGGGTGCCAACAAGAAGATAACTTCGTTATTAGGAGATCTTTGCTCTTCTTCGCATTTATAGCAACTTTTTATTCAGGCACCAGTCAGTCAGACATCAAGATACCGCTGCAGACGCTGGCATAGCAAGGAAGGCGATCTCGGCGAGGAGTAAGTGATTGTATCGTCAGCGTATAGAGCGTAACAGAGATAGATTAAAAGTTTTTTTACTTAAATAGTTTTTTATATCTTCACGTGACACAAGCACCAATTTAATAGCGAAAAGGGTCACTTACAACAGCGGATTACTGATTATTACGTTGCTCCCCGCCAAAATACTTAGAGCACAGAAACACAGGATGCACTGAATCCATAAACCACCTAGACAAACGCACAACAAGCGGACATTAAAAAATGATTAAACTTTCATGATCGTTTAGGTTGTTTTCGGACCGGAGGGCTTATAGGAAAGCAACTATGTTGAAGCTATCCTCAAATACCTTTTAATATTTTCACAATGGCTTGGTTTGACCTCCAAGGAAGTTTCTTTTAAGGGTTAGTTTTATAGGGGATAACTTTGTATTAAACACTTAGATTGATTCTTTTGAAAGCTTCACTTCGTTTATGGGAAGGCCCTTTTTCCATTTAACCACGTGTTATTTAGCCATGAACTTGTCCGTCATCTTTAATGCAGATGCACTTAATAAAATAATTAAAATGCCGAATAACCGACTTTTAGGCAACTAGAACTATTATATAGTTTGCGCTGCTGATCTACATTCTACCCTGCGGTATTTTTTATGTATAGTAAATGGGTGTCATCATATGTAAAAACATAAGAACCAAATTAATTATTTATAAAAAATAACAATTTCTGTTTTTTAGCGATAAGATTTTGCAATTTCTATCGCTTTTGTTTTTTTTAACTACCGCCCTTTATATTTTTATTAATATATTACTCTTCTTATTGGATAGCTTAAAACACACGATACCACACAAACTATTAGCACGAAAAAAATGAATATCGTGAACTTGTTAACTAAACTATTGATATAAAAAAACTTTAAGTGACCAAAATGGATGAAAGTTTATATAAAATTAATTGCAAACCAATACTAGGCTGTTAACTTTTTACTTTTCTCTTTTTTGTTCTTCTAACGACCTTGTAAATAAGACACTGTTAATCAGCGTGAAAAATTCTAGCTGCTACATCTAATTAATATGATAATTAAGATAAGGTAATAATAATTCACGTAATAGATATTATTAAAAAAAAAAATTAATAAAAATGCAATGTTTAAAGTAACATGAACTAGTGAAAATTGTAAAGCTTTTTTTTCTCGTGAATTTCTGTGAAAAATTGTGTGGCTAATCTCCAAAATGAATTTTTTAGTCTCCCGTTTGGTGTGTTTTGTACCCTCCGAAGTACTTTTTTTTGATATAATTTATTGCTGTATAACATTGTTGTCTCGGTTGGTCTACCTCGCTTGACTCATATCCTTAACTGTTTTATTATGGATTAGAATTTTATTATTCTTAAAACTTCCCAACTTCTTTTTAAACTAATTTCATATATTTATATATTTTATAAAAGGTTCAATTATATTACTTTATAAAACAGCTATATTTCTACTTTATATATTATATGCAATGTTAAACGCCACTTCCAACAGGTTTTTTTGTTTCTAAATTCTTACTATAATATTAATATTTTTGTATGGAATATTTTATTTATTTTTTCTAGCTTCCATAGTTTATTAAAATCATTGTAGTATTAGTTATTTTCTACAATTTAATTTGTGTAATTTACTTTTTATGATCTTTTACTTATAATTTTTGTTTTTTCCAACAGATTGTTTTCCGGTCTCAATTTCTCTAAGCCAAAATGTGATCCTCCTACTCCAGAGGATCACTTACTTTCACCTGCTAGCCTCAAGCGCAAGGTGAGCTAACTCTCACTTTTATTAGGTCTCTAATTAATATACACTTTTTATTATTTAGATTGAATCGGAACGCTTTTCTGATTTAAATGCTCGTTTAAAGCGTTATTTTCAATTAGTTCGGGAAAAGTATCCCGACGAAGTTGAAAAGGTGGAGACTCGACTTAAGAAAGAACTTTCAGCCGAAAAGGTTTATTTATTTTGAAATTTAATATTAAACTTTTTATTTTTCGTGTTTTACCAGGAAAAACACAAAAAACAATTGGCTATATTAAATTTAGAGATTGAAAAAGTTCGAGGTACTTTTAAATATAACTAAATCCTTTTTGCGTATAATAAATTTTGCCTATAACAGAAACTAATTCCGAACTCTCTGCTAAAGTTGAGCGACTAAAGGTTCAGCATACGAAGGAAGTTGAGCGTCTTCAAGAGGAAAAACGGAGCATCACTAACTCCATTACAGAATTACATGCTTCTTTGCTTGATAAAGAAAAGATTATTAAGCAGCTTACTGAGGAAAAAAAGGCGGAATTTACTGAGACTAATAATTATTATTTTTTATTGCTCTTTTAATTTAATTTTTATAAGTTTTGTAATTAGTTATTTAGTTTTATCAGTTTTTGAAATTTTATGTTGGTTTTTTTTTACTGGTAACGAACAAACCGGTTGATAAAACTTATTATTTTTATAAAATATAAGTATTATTTTATTATAATCGTTATTATTAAGTAATATAACTATTAGTTAATTTATTTTATTAAATGCTTTCAATAAATTCATTATAGTTTTTTTGTTGAGGAAGACTGGATATATAAAAATATATTATCATTAACTGTTCTATTGAATTAAAATTCTTCTTCACGTAATAAAAATAGATGTTATTTATGTCAAAATCAATTTACTTTAAGAATAAAACTGGATGTATGGAAAATTATTACTTTTTATATAAATATAATTTTTAAAAATTTAACTTTTTTTATTTATTTTTTTTAAATATAATATACTTGGATGTTATTTATTTGAAATAAAGTTGTTAGTAATTTTTTATTATGATTTTACTATTTACTATTTTCTTAATACCTTTTAGAGAAGAGGTGCGTATAGTTCTAATATATTAATCTGTTTTTTTTAATTTCTAAAAACTATTGCGATCTTTTTATCTTATTTTTACTATAATATTTGGTTTATCGAGTTTTATTCAATTTATACTTTTTTTTATTTTAAGCAATGTAAGAAGAAATTATCATTAAACTTTTTATTCATTTTAGGTATTAGATTTTGCGCTGTTATTGAATTTATTTTATATTCTGTCATCTACTCTTTTAAGTTATTGCTATAATATAATTTTTTTTAATTCGAAATATTTTTGGCCGTACAACGAATATTTTATTTTTTTTACCTAAAAATTTTGAAGTTATTCTACCTTTAGGGTTTTAATAAAGAAGAAACTAATTTGAAAAAAGAAATTCGTAGTCTTCAAACAGAATTAAACCAATCTAATTCAGATAAAACAAAAGTTATTACGGGTTTGCAAGAGGATTTAAAAAAGCAACTCGACGAAAATAATCGAATCAAAGAAAGCTTGAAGAATCAGTTGGACGCTTTAAAGAAGTATAAATTAAATTTTTTTTTGTCGCTATCTTATAATAGTTATATAAAACTGTATTATAAGGTTAATTTATATATTATTATATTTTTTAAAGTGAAGGAAGTAAAAGTTTTTAATTTTATTTATTTTTGTTGATTTTTTGTTGCAATAATTATAAAGTTAATTTAATATCAAAATAATTTTCTTAGTTGGACACCTAAAGAAGTATAGTATATTAATTTTCTATTTTTCTTAAGTAAAAGCTCATATAAAGTTAATTTTATAATTTTATATTGTAATTAACAATTTTTTTAATATTTTTTATATTATTTTTATTGAAACAGTTGCTTATATCTTAAGTTGGACGCTTTAAAGTAGTATAGACTATTAATTTTTTTATTTTTTTCTAAAGTTATGTTTTTAAATTTTAAATTAAAAAACTTAAACTTATTTTTTCATTTGTTTTAAGTTTATTAAATATATTTTTTATATATTAAATTTTTCACATCGTAAAGTTTTAAGTTTTTCTAAAAGTTTTACAAATTTTATTAATTAAGTTATTTTTTACAGTATTTAAATTAAATTTTTAATTTTGATATAAATTAAAAGATTTTTGTTTAACAATTATTTTAGGTTCTTTTTTTATATAACTCCAATTTTTATTGAAATTTTTATATTTTTATTAGAATTATCTCCTTATTGTATTATTAAATTAATTGTTAATTTTTTTCAAATCTGTACTTAATTATTTGTTATAAATAATTTTATGTTAAAAAAAATTTTTTGCTTTAACTTTTTTAAGTTTTTGAATTTTTTTGGAGATTTTTGAAAAAACTTTATGAAATTTTTTTTTAATTTTTTATTTTTAGTGTACCTTAAAATTTTATAAATTTTTTTACATTTTTATTTTTAAATTCTATGCTCTATTATTAATAAACTGAATTTATACTTTTAAAGTTATTATGCGCTTCAGTTTTTAATTTTTTGAAATTTAATATTTTAATTTTCATTTTTTAATGTTTTTACGGTTCTTTAAATTTCTGTAATCTAATTAAAGTATTATTTTTTAAAAATAAATTAATATTTAGTTTGTGTTTACTTTCTATTAATATCTCATGAAATTTTATTATAAGTTATTTTGTAAATTTTTATTACTATTTTTAATGTATTCAAGTAATTGTTTAAATTTGATATTTTTACTGTGCCTTTGCTTTTTTTGTAATATAATTTTAATATATTTTATATTATATTTTATATTCGGTACACACTAGTTTATTTACGCTATTGTTGCTGTTATTTATTAATTTATTGTAAATCTGTGATATCTTTTAACTTTCCTGATTAAAATTATTTTACTTAATTAAAAAATTTAAAATTTCTTACGAAATTTTTAATTGTTTTTAAATTTTTGCTAAAATCTTATACTAACTTCTTTTTTATATAAATAAATTACAATTACTTTTATAATATATATATATATATTTATTTTGACACAATATTTTTTATAGTTAATTTTATAAATTTTATTTTATTATGAACTTCTAGAATTTATAAGTTATTATAATTTACATTATATAAATATTTTTCTTGATAAATATTTATTTTAAATTACTTTCTTTGTAGTTTTTTAATTAATGATTTTTTGTATAAATTCGTTAAGGGGCTTTTTCTAGTTATTATAATTGTTTTATAATTAAAATTAGTGAATTTTTTTTAATGTCTCTTATATATTAAAGAGAATATAAAGAAAAAGAAGAAAAGTTGTTATCGGACTCTGCGGCTCGTTTAGAATTGCGCTTGTCTCAAGCTACTTGTAATTAATTAATGTTTATAACTGTACTATTTTCTAAATTATATTTATTTTTTGCTATATTAACTTTATTATAACTTTAATAAATATTTTTTTGTTTCCTTTACTATAAAAGCTTTCTTTATAATTATATCAGAAATATATATAAAATTATATATTTACTATAAAAATAGTTTTCTGTGTGAATTTTAAATTTTCTTATATATTTCCAATTAACTTTTTAATATCTCCTTATTTATATTGGTATAATTATTTTTGTAGTTAACCATGTGCGTTTATTACAGGAAAGCTTAAATTTTTAATTTTATTCACGAAATTTTTATTTTTAAAATTAATTATTTTAATTTTTCTCTTAATTTTTTTATATAAATGTTCATAATTAATATTATTTAATACTTTTATGTAAAAGTTTGTTTTTTCTAATTTTGTTAAATACTTGTAGTTGTTTTCAAAAAAGTTTAATTTTTATTAATTTTTATTTTAGATTGGAACACTCGATTATTAATTATATATTGTATTAATGTATTAATTTATTTTTATTATTTTTATCAAATTTTATTTTTTTAATTTTTATATATAAATTTTAAATTTATTATCATACTTCTTTTAAAATTTAAAAGTTATAGTAGTTGCCAATTCGGAGTGTATAAAGTTTTTTTCAAAACTTCTGTAAAGTTAATAAACTAATTATAAAATTTATTAAATTTAATTTAATAACTAATTTTGATATTTGTATAACTTTTTATAATACCTCTACTTTATACTTTTATACTTGTACAGTTAAATTATTAACTAAATTAACGTTTATAAATTATATCTAATTTATGAAACTTTTAAACTGATAACAATTTGTTTATTTTAACAATTTATATAAGTTTTGTGAATAAATTTACTTTGAAATTATCTATATTCAAAAAATCAAATATAAATTTATTTAAATAAGGTTTATTATTTTTAGTAACTTTAACTTTAATTTTAGCGGAGCATGAGAAAAGGGAACAGCAATTACTAAAGAAAACGGAGTTACAGTACCAAAATATTTTGAAGGCTAAAGATTCGGTCCACAAAAAAATAATTTAATTTTTTTTGCTTATTACTATTATTATTATTATTATTATTATTATTATTATTATTATTATTATTATTATTATTATTATTATTATTATTATTATTATTATTATTTAAGGAGTACAATGCAGTGCTGAGCGAGAGAGACAAGGTTTTAAGAGAGCTCGACGTGCTTTCTAAAGAAAATTCTGAACTTAAAAATAAACTTGAATTTCTGAATCAACAAATTAATTCGGTGAGAAAAAGAAAATTGTTTTTTGTTAAAGATTTTTGTAAAAATGGACCTGAAGTTTAACTTGCTTACTCTTTATGGTTTTTATTTTATATTAATTGGCCGGAAGCGGTTCAACTTTTTTTTAAGGCGTGTGTTTTGTTTAAAACAAAAGTACAAACAAATATATATATATATATATGTGTGTGTGTGTGTGTGTAAATTAAATTTTAAGTTTTTTAACTATTTTTAGTAAGATCGGCAATTTATTATCCATTATAAATTTAAATAATTTTTTTTATTGCTTTAAACTTATTATGAATCTGTATATCTCTAATTTTATTTTTATATTTTTTTTTACAGAATAAAATTAGTATTAACTTTTTAATAGTTAACAGTTTTTTATAGTTATGCTTTTCTAAAGTTATTAGAGGAGAATTATTTTTATTATGTGACGGAAGTGAGGTTTTCTTCCTTTCATCGATTATTCAAATTTCCTTTAATAATTTTACGCTGTTTCTGAACGTTGTATAATACCTTCTTGAACTTTTTTAAATTTTTCCTTTTTTTTTTTTTTTAACATAGTGGTTCTTAAGAATTACTTATTCTTTGCGTATATATTTTTTGTTACATTTATTATTCTTATATTTTTTAACTTTGTAATTCTTAAATAATTATGAAAATTCATTTTTGAAATTAAATTTTTTATTTTTAAGTTTTTTCTTTTCATAACTTGTGGTATTCTTTTTTTACACTTAATATCTCTTACGTTTTATTAGTTGTATTTTACTTTTTAATTACTTTTTATTAATTATTTTATAATTAAAATTTTGTTTATAAAGTAATCCCTTTTTGTATTTATATACTTTCTTGTAGTTGTAACTTTCATATAATTCTTCTATAAGTATTTTTTTGTATTTTTTCATTCAAAGATACTTTTAGTTTTTTTGATATAAAAATTTCTAGACTAAATTTACTTTATTAGATTTTGAAATAACTAAAAGATCTGAATTATTTTTTTATTTTTTTAATTTTTAAATACAAAAATACATTTTTAAGAAGAATCAGAAAATACTTTAAAGCTTTATGTAAATAGTTTTTAGAAAATAGTTTACTTTATTGAAATTTTGTTTTTATACTATGGAATTGTTATTAGTAGTTTTTTTAATTTTTAACAATTTTTTAAAAACTTTGAAAATTTATTTTTTTAATTCTTTAATTTTTTAAAAATTATAATATATACATTAAATTTTCACTTAAGGGTTTCTGGGCAATAATTTTACTTCATTAACTTTGGAATTTATTATAGATACTAGAATTTTATTATTATTATCTTTGATCTTATAATTATTATTTAAGTATGAACACGAAGTGAAAAAATTAGAAGATGGAAGAGCAGAACTCCAATTAGAAATTGAATTTCTTGACGGTTTACTCAGCGAAGAAGAAAAACGATTGGCTCTTACTTCTACCAACGCGACGCCCATCACTTTTTTTTATAATGGTACAAAAATTGAGGTTTGCTATTTATGATTTACTTGTGATTATGGATTTCTTTAAAAAAAAATTTAGAAATTAATATAAATTTATTTTTATTAGAGCGGGCGAAAGAGACGCAGAAGTTCTATAAAACATGAATGTTTGCTGAATTTAAATATTTTTATTTATCTTTTAATATAATTACTTTTTAAATTTAGTTAGCCAAGGTGCTCCTTTTGCCAAAAGAAATAATATCGTTCATCTAAAGGTTTACTTCTTTTATTTATTTTATTTCTTAATTTTTACGTTAATTTTTTATATTTTTTAGGCTGAAATAGTGGATAAATCTGGAGATGTTTCCATTGAAGAAATTGATGTTGATGGTTTTTTTTAAACTTACTATAATTTTTTTAAAAGAACTCTTTGCTTAATATCTTATATCTTTTTTTTGCTTTTTATATATATTGATATTATTATCAATTCTTTACTATTTATATGTATTTTTATATTATATTTTATTATTTTATTTTATATGTGTTAATTTTTTTTTTAATTTTTTTTTTAGGAAATTTTGTTCGACTTAAGAACACAACATCCCACGATATTAACATGACCAGTTGGTAGATTTTTTTTTGCTTGTTACTTTTTTTATTTTAATTCAATACTTTTTAATGATTATTAAATAATTTTTATTACTATGAAGTATTTACGTTTTACTCTCTAATATTTTTAATACAGATTAATTTTTTTTTAATCTGACTTTTATACTTTTTAAGCGATTATGTTTATTTTTTTTCGATTTTTAGTTTCAGAAAGCATTTACTTTTTCTAAAGGCAAGAAAATTTCATTCTCTGGTTAAATATCATACTTATAATTAAAATATTTATATGCATGATAATACTAATTGAAAAACTTTTGGTTTGTTAAAGAAGTATTTTTACTAATTACATTTTGGGAAGCATTTTTTATTTAAAAAGGAAGATGTGCTAATTATGTATCTTTAATAATATCTTTAATTATTTTCTTTCGCTTATTTTCTAAAAAACAATTTTAAAAAAATTATTAAAGTAATTTTTATTATATTACTTTTGGAAAGCGTTTACTTTATAATTAAAGGTAAGAAAATATTATTTTTAGCTTGAATAGTATTTTTAATAACATTTTTTTTCGGCATGTTTTTATATTTCATATATCTAAAGTATTTATTTTTTAATTTTAAAAGGCATTCTCGTTTTACTAAAGTAAATAGGTGTGTTCTCTTTGCTTTAATAATATTTTTAATATAATCTTCAGGTTTTTGAGGGCGTACTGCGACACCAGCGGGATATTCTGTGAGTTTGTATTCCCCGAAAATTACGTCATCAATGGCAAGGTAATGCTCCAATCGCTGTTTTTCCCCTTTTCCCTCCTTTTTGATTGGGTGTGAGCTTATAAAAAAGCAAGTTGATTGGTTATTATCCAATAGCGTCGTTAGGGTTTCAGTTATTTTTTTAAAATAAACCAATAAGCTACTAGTCCGCGCCTGTTACAATCAGCGTTGAGTTTTAATGAAACGGTTTGGAAGAGATTTCCTAATTTTTACAATTTTGTGAAAATCTCATTGAACTATAAAATATACTTAGAAGTGCTTTTTCATAACTATATAAAGAGATGTAGAAAATGAAAGTTTTTACTAGTACTCAGTAAACTTTTCTAAAAAAAAAAAGTAAAAGTTGGTTAAAATTGAAATCTATAAATTTGATTTACAACTTTTTCTAATCAATGTTATCGATTAATATCTCGTTTTTTTTTTTGTCGTTCTAATTTAGTTTAGATTTACTAAATTCGGAAATATTTTAATATTTTTTTAAATGATTCACCTGCTCATAATTTTATAGAGCACTATAACAATCTACACTTTACTGCATCGCGGGGCCGTCGATGAGGAACGTGATTTGCTGTGGGAAACTGAAGACCCCATTTGGGTAAACGAAGCTGGTAAGCTATTTTATAGCGGAGTTGAAGATTTTTTTTAATTATTTTAAGAAAGGATTCATAGAGCTTTTCGATTCCCATAAAGAATCTGTCTCTGCTGGAAAAGTGGAAGAAGTTTATGACGGAAATAAGAGTCGTTGTGCTCAGCAATAGTTCAATTAATTCTTTATTTCTTAGAAATATTGAAGTGTGAAAAAAATATTAATATTGATTAAAATCTGTTTTCTTTAAGATAAAATAAATATATTTAAAGTTTATTTATCAGGGGACATCAGTTTAATTTATTTACACCAGTTAAAATTCTTAATTAATGTATTTAAAATTTGTATTATATTTTTAAGGATAATTAAAGTTTCCGAAGATTTTAATATTGAAGCTTCTTTTGATTCCATCGTTGAGTAAAAATAATTTTTAAGATGGCCGCTTAACTTTAGACTTACAGAGATGATTTCCTATTTAATAAAGTTATGATTTAAAATTTTAAAAAATGGATATGGCATACAGTTGAACCTTTTTCTACTTTACTTTATTTAAGATTTTAAAATAAAGTGAAAATATATTATCAGGAAAGATTCATATATGCGCTATTTTTAGATTTCTTTAAGTGCATTTAAATTAAAAAAATTATTATCACCTCTCCCAGTTTAGTAAATTGTATATAGAAATCAGTCTCGATGCTTGAGTTTTTACATAAATTTATAATTAGCCCGAGTTCCGAAAGGTACTGTTTGATTGCCTCTTTAGAAAAATCAATTCCATTTAATACAGAAAAAAACGACAAAGAAGAGTTATACCCGCTAAAGTTTTGATTTTTTTAAAAATATTGCAATCATCTTTAAATTGAAGGCGTAAGATGTTATTAATTTCTTCCGTCAAAACAGCGCTGCTCGCTAAAAAGTCATTCAGGATTTTATTATCGTTGCTTTTTCTATACTGAAAGTTTACAGTTGTTAATTCTTTAGAATTTTGGTTAAAGTTGACGTTATCCAAAACAGAAGGTGCAATTGAGTTAATTTTTTCTGAATCACATGTACAAAAATTGCCAATATATATATAATATATACACTAAGTAATATACCTATAGTTGCCACGGTTAATATAAATTCTGTAAGTAAAGAGGGGAGTTCTTTATCGATATGTTTAAACGTTTCTTCAATGTTGGAAATAAGGATCTGAGTTGCATGGTCACAGCCTAATTTAAGCTGTTAAAGTGGTTACAATTCGTACTATTTATTACTATAATATTTAAAAATATATGTAAATTTTAGTAGTACAAAAGTTGAAACAACTTTTTAAATAAAACCTTTACTCTTTCGATTGATGGTAATAAGTAATTTGAAAAATAGGAGTTCATGCAACTTTCAATACTCTTACGTTGTAATTAAAACTCTTTAAGAAAAGGAGTAAATGAAATATAGTTTATTACCACTAGGTCTAGTGGAAGAAACGCTTAAAGCCATAAAAAGTTAAACTTTTGTATTACAAAGAATCCCCAAACCTTAACCTTGAGTTCTTAAAACTTAAATTTATTTTTGCAACTATTTTTAAACTTTAAATAAAATTATTACAAAGGTTAAACACATAGGTAATGAAAATTCTAGAAACAATAAAAGGGTAAAAGCCTCTTTATCTTACTGTAGGGAGGAGATGAAATTTGCTGTAGGAAAAGCGTTTGCTTTGATTCAAAACCCAATAAAAGAAAACTTAAAATTCTGTGGGTCAAAATGCGTAAAAAAGCTTAAGATGAAAGCTTAAACGCTCGTCAAGTCTTGCTGCATATTATTAAACTTGTGAGATAAACTAGTGTTTTTATTAATTATAATTATAAAGAATTAAGTTAAATGTCTGAAAACAAGTTTATTGGCTTAATTCATAGCACTTTAAATCATACAAAAAGTCGTTCCTTAAGCATTTTTAACGAAGAGCTAAAATTTTACGTAAAAAATTTATTTTGCTGACTGTTTTAATAAATAGTTAGGCCACAAAATTTTCCTATTTATTATTTCCGGTAGTCCCAGTTAAAATTTACCCTGTTTTCTATTAAATTCTGAGTCAATCCGGCTTAAAATGTTACAAACCTTAACGAGTAAAAATACTAAATCGCATACCTCTCTCGTATTTATGTGTTTGAGTTTGTTTTCTTTTTGGGCTTAAAATCTACAGTAAAACAAAATGTATATACTTTTTTTATTGGTTAAATGGAACGTGCTTCTTTTTAAAAGTATATCGATGCAAGATTTCTCTTAAATGATGTTTAACTGAATGCGTGCGTTGGCCTAATTTCTAAACCTTTTATAACTTCCTTGCTAATAAGTAGCCTTCGACGGGCTTGTTTGCCATGAAAGATCTCATACATAATCACAATTATGCCCAAGTTTGCTGCTTTAATGGGGCTAGTTTCCTTTTTTTGCTACGAGAATTTAAACAAAACATAAATTTTTAAGCTTATAGATAATAAATGGTATACGAATTACATTTTGCAAAAAAAAAGAATGCTAAACTACTATTATACGTTAAAAAAAACTGCGTAAAATTTGTTAAGCGAAAAATAAACGTAATTTAATTTATCTTAAATTCATTATTAAGTTCAATGTTTTCCTAAATAAAAATTGATACAACTAACAATTTCATAAAAATGTCTTTGTAAATCTCAAAAGTTTTTAAAAAAATAAATGTAAGTTATTAAGGTAAAAGAGCAGCAGTGCGCTTATAATCTTTCAGCCTCAATAATTATAAATTTCACTTATATTATATTAGTAAAAGTTTATGAATCCGTTTGGAGTTTTTTAAAACTCGGATGCGCTTCATTTGATACAATACTATTCAAGTCGCTCTTTTTTTTCCTCTTCAATCCTAAATGAAAAAAATTAAATTTATATAAATCAATGCATAGTTTATAAGAAAAATAAGACTACCTTTCATTTTTCGTGTTTGTAATTTGCTGAAGTCTTGTTTTTCAAGATGTAATCGAGCAATTTTATTTCCAAAATCATCATTAGAAATTGATTTCTTTTTTGGTTGCTATCACAAAGTAAATATATAAAATTAATAATAATAACGATAATAATAATAATAAAAAACATTCAAAATCTTTGGTTTTTTTAGTGCTTGTTTCATTAGAGCCAAAGGAGCAAAGCATGTTCTTCTTATTTTCAAATCCATGTTAGGCCCAATCAATTCTAGTTCTACTCTAGGAATTCGAGTCCCTATTTATTAATAATAGGTAATACAGATCTTCATCCCAAGAAAAAAAAAAGTAAATAAAAATAATTGTACAGATCAATTTAAATTATAAAGTGAAAAGAATTTAAATTTAAAATACTTCGATTCAAGAAAATAAAATAACAAAATTTCTTTAGACAGACTAACTATTAAAAAAATAATTATAATAACAGTTTTTAAGAAAGCCCTAAACTTTAAATTGTCTTACTTTTCCCTCCTCGATAGATAAAATCCAAGTTTTTTGTTTACAATGACGAAACTCTTAATTATTCAGATAATTTCGAAATTGTAAAGTATAAAAATAACAAAAAATACGAGAAAAATAAAAAAAGCCACAAAGTATTATAGTATTATATGATTCAATAAATATATAAAAATCTTATATAAAACATATATAATCATAAACAATTTTTTATAATACATAAGAACGGTTTAAAAAATTTCAAACCTCTATACAAATAATTATATTTTCATTCAAAGGTTAAAAAATTATAATAACAAGCAATAAAGCCCACACATATAATATATGATTTAATATAGGAAAGTCCTTCAAATAAAACATTAAAGTTAGCAAGTAAAGTTAGGTATGCGCAAAACAGCCCAGAATATATAAATATGATTTTAACACATTTATAAAAACTTGCAAGCTTATTAACCATATAAAGATAATTTTCATAGTATATATTTTATACGATGTTAAAGTTTAAATAACACTTTATTCAATTTTTAATAGAATTTACAAACTATTTGTAAGAAATAATTTGAAAGTAATTACAAGTTATAAAAGTAAATAAGAAAGTCATAGAACCTGATTTCTTTAAAACTATTGCGTATGTCCTGAAGTACAAAAGCTCACTACTAGCACTAACGCAAATCACCCATTCCAGTCCTTGAAGACTAATAAACTCAGCAGTGCGACCGCGAAAGAAGTCCAATATTAAGTTCTAGAAAAAAAATTGTAGTTAAAGAATTTTTAATATATAAATTTTTTAATTTGAAATATATATATATATGTGAGGGGGAAGGGGGGAAATAGCACGTAAGAATTATATTTCCTGTAACAGCAATTATAATAATACTAACTTATATTAAAAAAAAATTTGCAGAAACCTTAGCTTTAGTATAATCTAGATTTTTTTCAAAAAGCTCGCCAGAAAAGACAAAGCACGGCTTACTGCCAAAGACAGGCCTTTTAACTTTCTATAATGGTATAAAAGCATGTAAAAAAATAATATATAAATTTTTTAAAATTTATTCTATAAACCTCAAAAAAAAAAGATGGTTCATAATTCATTAACTCAAACTCAATCATATCTAACAAACAAAAATTAAAGGTTCGGCCCATAACAACGTTGTCGGGACGCTTTTTAGAATGGCTAGCAAGCATAAAAAGAGAACAATCCGTTTTTTGAGAATAAAATTCAAGAGAAGAAGCATCCTCAAAAGGAAGAATGGGATTTTTACGTTTAAAAAAAACGGCATCAGGTTTTTTTAAACATTCCTTAACAACATTGTTAATAAAATTAAAATTTTTTTAAATTAAATTTAACGATACAATATCTTTTAAAAACTCGTAAAGTACTTCTCCAGTATTGTTCCCCTTTATAAATATAGCCTTCTTAGGATGTTCTATTACTTGAGGTAAGCGTTTTTCTAAAAAACGCTTAGAACGTGCATTTTTGGCTTTTCTATATGTAAATTCAACATTAATAATACTAAAAATTTCTAGTTATAACTATAACTTACGGTAAATTCTGAACCATAAGCTAAGAAAATCAATATCACACTATACTAATTATTAATAAATATACACAAAATTATATATTAAGTGTATTGTTTAGAAAATTCTAAAAAACCAAGCCTTGCAGACTTACCACGAGGAGACAGTAACAAAAATTGAACCAATGAGGAGCTGCTTAACTTCTACGTTGCAACCTAATAAAAATGGCTATTAGCGTCATTTAGTATTGTCATCGTCTCTTATTTCTCAAAAAATCTTTTAAACTGTGCTAAATTTTTTATAAATTGCTCTTCTAGTTCTACACGGTTATTAGGTCATATTCTTCTTTTTTATAAATATGAATTTTTTATTGATTATTATATTAACATATTTATTACAATTTAAAGTTTTTATAAAAATGACATAGCCTGATGATTTATAAGTAGGATATGTTCACTTTCCTTTTTCCTAAACTCATGATTAGCCTTATATTAACCCTATAACCATTTTATTTTAAAAGAATAAAAGCAGAAGCAAAAAACTACAAATAATAATAGTAAAACCAAGGTGTTGCTAAAAGTGACCGGCTTTTGGGAGGGTAAAATACTAGGGTGAAGAGAGTAGAGAGTGTATTATAAAAACGAATTGATTTTATATGACTTAAATGGAGGAGGGAATATTGTTAAAGTTGATGGTGTTGAGAAAGAACTAATTATACCTTCTCAAGCAAGAATTTTAGAACAAACAGCTGCAGGAAACATAGTGGGAGGGCGGTGGCTAGTTGGAGGTTGTTTAGTCGATTAATTCCTGAAACTACCTGCACATTTAAGTATACTAAAGCTAAAGGATAAATATGAACAAAATATATATATATATATATTTATATAGGTATGTAAAAATGATAAAACTAAAGTAATGAGAAGGATAACTTGAAACAATACGGTCACGGTTTATTTTAGAGTTGCACGTAAACTAAATCATTAAATAATCAAAAATATCAGGTAGATTTCTAAATTAATGTTGATTAAATATTAATATAAATTCTTTTAAATTAAATAATGGGAGGGATGGACGGGGGGGTTGACAGTGGTCTGTTCATGTATCAAAATTTTTTTTTTGTAGGGAAGTTGTATACGTAACCACTAGACCAGAAAAATGCGAGTTCGCACCGACGAAATTTAACCTGCGGCCTTGCGACAATGCTCTACCACTGAGCTAAGGTGGCAACTCATATTTTCAGTCGATAAATTACGTATGCAAAGTTAGATTTCTCACCACGCCAAAAAGTGGACACCCGCCTTAAGAGGGCAGGAAATCATTTATTAAGGTATCGAGTTCTAACATAGAACTTTGGTGGTGTACTGATATTTTAACCCCCAACTTCATTTTTAGATATAAGCAGCTGGCGTGTTTTTCCCTCCCACTGTGTCAAAAAAAAGTAAATAAAGCCCCACCATTGGGTTGGGGTCGAAAAAAGCAGTTTTAGCTCCTGAAAGAAAAAAAATTCTGAACTATAAACTGAAGTTGAGAATAGGAAGATATAGATAGGGTTAAGCTTTCTTATAATTCACTTTAAGAATAGGGAGGCGTGATCCAAAGACAAAGTCAACAATTAAAACTAGTAATTAAAACTTGTACTGCGAATCACATGTTGGGCTACTCGCCATAGTCTTTCAAGACAATGCACCGCCCTTAACAAATGGATAGCTGGATATGCTAAGCGTCTATTTGTGAAGGAACTCATTATCGATGCTATGGGACAGCGCACAACATCACCGTCCGTGTGATGCACTTTTAGTGTGATGGTTCGAAGCTAAGTTGAGAGTTTATATCAAACGCGAAGGACTTATCGTTTTAAAAGAAAAAAAAAAAGTTCTTGTATGCGACTAAACTTGTTGTAAGCTCGAGTATTCAAAGTAGTTAATTAGATAGGGCGCCAGAAAATTCCATCTGTGTATTAATAAATAAAGTTCATGTTGTTCTTTCAATTATAAACCATTAAACGGCGCAAGCTACCGTGCTCCGCGTCATGTGCAATATGTTGTATTTATATTAAGGATTATGGAGCTATAGGCATATTAAATGGAATTACTTGGGTTCTAACTTATCCGTTGAAGGCGTTAGAGTTCCACCATACTTTCAAGTCTACGGATTGGCCTTCGTCATCGAGAAACGCCATAACTGCGCCTGTTTATGTGTGCGTTCGATCTATCGAGACTTAAGTATCTGTTGCTTAACACAAGACGAACATCCACTATTGTACTCCTACATACATAACAAAAAAGCTTATGAGAATAATTATAGGAGCAATTTATTTCATGTGCGACGGCCTAAACATGGTACGACTCGAGACTTGTTCCAAATGCAACTAGTGCTTGTTTTAAATGTATCATTAGCAATCTAAACTATCAGAGGGCTTAAAAAATTACAATTTAACCCTAGTTAGGCGCATACTTAATTTTTGCAAATGTATAATTCAGAAAGTGATGAGCAAAATATACCAAGTTACTGGAAAAAACAAATAAACTACGCTCGATTTTACCGAGCGTTTGCACAAATTCATTAAAAAAACGCTAATTTACATCTAATTGGTCCGCTCTTAAATTCGGTGTTTTCGACCCTAACGTGCGCCAGGAAACGCCATTTTAGAAAATTGTTTGGAGTACTATGTTCGGGTAATAGGCAATTCTTTTGTACTGTGACTTCGTTTATTATTTAAATTTAAACTTTAGTAGGTATTATTTATAAAATATCAAGACTTCCTTACACCCTAATAGATTTTAGTTATTTAACTTGGCTTAAACTGTCTGGTTTAAGTGTAATTTTAAAAAAAGTAGACCGTCAGAAAAATTTTAAAAAAATATTTTGATTTTTTCTTGGTAAATTTGTATAGTTAATATACTATAATATTTTTGTCATGTATTTACCGCATCCTATTAATAACTTTGCTTTTTGAAATGGATGAAAGCGATGAGTTCAGTGGGTCTTTCTAGAAAGTTATTATTTGGAGGAGCGATATCCCTTACTTTACCTGAATTTTTAAAAGATGCAAGGTCTTTTGAGTTACTTTTACTTTCCATACTTTTGCTCATTTTTGGTTATATATATTATTATTGGCTTTGTTATAAATTCTAATCTTTTCTTTGACTAGCCACTCAGTTTAAAATTATGATTTATACCTTCTTTTTAGTACTTATTATTGTATGTATTTTATTCACTTTTTTTTTCAAAATTGTTTGATACTTATAAGATTGTTATACCTATTATTTTAGCGAGATTAGACACGTACCCGATCATCAAGAAATGTTTTTTTACCCAGAAAGCAATCAAAGTATTATTTTTGAGTTGCTAGAACAAGAAGATATACCAGACGAGGATGCTATAATGTACTCACAATCATTTTGAGTTTACTTTTCTTTTACAATTTATACTTTTTAATTTTATTTATTGTTATAAAAAATTTAAATAGAAAACATTTTAATGAATTAAAAAGTTTTACGGGAGCTGCTTCCTCCAAAATCAATTCTTTGCTACCCTTTGATTATCTCAATCTTGCTATAAAGTAATTTACTTATACTATTATTTGAGAAAAAATTATAGAAGAAATTTACGACTTACTTGAAATATATATATGATATCTATTTTTTTTAAGGGATTCTTCTTCATTTTATTTGATCGGCGAACACTCTTTTAAGGAAAGCGACGTTTCTTTACCGAACTTACTCATTCGAATTCAGTTAATACTAGTTCGTTTGAAGAATGTTCAAACTGATTTCTTAATTTCTTTTAGCACACCAGTAATTACAGGTATAAATAAGTTATATATATTTTTACTTGTAGAGGTTTATAGATATTCTTATTTTTACTTAATGTATACATTCATGTTTATTGATTTTCCTTTTTAACTAAATTTATAATTTTCATTTAAACGTTTAAGAGCCCTATTTTATGTATTTATATAGAAAACAGTTACATTAGGGTAGGAAAATTTATTAAATATTTGATAGCGTCTCTTTTTAAAAAAATCAAAATTCTTATTGCTAGTAAAAGTTATAATAGGGGTATTTAATTTATATTAATTTTGTGTAAAGCTTTTACTAAAAGTTTTTTCTGTTAATAATTGGAAATGGATTGTTAACAATGAAAAAGTTTAACTTATCTTATATATATTTAAAGATTTTTACTTCGGAAATATTTATTTAGTTTAAAATATATTCTATAAAGACTTATACTACTTTTATCATATCAAAAAGAAGTTTTTTTATTTTTATTTTGGTTTTGTAAAAATCTATATACTTTATAAAAATAAACCTGTTACGATTTCTAAAATAAAAGCAGAAACTTAATTTTAATATATATTTTTTTTACTTTTTTCTACGCCCTATGGTTTTTTAAAGTAGGCTATAAAAATGGTATTAGTAGTTGCTTTTTACTTAGTAACTTCTTCTAAAAAATTCTTTATTTTTAATTCGGTTTTTTTAGAGAATCATACTATAAAAAATTAAATTTTAAACTTAATTTTATTTATATTTATGTAATATAATTTAAAAAATTCTTTCAATACAGAAGTCTATGAATTTTTGGATGAATCTACATTTATTAATTGTGTTTCTTCTCTTCGAATTGAAGATTGGAATTTGTTTAAATAGGAAATTAGTTTTTCTAAATAAAAAAAAAAAGATGTTTAATAAGAATTTATCAATAACGAACGAGTTGTTTCTACATCCCTTGTTACTTCGGTGGATCTTATTTAAATGAAGAACTAGTGATTACTATAGCGTTTTTTACGCAAGTTAATTTGAAAAAAAGAAGAAAAATAAAAATATTTTATATATAATTCTTTTTTTGTGTATAAAATAGTTGGATTTACAGTTGATTCGTGTTAAAGGGATTGTAAAAAAAATAATTTAATTTGTGTGTAGCATTTGTATCGTAGTTTTTTTTTAGAAATAGCTTATTTTATTTAAGATTAATACTTATCAAAATTACTTTGTTATATGTATTTACTCAGCCATAAAATATATTTTAAAGAGTGTTTTAGTTCTAAATAATTTAAATTTGAAGTTTGCGTACAAATATCGTCATTAAGTCTATATAATACTTTTCTTTTTATTCATTCAGCTATTATTAAATCGCTTTTAGTCATTACCACTCTATAAGTATATAATTTTTAATAAATTGTTTTCATTAAGTTTTGCAACTGATAGTAAATTTTTCTTAGTTCTAAGACTATGAATAACCTATTACTAAGTAATCTTTAATCTGAGATTATTTGGAGATTAGCTGCAGAGTCCAAAAATTAGATGAAAGTTTCATATCATCGTTACTAATCTGTAAATTTGATGGTAGTAAATAATAGAGCTTTCATTTTTCCTTATATCGTCTTTCCGGTCTTTTCTATTTAAGTATACTTTTTACGTTTTTGGAGCTCTATCACAAATCTTGCAAAGTCAAAGTTGAGAGCTTTTTTTATAAATTGTTGTTCAGTTTCGCCAGATTGAATATTGGATTCGTCTTTACATTTTAACGACACAAAAAAAAAATTCTAATTGTTTACCAGTCTGGAAATTGCAGGCAAGTTATTTTTTCATTGCGCATTTTTATCAGTGGAAATTCTAAAGGATGTGGTATATGTTATTTGATATTTTCCATCTTTTTCCCGACGTATACCACAGAGTTGTTCTACATTTTACGGACTAACTATTGGTTTTTTTTAAATGGTTTATTATATTATCTGCCAAGTTTTTTTGTGTAGTAAGATGCAAATTTTAAATAATAACTCTTAAGACCTAGAGCAGAACTTGCTTAATTTTCTTTTCAGGGGGGTTTCCAGCAATTATTTTACTCCTGAGGAAAATAGTTTATGTAATAGGTTATTATATACTTGAGTTTTCTTAACCAGTTCTTAGCTGATAAGGGTTTCTTAAAATTATTTTATTAATTTTGACTTGAACTACATGGTTTTTAACTTAGGGGCTAATAATGTAGCAAACTAAAATTAAATAAAGAAAAAAAAATAGAGTAACAAAAAAAAAAGTAAGCATTGTATTGTTAGCAGTAGTATTTATAATCATCTTTAAAAGTTTAGGAATAATACGCACTCTAAAGTTTACAATTACTATGGTTGTTCTGTTGAAAGGGCTTGGTCTTTTATACAAGTTAAGATGAATTGTAAGTTACTAATATCCTTAGTTATAAGTCAGATTAACTTTATTAGCAGTGAAGAACCTTGAAATCTCAGAACAACTTTTAGAAAGCTGTACAGTGAAGCTTTTATGGCTTTACTTAAAAATGGGAAACGAGGGATAAAACGCACACTTTGTTTAGGCGCTCAGTATTAAAGAATTTCATGCCTGGACAACCATTTAACGCAGTTTTAAAAATGTACTTCTTAGTAAATAGAAGCCATTCAACCACTTGGTGCAATAGTTTTTATAGCAATTATTATGCTTTTTGTGATACGTTTGTGCACACGTCTTCGAAAATTTTATTTTTTTTCGCCTGACCTTGGGCTAAGTGTCAAATAAAAGACTTGCGCCTGATGGAGAACTTCTCAGTAATAGCTATACTCTTACTGCAAGTACTATTCCCGATATAAGAGTCACGTATCGGTTAACCAGGAGTCATACTGATCCGTTATAAATGTATATAAGAAATATATATAATTACTTGAAAATATCCATTTTATTGGGACAAAAAAATTTTTGAAGATCTCTTGGCATGTAATTTAGAAAAAATTTATAGAGAAAAGTAGGAACACCCAGAAAAACATACTATTCACTTACGATAACCCTCGTCCCGTTTTTACTGCTCAAAGGTTAATCTTACCCGTAATCTGCTTAGTGTCAGTACCTCTAGGCGGGACCGGTGGAGTTCTGCAAAATTCTGTAATTAAAATATTTTGTGGGAATTATGCAGGTGACATAAATGTAATGTTCGTCGTTGGAAAACAACATAGCATTCAAATTTCGTCTGACCCGTGGATAATAGTTGTGGAATAATAGTGAGGCGCATCTTGCATCCCTTTATTATCTCGGTTTTAATCTTCCTGGTTTTGTTCTGTTTTTTTAAAAAAATTCTATTAACTAGTCTGTTCCTTATGCTATAACTATTTTATTTTTTACGTCTTGTATCTTTGTCGCTGTTTGTTATAACCCTTAAACAATTAAGGTTTTCAAGGTTGTAACATTCCTAAACTTTTCGTTGCCCAATGTAAGTTGTATTAATTAAAAGGTATCTGGGCATACAACTAATCTGTCGATTGTTTTGCTAAGCTTAAAACGCGATCATTTTGTCATATTGAATATAAGGACGTACTATTAGAAATACAGAGAAAGAAAACCAGCAACACCGCTCTTATGTTATGCTAGTCTGCTTATAGACCTTTACAAAAGATAATCTAAAATAAACAGTTTTGTGAATCAAATGTGTTCAGCTATGCTATTATTGACTCGCTTGTGCGTCTTCCTTTAGTGTTCATTCATAGTCAATAGTTTGCTTAATTTGTTCGTTGTTTATTAAACATTTATATACTGTTTTTATGTCATTTCATTTGTTTTTAAATGAATTCATATTTTTTTTTAATAATTGCTATAGATCTGCTGTTTTTGAGTTGTTTGTTAAAGTTCATGTGTTTTGCTTTCCTTTCTTTTTATTTTCAATCTTATTTATATTGCTTTTATTTTTTTTATTGATTTGTTCGATGATGTTTAAAATGTAGTCGTTTTCTAATTAATGATGTAAATTTAATTAGTTTAATTGCGTTATGTTTTTAAAAAAATTGTTTTCGTCAATAAATAATTAATTGAGTCAAATTTTTTTGTACGTGTTTTAAGTGATTATGTACAATTATTTATGTAGGAAGATTTTGTGGGAATGTGTAAATTCGTTTGATTATTACGTTTCTGATATTAGTTTTGTTTTTATATGGTGTATTTTTCATTACGTGCCCCTCCACCTATTTTCCAGGTGTTCTTATGAAATCCTAGTTAATAAAAACACGGCCTCTATACATTTTATTGCTCTTTACATGAAACTAACTATTATGAAAAGCTAAAGCTACTCAAAGGAAATATATCGTTGCTTTATTTCTTGGGCGATTAGATAAAATTATAACATATCTAGAAATTGTCGTCAACTTGCTACAACATTGTGTAGCCTTTCCCTGTTGGCGCCTGAGTACTTTTAAAGAAATTAATATAATTAAATAAAAATTATAATAGTACCCGTGGAGAGTTTTAAGTTAGTACATAAAATGAGTTTGGTCAATTTTAGGGTCACTCCTATATCCATGAGGTCATTTTGTTGTTTTACAGTACAAGGGAACACACACCAAGAATTACCATTATACAATTGAAGTACTAACTAGCCGTATAGAAAGGTTAACTAGTTTGTTTTGTAGGCTTATAATCGTGCGTACTGCCATTATTGAAACGCTTATGAGTGAAAGGCTCAAACTTTTGTAACTACCTTCAAAAAGTAGTGCCTTATCCCTAGGCTAACTCTTATAAAAGCTAAGATACTTAGCAAGCAATATAGGACGAACTTATAACACCAAGGTCGAAACTGGTAGTTTTACCATTAAACTAATCACTTAAATTCAAGGAAGGCAAATCAAGAAACTGAGAGCTGGACTCTGATTACCAATTTCCAAAATTGGTTTTTTTCTTACTTTAAAAGACTACTTGGATAGATGTAGAGCTAACTAGCTGGTTCTATTAAAGTAGAACAAAAAAGGGTAGACAAATGATGGTCCCCATCTCGGGCATCGTATCGAGCAAGGTCCTGATTAAACTACGCGTATATATAGTGCTATTAGATAGCACTACTTAGCATCTAGAGTATTAGAGCCAATTAAGGCGCTCTGAAGATAGTAAGTACTAATACAAAGCCCACCTTATATCGGCACATGTCCGTCATTTAGCCAAACTGTTGTGCTGCTTTAGTGATTGTTAAGTAACTCCGGGACAGAGCGTTAGTATTATCAACCATCACTCATTAAATAGTTCTTACTTTCCTGGCGTTTGACTTTTCTACTAGCTCTTGATAAAGGTAGTGTACTGTTTAACTTAGCATGTTTTGTCAAAGTTTCAGCAATGGTTTAACATAATCTTTCTAGGTGTCTTATCAGAATATTACTCTTCGAAAGGCGATGACAGTACTCATCGCGAAGATTAAGCATTCAAGTTAAACTAACACAATTACTTAAAGTAATTCCGCTATACGAACTTAAACATGTACATTATATATATATGGAACGAAATATTTGGTGACAAGCATATACAATTTCCAAGGGCTCAAACAGTGGGCTCGAATAAATCATCCACGAAGGTGGCCAATAGAAAAGTAGAAGTATAACATTTGAAAAGAGTTTTTAGGTCAATTTTACTATTATTTCAATTAAATTGAACCAAATAAAAAAAAGCTCTGCAAATTTTTTCTTTCGTAGCATTATGGGTACGGAAATACAGCTATGGAAAAGGCAATATTATGTCTTTTTCTAAAAGGGTACAGAAAAAACAAGAGCCGAAGAAAAAATTTTAATACAAAAATAACTAACTTTCTGTAAAGGTATATAAAAGAACGCCATTTGGCCAGCGTTGACCGCTTGAACTTATCTGCCTTCGCATTTTTTTTTTAAGTTACTCATTTGGTAAATTCTTTATCTCTAGTGAAAATTCGGATTTCTTTTTCTAAATTACGTAATTTAGTTCTTTTAAGATGTTTAAATTATTATTTTCGTTTTTAAATTTGTTTTTTCGATTCTCTAATAAAGTTTTTTTGGTTATTATGCTCTAAACAATTAATCAAGTTAACTATTCTCAATTTCAGTTTTGTTCTACTAATATTAGTTATTTTAAGTTCTCCTTGCAGTACATTTTTTTCCGTTCTCATATCTTCCTAACAAGTACGGTTCACCTAATTTCCCTTTTTTCCTTTCTGACTTTCTAGTTTCCTTACTATAAATTTTACTTTAAGTTTTCTTATTCCCCTCCATCCTCAAGTTTCAGCGTACTTCGCGTAGCCGATACGACTTACCTAGAAACGAAGTGCTATCCCACGATTTAGAAGGGGTAAATTAAGCTGTTGTTTTTATATAAACTGGTTTATAACAATATTCTATATTACATAATTAGTCAAGTTTTTAACTTTCCCATTTTCTTTTGAAAAAACTCAAGTTTAAATTTCAATTCAACTCTGATCTTCCTTTTTATGTTAAAAATGCTTAATTATATGGCCCATCTTCAGAGGGGCAGGAAAAAAATAAGTTGTTGTGGAAATCCCTTAAAACGTTAAATGAGTAATTACATTATAACCATCTAATAATTAAAGGGTCCACCAAGGTCATTTTAAAAATACGTAAAGTCAGACCACTAAAATTTTAATTGAGGCAATTGCATACACAAACAAATCACTGTAAAACTTGTCTACCCCTCATTTAAAAACTATTTTTTTAAAAAATTTTTAACTATATATGTATTAAACCTGCGTTACTGGCTGGATCAAGGAGCAGGTTGGAAACAAGCAAGCATAAAGCTTAACGATAGTCTTTAAAAATATTTCGAAGCTTGTAGGCTGATTCAGCGTATATTTGACAAATTAGTTTTAACATTTAAAGGTTACTTTGCTCTGCCAATATAATAAATAGTTTATTAATCTAGGTAAGGAACTTCATACTCATCTTCAAGTAACATACTTGTAGAATTTTTTTAGTATTTTGTGCGAAAAATAAAAAGCCCATTGTAAAATCTCATAAATACTAAACAACTAAATTTACAAATGGTTAATAAGACAATATGTAAATGGGTCTATATAAAGAATATCAAAAGCAACAACCCCCAAAAAAATATCTTCTAAAGTTTATAAAGAAAAAGACCGGTTGTAGAATGTAAAATGTAAAATTATTTAATATGATAAACTACTTCCAGGCTTATAACCAGAAGAGGGAATAAAACGCCCCTCTTCCCTATTTTTTTAACTAAACTAAACTGTTTTCAGCTATTTTTGTAACTATTAAAGTTGAGTTATAACCAAATTTGGTATCAACTTAAACCGAAACTTACTTATTAATCAGATGTACTATTACCTTTTTAAAAATAAGTACTAGTAAAGTACCCTAATAAACTTAAAAACTAAAGATAACTACTAAATAAAAGAATAAAAAATATATAACTAAAATATGTTAAACCTTTGATTAAGGCGTATTTTATCATTGTGATAATGATGGCCCTAAGTTACTTACCATGAACCTAAAAAAAGGTTTTTTCAAGTTTTTTTCCATTATTTTTTTTAAGTTGCCTTTAATGGACAAGCCGCTAGGGGTATAAATTCTTCCACCATATTAACAAAACAATAAAAATAAACAGTGAAAATCCATCCCTACGTTACCACTGTTCCATTGTTACGGCTTAAAAGTCGTTAGGGTTCTTTGAAGGTAATAAAGCGCGTCAAAATTACAAATGAAAAATAAAAAATAATAAAATTATAAAATAGGTTATTAAAAACAATCTTATTATAACCGCATTAATAATATATGAAAAAAGAAGGAATTAGATAATAAAACTGAGAAAGAAACTTAGAAAACAAAAAAGGGAAAAACCAGAACTAAGATCATATAAAAGAGTCGTAAGACGCACTCCACTATAAAGAATATAACAAGAAGCAAGAAGCCCTATACAGGGCGCAAGCCTTTTATCTGAGAGATGACCGAAGGTACATAAAAATTAGATGATCGTGGTAATAACATGTTTAATTACGACAAATATACCCACTATAAAAAGAAGCAATAATACCACATTAGTTTTTATTTCACTACTTTTTGTTGCCGAAAGAGGTAGTATAATATGAAATTGCTTGACAAAAGTAGTAAAATGAAAGAACAAATGTTCACGTATTATTTAGAAAAATTAAAACTAGTAGTAAAAATATGAGCAGGAATAATATGAACACAAAAAGTATACTAAAAAGTAAATAATGTAAACCTAAGTAAAAGAAGATTATGCAGTTACTACTATATATACAAGAGTGAAGTAAAATTAGTATTTAATTTTATAAAATACAATACCACAATTGGCAAAAAAACTAAGGATTAATGAATTAACCAGTAAATAAGCACGTGATTTCTAAAACCCAATTTGTAATTAAAAAAATTAAAAGTACCAAATTATTTAAATGAATTGCAAAAGATTTCAAATTGCTTAATAACTATCAAATAGATATGTTTTTTAGTATAAAGGTTTGTATTAAGCCTTGTTCACGCGTGGTTGCTGTTTTTATCCTAGTCGTGTTATGGTTGTCTCTTTGTTAATTTTTTTTTAAAAAAAAAAAAAATTATAAAAAATCTATAAAAATTATAAACAAATAAAAAAAGTGTATTATTTGCGGAGTATATTTTTAAAGGGTAGGAAATTTGTTTTGAATTCTACTTATTTATTTGTCCTTGAAAATGCCGGTTCTAGCCGTAGTGAACTCGGATTCCGTCCCCAAGGTAATTGAATTTTGTTATTATTATTATTATTTATTATTATTATTATTATTATTATTATTATTATTATTATTATTATTATTATTATTATTATTATTATTATTATCATTATTATTATTATTACTATTATTACTATTATTATTACCGATTTTATAATAATGTGTTATAGCAGCCTGAGCCTCAAAACTTTCACCAGTCTTCGTCTACCAGCCCCCCCTTTTCTCCAGCCTTCAATCCTATGTCTTTGTACGTTGGTGATTTACACCCTAGCGTTACAGAAGTCATGTTGTTTGAATTATTCAACAATGTCAGCAATGTTTGTTCTTTAAGAATCTGTAGAGATATTGAAACTCGAAGATCACTTGGTTATGCCTACGTTAATTTTTTTAGCACTATGGATGGTATAACATTTTTTAGCTTTGTTCAAAATATGAACTTTTTAATCTTTTTATAGCTTTGCGTGCTTTGGAAACTTTGAATCACACTAACGTTAAAGGGAGACTGATTCGTGTCATGTGGTCACAAAGAGACCCTTCCCTTCGTAAAAGTGGCGTTGGAAATGTTTATATAAAAAATTTAGAAAAAGATATCGATAATAAGTGTCTGTACGACACTTTTAGTGTTTTTGGGAAAATACTATCCTGTAAAGTTTGCCCAAATGGGGACTCTAGTTATGGGTTTATTCATTTTGAAAACGAAGATTCTGCTAAAGCTGCAATTGAAAGAGTTAATGGAAAACTTTTAAACGGCTTGAAAGTTTATGTTGGACCTTTTATACCTCGGAAACAACGTGAACATAAGCTTCAAGTAAGCGTTTTACCTTTTACTAATATTTATGTTAAAAATATCCCCGAAAAATGGGATGTTGCCGAGTTAAACTCTTTTTTTTTGTCCTACGGAGAAATAACGAGTTGCGTTGTTGCTAAAGATTCTAAAGGTGTTTCAAGGTGCTTTGGATTTGTGAACTTTTTAAGCCCTAATGTCGCACGCACCGTCATTGAGGAGTGCAATGGCGTCGAGGTGGAAGGGAAGATTTTGTATGTCGGCCGTGCACAGAAGCGTCAAGAGCGCCTGCGAGAGCTTCAGCAGAAATATCTTATCGTTAAGAAAGAGCTGACCGCCAAGACGCAAGGCCATAACTTATACGTTAAGAATTTGGCAGAAACTGTGGATTCGGCTAAGTTAAAGGAAGTATTTGCGCCTTATGGAACCATCACAAGCGCACATGTCATGTACAACGAGAAAAATACCCACCGGGGATTTGGTTTTGTGTGCTTTGCCTCCGCTGAGGAAGCGTCTAAGGCTCTTGCCGCAGTAAATAATACGGTGCTAGATGGAAAGTCTCTTTACGTTGCCTTTGCTCAGACTAAAGAGCAGCGGAAAGAGCTGCTTGCTGGTCAATTTGTCGCTCGCCTTAATACTTCCCGCATCTATCAACCTCCGTATTACTATTTAAATGGCATAAGTCACCCACGTGGTAACTTTATGTACCCCGGCGCGTATCCGCCTCGGCGTTTTATTCCTCCGCCAATGGCAAGCTATTATATGCCTCCTGTTAACTCCCTTCCGAGAGCTCCTTATGCTAATCGGAATGGCAGGGTGGTGTTACCAGGGATGGACGTTGGTCATATCAATTCCTCATCTTCAGGACAGCCGCCACTTCAGCCGATTAATACTGAATTAAATGCGTCCGAACTTGCTAAGGCTTCGGAAGCAGAACAACGCTTTATTATTGGAAACAAGCTTTATCATAGAATCACATCTATTAATTCAGAGTTGGCCCCCAAAGTAACAGGCATGTTGCTAGAGATGGATATTTCCGAGTTGTTGCATTTACTGGAATCTCCTGAGGCGCTACTGCAAAAAGTTAAAGAGGCTGTGGATGTTATTGAGGAGCACGCTAGAAGAAACCCAGCTTAGGGCTTGTAAATAAGTTGGTTTTGAAAATAAAGGTTTCTACCCTTTTATTTTATAATAACTTTTAATTGACTCCCTTTAGCACGCTCATTGAAGAAGTTGTGTAGGTAAGAAGTATAAGAGTTACTTGACTAACGGTTCTTACAAATTTGGGGTTAAGGTTTTTAGTATTTTCTTTTCCTCTAGGTTGAGTTTGGCTTAAGGTATAATTCAGAAAAGGGATTTGAGTTCGGGATTGCAACTTTTGTTTATTGCTAAAAAGTTTGTAGTTTCTACACATTTTATGCTTCTTTTTACTAATGCTTTCTACAAATAACTCTTACTATTACTCGCATTGGTGATATGAGCCTCTTCTCCTTTGTACTTTGAATTAATGAAAATAATTTATTTGCTTATACTGTACTTCTAACCAATTTTTTTATTTGAACAGCTCTTCTTTCATTTGTGTCAACGTTTAATAATCATATTTCTTCTGATAACTCCAGATAGCTAGCTTATACTACTTTTACGTTTATATAATATATTTATCGAGGACTTCTGGATGCTCGCTAAAATTCAAGCGAAGACGGCCTTAAAGTTTACCTCATCTATATTTGCCGTAATAGTTGTTTGCTTCCTCTAGCTTTCTCTTTCTTAATACACATTAAAAAGGGTACGCTGAAACGCGTTGAGAAGTTTAGGTTGCCGTGCAACGGGTATCGTTGCGCACAAAACGAGATTTGCCGGTAGAAGCTTTTTCACGACATCTACAGAAGTAAGTAGGCGAGAAAGCTAAAATGAGGTGCGCGCAACTTTTACGTAGGTGCAGTATATCGCGCAAGAAACCTCAGACTTTTGCAGTTAGGCGGTTACCAATGGTAATACCGGGTATATATATTGCCTGTGTTAGATCTTCCTATTTTAAAAAGTAGATACTCAACAGAAGGAAACAGGAAATCATTTTTTAAGGCGTTGAGTGCTTTAGAGATTGATCATAGAATCTCAACGTTTTGAGGGTAAGCGGTAAAACTAGTCACAAAACTGTTACAGCTATGGGCTGACGCGTCCTACGTTTTATCCTCAGCGACTCTATACTCGCCTACGGATTTACGAAAAGTGAGTTATCTTTTCGAAGCGCAGCCCGCTCTGCTTTCGAACGAGTAAAGACGCAGTTGAATCAATAAAACTTTCTCGTAACTGGCGCTCCTTTGTTCGCTTTAATCAGGTCCCTTCTCTTTTTTTTTAATGTAAACATTGGACTTAAAGACGCAATGAAAGATAACCTGTAATAAAAAAATTTGAAAGATTTGCTTACATTTCTGGTGTACTTAAAAGCATCCTAATACGGATTTTAGAACGTCTGCTTCTGTCTCTCCAGCGAGTAGCATGATAAAAAAGATCATCTAAGCATGCTTTAAAAAGTACACGCCCCCAGCGTAAGCTCGGGTACGAGCGTTGAGCAAGTCAGTGAAAAATGCGAGGGGTCAACTGTTTTTTGAGGAAATTATTTATTAGGCCATTGTACTAGAAAAGGGTCTAGCCTTAGTGTGTCGTTACTCATAAATTAATACTGGGCTGTTTCCCTTTTGTACACCTTGTTTTTTTTATTTTATATTTATCATTTGGGCGAAAGGTGATTTTGGAATTTATTTCAGTTCAAAAATTGTTTTTTTAATAGTAAATAATGGTACCACCCTTTAAATGGCTAAGGGCGATGTATATCTATTCACCTAGTCACCCATAGATAACATTTAATTTATATTAGAGCGTTATGGTGGTGCCCCCTCTATCTGGTGAAACGTGGTCCCAAAAAAGGTATTTTCACGCAAATTATGGATACTTAAAAGTGTGGTTTATATTCTCCAATTAATATCTTTTAAAGGCGTTAAAACCTGTGATTGGTTGTTAATTGTTTTAAGGAACTAAATAAGGTTGCGCCTCGCTCAGAAATTTGTCGTGGCTCTTGAGTTGTGTTGGTAGCTAGAGGGGATATGAGTACTTTTTGTTTATACTAAAACGTTATTACATGATACCTATACCTATTTTATTTTAATCAGATTCATGTTTTTCTAAAGTAATAAGAGAAAAGAGCCAAGGTATTTTGTTATACTTAGTAATTTTTTTGATTAACTCTTTGTTATTATAAAGCTTACTTAAAAAGTTATCTTGAAAAAAGAAATTTTCAGCACCTGTTGTTAAGCTCAACTGAAGCAGTAGAAGAAGCTTCTGAATCCGCTGATTCTGAAGTGGCTGCCGATAATTTGAGCTTAAGTTTTGACAGCAGTATTTTTTTAATTAAGACTTGTCTGTGTATGGAAAATCTTAATCGTTCTTCACTACAGAGACTTATTTGTCCGATTATACTGATAAACCTCATAAGGAATCTTTTAAAAGTAAACTTTATTTATTATTTAATATTTGATTATAAAGTGTATATTTGTTCGTTTAACCTTTGCTTTTTTTTAAAAGAAATCATTTTATTTCTTTATTAAAATTAAAAAAAAAATTAAATAAAAAAAAACTCTAATACTAAATATATGTGCTGGTTTACATTAACTTTTACATTTATAAGTTATTTTTTTTTTATTTACTAGCCCGTTTACCTCTTCCTAAAGTCAAACTTGCTGGGAAATTAATAAAAGGTTATATCTTACAAATCTGTTTTACTTTATTTTAGCGATATGTTTGTAATAGAGAAGGAGATAAAAGTGTACTTTCTTGATTCCAGTAAAAGTATCCTTGTTTGTCCCCGAGGAAAGTTTACTACTTCGTGGGAAATATGCAACCGGGTTTGTTTCTTTGATTTTTTTTAAAATTTTAATATCAATAAACCTATCTTTTTTTTTAAAAAGTTATAATTTTGAAATTTTCTTTTAGCTTGGTGAATTAATTGGTCTTTCTCCGCAAGTCCAGGGATATTTTTGTTTGTGGGTATTTTTTTTAGTTATAAAATTCTATATTTATATCTGCTCTTAACATTATCTTTACTTCTGTAACCTACAAAATATTTTTCTAACAAATCTAAGCTAATTCCTTGTCTATATTTTTACCTTGAAATTTTTTAATAACTTTAATTTTGGTATTTCAATGTCTAAATAATGTAAAGCTTAAACTATATTACTTTAATATTAATTTTTTTGCTCTTTTCCGTTAATACTAATTAACTTGTTTTCTTGTTTTTAATTTATCGGCATTTAATTTTTGCTAATATTTACATTAAAAGTTTGTTTCTTTATAAATAAAAGAATTGGTTGTATCATAACTATTTTTTTAAGATTAATTTTAATTTATTTAAAATTTCTCGTAGCTATATACGGTTGTACAGTATTTACTTTTTTCTAGGCCTTCCTTAAAAATTTCTAGTAATTTACTATTACTTAATAACTGTGTGGTCTTATAATTTTTAGTTTATTTACTTTTTAATTTGAAAGACTTGAAATTATTATTTTTAAGTTTCTTTAAATAACAGTTACTTATTTTTGATTAAAAGTTGCATAAAAATGTATATTTGGTATACAAACTTTATAGGGACAGAAAAACTTATGCTTAAAATTTTTTTTATATATGAGTATTTTAGAGAAGGGCACTATCCGTTTTACAATTTTTATAGTAAATTAGTCAATTTAATTTTACTTAACCATGAATTTTTTTTGAAATTATATCTACAGCTGCCCAGTATTTTTAAATTTTTATTAATTTTTATAAATAGTTTGCTTCTATATATTATTTAAACGATTTAAAATTTTTTATTTAATTTATATTAAAAGGTAAGTAAATTTATAAAGTATATTTTATTTTATAAAAATTTTTAAAAATGTTTTTGAAATATGTATAGATGAGTGCCCTTTTAAACTTTTTTATTGTTTTATTTTTTAGTTAAACTCTAACTCTAACTTTTATTTAGATTATTTATTATGTATTATAAAGAATTAAATTGCTGATAATGTATAACTAATATTGATTTTTAGTTTTTACTCTTCATTTTTTGAGTTTTTGATATAAAAATTAATCAACTCAAGTTTATTTTTATTTTTTTGCAAAGAAGTAAACTTTTCTTGTTTTTTTTATAATATTGATATTTGTTTTTATAAAATATATTAGCGCTTGTTTGTTTATATGTCTACAACTTCTCTATTGTATTTTACTTAACTTTTAACTTTTCCTTTACTTTTTAAGTTAATAAACTTTAAGATAGAACTTAATGATAAGTTGTATACTGCACTCTAATAATTAAACTTTTTACTATAATAGAAAAAAGTTTTTAGTTTTGTTATATTAAAATTACTTATTCAATAGAATAAAATACTAATTTATATCAAAAAAAAATTTAAAAAACTTTTGTATATATATCTTAACCAGCAAATAAATTTACTTTACAGTTTGGATATCGCATTATTGCTTGAATTCCTATTGTAAACTTAAGTATTGTTTCTTTAATTAAATAAAATAATATTACTGTATCAACCTTCAAGTCATCTCTTTATTACTTTTAAACTATTGAAGTTTATAAACTATAGTTTTTTAATTTTTTTTTAATTTACTTTTTACTTTGATTGCTATATAGATGTTCAACTTTTAATATATATTTTTAAATTTTCTTCTTTTTATTTATGGTTAATGTAACTTAAAGTAAATTATCTATTTTTTTGGAAATGCTTATTATTATCATTTTTTTTAAGCCTATTAACTCTGAAAAGAGTTAAGGTGTGGTGCGCATAAAAGTTTGTTGTAAATTTTATAATAGTTATAATATATATATAAACTTATTTTTATGCTTTTTTATTTTTTATCTACTAATCTTGTTTTATTTTGATAATTATTTTTAGTTTTATCGAGTAAGCATGAGATATAACTTTTGATCTTTTTTCTAATTTTTGAGTTGATATTAAATGTTAATATTTTTATTACTAACTTTTAAAGAATTTATACTTTTATTTTATTTTTGTTGCATATTATATTATATGAAAAGGTTGAAAGTTCGTTATAGTTTTTTATAGTATTATTACGAGATTTTCGAGCATCTCAATTTTTTTAATTTACAAAATTTTGATATTAATTTTATACATTTTAATAACCAATAAAAGTTAATTAAGCTTTTATAAATGTACAACTATTGGATTTCCAATTTTATAACTTTTAATGTTTTATTTTTTTGAAAGTTTATAGAGTTTATAATAAAAAGTATTGCGGAAGCCTGTCAATCTTTATCATATTAATTATTTTTAACTTAACTTTTTGCTAAATTTATATAACAAAAGGTTACTGAAAGTATATTAGAGCTTGCTTTAAAGTTCAACTACGAGCCCTTCATAGTTCGGAAGCACTACCCAGAAACTACTTTTAGATTTCTAAGAAGACCGTAATTTCATTACTCTACAAGGCCTTTATTGATCGCTTCATTACTAAAAATTAAAAATATGGGAAATTTAATTTCTTTTTATTTATAAAATTACTTTCATTTTTTGATTTATTTTTAACTCTTGCAGTTTTATCATAATATAGTACTCATGTTTATTTTTACTTTAATTCCAATATAAGTACTTAATTAGCTTTTATGATTTCAACTTGTAGTTTTTTTGCTACTTTTGCATTATACTTTTTTATTGATTAATTTTTTCAAGTTATAACTTTATGCTTTTTTTTGAATATTTTTAGCTTTTAGAGAACCTATTTTAGCATTTGCTTTGTTTTTTTTTTTAATACATATAATTGAAGATTGGGTTTTGTTTAATTATAAATATATTTATTTTATTAATATTTTCTTTGGTATTTTATTGTATAATTATGCTTATTCATATTTTTCAAATATATTTATATATAATTTATATTTTGAACGCTTTTTTACTTTTACAATAAGTTTTATTTATTTTAATTATATATTTTAAGGAAGACATTTTAACTTTTTTCTGATGATAGCTTTAATTTATATATAGTTAGTAGTTATACTTACAATTTTAATTTTTATTATTCAACTAACTTATAAATTTAATATTTTTTAAAAGTATAAAATCTTCGGTGGAACCGGTGTTTGTATACCGCCGCGATCCTTTTCTAGACAAGTACATCGAAAAAGGTTGATTTTTCTTTTTTTTTCCTTCGAGAGTCTTTTTATCTTTGAAATTGTATTATCCCCCAATTCATAAAAGAATTATAATAATATTTTTAGAAAACTTTTTAGTAGAGAATTAAGCGTTTTATACTTACTGAGAGACTCTTAATTACTATGAACTTTTCTTCTCCGTTGCACTGAGTTGCTAAATTTTTTGTTGGGATTCTGCAGTAATTGCAGCGCGTTTAATAATCTGTTAAAAGCGATTTAACTTTACTCACTGCCGATAGCAAATATATTTGTAATTGTTAGTACAAAATAATAGATTGTGTGATTGTTGTAATTAGCGAGTCTATAAAGTCATAATACTGTAAGTACAAATAGAAGTGAATAACAAGGCTTGATTTTAGTTTATTATTACCTTTAATGCGTATTAAACACGTGCTGCTGCTACTCAGTAGTGGTCCTCCTATTTATAAGTTGGTATATTTCGTAGACGATTTTTATTATTATAGTTTCTATATGAATTGATTTCAACCTTTCAGGCATTACCGATCCTTGCGCTATTAAACTTTTATACGACGAATGTAGATTCAATGTTTTGAATAAGTATTTTCTTTTAAAGTTCCCCTTTTTTTAGTGGTAATTCTTATATATATAATTCATATTGCTGGCATTTAATAGCAGGTACCCCATTTCCGCACGCGACGTAGCACAGCTTGCCGGCCTCGATATGCAGCTTATATTTGGTGACTGGATGGAGTCTACATATTCAGAACAGTTTTTGAGGTTGTATCATTATTTGCATTGCCTTTTTAAGTTTTTATTATTTTCTTTATTATTATTTTATTATTAGCCAAAGGAAAATTTTTGAACTCATACCGAAGTTTATTCAAGCAAAAAATGATGAGAAAACTTGGAGAAGTTTAGTATCGGAGGTTTTCATTATTACTAGTGTGCTATAATTTATTAATTACTTATTAATACTTTATTTTAAGGCTCATAAAAAGTACCAAGGAAAGAACGATGTACTTTTAATACAGAAACTTTATATCCAATACTGCCATCAGTTTCCCTTTTATGGCTGCTCCTTTATTTATGGTTTGTCTATGTATTTGCTAAATTTGGGCCGAAGATTTTCTTATGAACGTTATTCTTCTAAAGGACGCATATGTTTTGATGCAAAGTACAGAGAATCAAAAGGTTATACTGATACATTACAGACGTGTTGTGTTTTTTGGGAAGTTTGCATCACTCTTGTCAGTAGTTTGTTTATAGGGTGAAACTTTTTTTTTGATCTATTTTTTTTTTTATCAAACGTTAATCATAAGGAACTTGTTTGGTCGGGTTTGTAAGAGAGCTTTATTGGCTCTCCGTTTTTTCAATGGGGCTTTTATTAGTAAGCCTGCGTAGTGTGTTGGCAAGTTTGCTAATAGCGCTTTGGTCGCGCCAGCACGTCCTTGTTGTTTTTAGAACTCCTTTTTATTTTTTCTTGTTATTTGGTTGTAAACGGCGCGTGTAAAGTGGAAAAAGAACTAACTAGAAGCCTAAAAAGCTGCGTAAAACTGTCTGGGCATCGGGCTCGTATGAGTGTTTTCTGCTGTGTGTGATGATGGCGTTTATCTTTAGGAGCTATTAACTCCGCGTTTGGGGACTTCATGCGAGTTGGAGTCAACTCGGAGGGAATATTCATCATCGATCATGCCAAAAACGTAAGAAGTTTTACGATTACTCTACCACATGGCTCATATAGCACGTTTTATAATGAAAGGAACTGAAGCTCCACCTCGGCTATTACGAATTCAACTGGCAATACTCCGATATCGACAAATTGCTGTATTTAGAATTCGGAGACCTGAAATACTTCAAAACCCTGTTGATCATGACCCCACAGGTCCACGTGGCTCGCTGTACGCACTAACGTGTTCTTAACCAGTCCTATTTGGCAGGGCGAGTTAATGGAAGGACTCATTTTAAGTTTTATGGAAATGCAGCTAATTCGCAACAGAATCGCGCGTGGTGTTAAGGAAAATGCCCCTAAATAAAGATAAACGTCTAACTTTATTGGAGATGGTGCATTTGTTGCTCATAAATCATGAATAATAACATCTATTGCATACGTGCGAATGGTTTCCACTCGGCCAACAGTCTTTTGCGCCTCTCCATCTTTTTTTTGTTGGATTTTAGTCTTTTCGCTGCCGTTGCCATTGGGTCGAGGACTTTCTCAAGGGCCCGTCGTTTTCGCCTCTCCAGCCTGGTGTTTACTATAAATATCTTAAGCTTGTTATAGGTAGCTGTGTAGCTCTCTGTGCCAATAGTATTCTTCAGCAGTTCTAAAACTTCTTCGCCGGTGGCCCGCACATTGCCTTGTATGGATCTACTTTCCAAGAGACGCGCAATCGGTGAGACAATATAATCAGCGTAGCAGGCCACACTAGCCCCAAATATCATAATAACGGCGCCGAAGAATTCAAAAACGTGCATCCTTAATATTGCGGCAACGGTGGAATTTGAGAGCCCTTTACGCGCCAAGAAGGAAACCCGGCGTAAAAGCCATACAATGTATGTGTTACGTTCTTGCTGTGGTTCTCCCAAAACGACCTGGCGGACACATTATTTGTCGATGATTGTAAAAAAAAAAAACGAAAAATAAACGAAAACCTCTGTTTTATGGCGGGAAAGAACTCGGGTCGCAAAAACCAAATTTTTGACGACTTGATGTGCGAGGGGCGAGGTTAGATGGTCAGACGCAAGTTGCCCGCAGAGCGTTCGACCAAGGTTAAAGACTTCCGACTTTTCCAATAAAAAAAACGGGCCTTGATTAGCCAGGATTTTATTGGTTACAATGCTTATACTAGTAACAATCTAAAGCGTAACAAGAAGTGTACCCGTTAGTTTATCGGCGGCGCTGAGGGACATGCTCAAACCGAGAAGACGGGAAGCCGCTAAGCGGACCCATGTGTGAGGATATAGCAGCAATTTTCGTATATGAGCCCACACCAGCGTTACCGAGGCAGCATGACTATTATCGCCAATATTATTATTGTTATGGTGAGTTCGCTCAAGGAGGAATGGAAAGGTCGAAATGAGTTTTTCTAATGCTATCAGACAATAATATATGATGGTCCAGTTCTTATCTTCGATTTCTTCATATTCTATAAAATATTTACAAGTTTAATATGTTCTCACTGCCAGTCGAAAAAAAATTGCAATATTATGAAGAGATATATACCATGTTTTTGTAGGTAAAAAAGTATTAAAGAAGAAATATTCCTCTCCACTTCTTCTATAAACATCGAAAAAGATGTGCCGCAAACCTTATTTATAATGATAATAATTAAAATAGTAATAATAATAATAATAATAATAATAATAATAATAATAATAATAATAATAATAATACTTCTATAAAAAATCCCAAAACTTGAGCGGATGCCCGTTGCAGGAGAGTGTTCCCTTCACTTAAGAGCTTAAGCGAATAATTAATAATAATAACAATAATAATAATTATAATAGTAATAATAATAATAAAAGTAATAGTAATAACCCATTTATTATTCATCTCAAAAAGTAGGTTACGTTGAGGAGGAACGCACTGTGATAAAAGTTTTTTTATGAGCAACCCTGCCATTCCCCTAATAACGAATATTATTATCCTTATTATTAGAGAGGAAGGTTTTAGTAGTGTTATATTTAGCAAACTTCTTCTTCAGACAAGTTACGAGGCGTATACTAATAATAATAATCGCAATGATAATTGCACGACCTACAGGAAGGCTCTTCGTCATTGACCAAAACAAGAACGAGAGATAAAAAAAAAAACTTGGTGTATTTCAGTAAAACATCGCTAGGAAAGCGGCAAATGCAAGAGTGAAGAAGTTCCATCGAACTCTAATTATTAAAGATATAGAAAACGTGATTCGATTAATACAAATATAATGGCCAATAGAAAGTGGCACATGAGTAGAATATAAAAAACCTCACGACCGCTTTTCTGTTCGTACTTCAAGTTTTCAACAATATAATGCATGTGTTTATCAAGTCTTTTTTCGCTCTTAAAAAGTAATAATAATAATAATAATAATAATAATAATAATAATAATAATAATAATAATAATAATAATAATAATAATAAAATACTATTGGATAAGCAACTATATAAGCAATAAAAATATTTCGGCAAGCTCGTCTCGTGATAGGCAAATCACTTTTTATAGCAAGTTCTTAAAATTAAAATTGATAAGTCAGACAATTATAATAATATTAAGTGAATAATAAAAAAATAACCGAGAACAATGTCCATGATATCGTAAACAATAGGAAGTGAAAGTTTGTGTTTGATCTCAGTAAAAAAACATTCTTAACACAACTATTACTTTGTTAAATGATTTTACAATCAAAAATACAATGAAGTTCAGGAAAGTAAAAGTGCAGCTTTGTGGGACAGCTTCTTCCAGCCCCGCCTTGGCAATCAACAGCAGAATCTGTTAACAAACAAACTTTTGCTCCCGTTTCATAATAAAAGTTTCAAATAATTAATAATTAACTTTACATATAGAAAAATAGTGACTAATTAAAAATACAGTGCTAGCAAACTCGTAATGAATGAAATACCAATTATACCATTGGACGTATAAAACGGTACCAGTTAAGCACTTAATATGTATAAAAAAAGGAAAAAGGGTTGCTACAATGAGCTAGTTACAAAATACAGCTAAAATACCACCAAAAATCTGAAAAACAAACCCAAACATCTTTAGCGACTGCTAATTATAATAAATATAAGTGGAGTTAAAGCCAATCAATAACCGAACCTCAATATGCTCCGCCGAAATATTAAAATCGGAATAATCTCGAATGATAGTCGTTATTAGTTTGAAACATGCTTGAGGAAGTTCCTTGCAGGCCGTGCCTCCCCCCGTTTTTCTCAAAAGTTTAAAAACTCTGACAATAATATTAATGTTAAGTATTTTGCAGGTGTTAAAAAGCATCATCACTATTATTTTTTATATATGAACCTTTCTTCTATAAGTAAAACATGTTCTGATAAGCTCGGTAAATTATATTGAAATGTAAAAGATAATATTTTAAGGGAAAGAAGTATGATCTAAATAATAACAATAATAATAATAACAATAATAATAATAATAATAATAATAACCTTATCGTATTTCGATAAAAGCGTATCGCATAGTTTACTTATAAAAGGATCCAGTAAACCCAAATGACGGGGATTTTTTTTTTCGATTTTATGTTTTTTGCACAAATACTACAATATATAATAATAATAATAGTAATAATAATAATAATAATAAAAATAATAACGTTAAGAATCGTAAGTCCCAATTCTATAAACATATGAGCATGTGTTTGAAAGCAACAACGAGGCGTTTTTGCGTCCTGCCGAGCCACGTGATGGACATGCGCAGTGACTTCCTGCAAAGTTTTCTGTGATATTCATAATAACAATAGTAATAATATCAGTTATCACAGTAGTAATACCGTTTTTATATATTTTTTTCCTGCTTTCGATAAGGCCAAGTTTTCGTGAATAAGGTCGTAAGAAAAAATCTTTACGTACAATATATTTATTATTATAATTATTATTAAAAGTTGCTGTTACCATAACGTCTTCCAACTTCAAAGTTTCATTGCTACATATACCAGAAGCAATAGTTTCCAAAACCTTTTCAACTTTTTTAATGCTCTAGTATTAATTATATATTAAATATAATATTTAAACCTTTTTTTTATAAAAAATATCTTTTACTTTTGGAGAGTCGGTGGTGGACATGATTTGCTTAAAAGGTTTCAAAAGAGCGCAGAAATACTTAACACTGCAGTGAGAAGAGAGAATATAGAGAGTCTCGTAACTTCGGCATTCTACGAAGAGAATTAAATAAATAATATTTAATAATAGTAACGATAATAATAACAAACTTTTCGCTTCTTTTAATTTGCGAGTAATATTCTGAACCTCCTTTTCCTCAGATATATTCCCGAAAAGATCGGAAACACAAACTTCCAATAACTGTGGAAGGGAAAGATCAAACTCTTCTATACAATATAATAATTATAATAGTAATAATAGTGGTATTAATATTGAACCCCAGGTCACTTCACACTTTTCCAAACCGCATAAAAGGGCATGAACCGTATAACCTTCAAAAGTATGAACAAAATGATAACCAATTAAAAAGGTTAAAAGTAAAAAAAAAACCGAGAACGTGCAACTGATAACCGCTTGCAAGCAAACTCTGAAGTTGACTCACAACAAATGAAAAATAGCGAACGCCTAAAAAGTAAAAAAGAGTAATAGAAGTAATTATAATCAATAATATTAGGTACCGAGTGTTCTGCAGACTTTCACTAAAGTCTGTCGGGCTTCTTCTCTGTGTTTAAACTCTCGACTTTTTAAAACTAGTGATAAGATAAATATAAGCGTTCCTCTCGTTAACGGACCTCGTGTAAAACCTGCAGTAATTTTAGTAATTATATTCAACAAATGAATGCGCAGAAGTTCTTCAGGTAAGTTCTGCAGCAATCCAATCATAGCTAGACCTATCTATATAAAGAGCCAATTAAAAAAGAAAAAATAAATAAGAAATAATTGGAGCGTACAAACGGTCTGATTATTAAATCACCCTTTTCATCTTTTTTGGTGAAATATTTGCTTATTTGAGGGATTAAAAGCCCAACAATGACGTCCTTTACAGTTCTTTTCTAATCAATTAGAATAAATTTTTTTACTTTTTACGTAAACATAGTAGAACTTTTTCTTTTTTGCTTTTTTCCTTTTTTTCCTCCACCTCGTTATCGCTGAAATGGAACGAATTGATTATACTAACAACTACTTTCAGTAAAGTTTTTTCGAGCGCAGGCTTCAAGGGAAGCGCGTGCATATAGATTTTCAACAGTCGCAAGTAGTGACTCTAGAACAATTATTATTATTATTGTTATTATTATTGTAAGTGTTAGCAGTATTACCCAAGAAAGCAACGCCGCCAAGCGACCTATGCAGTCCACGACATCGCGAACAAAGTTGGGGTCAGAACAATCTTTTTTCCATGTAACCAAAAAAGTTACTATACTCTAATAGAAAAATAACAGCAAAAAGTAATAAACCTTCAAAAATGAAATGGCTCAACAACGGCAAAAGTATATAAGCAACGGAGGGTTGCGAAAGTTGGGAAAGCTCAAGTGAATTGCATAGAAAGCGCACTGCACTATAAGAGTAAAAAATATAATAAAGATAATGAGCTGAGCAACAGCACTGCTTGGCTCTTATTGAAGAGTTCATGCCGACAAATAGTAGCAAGTGAAGCGCATATTAAACATTGTTATAATCAACTTACTGCAGTGTTAGCATTTCGCTGTTCTGTTGGAACAGCGAAATGATTAATTGCATAAAATTTTGCTACTCGAACTTTAGAGTACGCTATTAATAGTTTGTCTTCGTTTTTGTTTATAATTTATATCATAATTGTGCGCGTCATTAAAAATCATCCTTAAGATGACAAATAGAAACAAAGGCTAAAAAATCGTCCAAAAAGCAAGCCAAATTTGCTACCAATAAGGCATCGTAAAAGGAGAACTCGACTTGTAAAAGTTTCATTTAGAAAATTAATAAACAGTGAAGATATCCCATTTTAAGGGGGTAGGCACCAATAAATAAAAAAGCTTGTATTATTGTTACCGAGCGCGGCGGTGTTTCTGTATATGAGTAATATTCACAAAAAAAGATTGTTCTTCATCCACGTGAGTTAAACTATTCATATCTCCAAAGCAGCACTCAGGGAATTTCTCAATCTATAACAATCATAATAATAAAAAATAATGTTGATAATAATAATAATAATAACCAAAAGCACAAGAAGTTTAACAAATTCCCATCGAACAAAGTTATTAGCGGAGTGCATGGCCCGTCGTATGGCAGGCACGAGGATGGTTTTAATAATATTATTATATATATTGCCTACGAAGAAACAGTAAATAATACATAATAACGAAGAAATAATATTTAACGATTTTTCAGTGCTTGAAGCACGATGAGCTGCAGAGAATTAGCAGCGCTGGCTCGTAGAGAATAATCGTCAGCAAAGTGATTCAGCGTGAAAATAAAGTTATAAGCAAACGGAAGGAGAATCACGGGTGAGGCGCCAGAAAGAAGCTCCTAAATATATATATATATATATATATATATATATAAGTAGGATAATTGAATAAGTAAATAATAAAAAAAGACATTGTTAAAGAGTGAGAAAGCCGCGTGTCGTTGCTCGTAATCAGGCTCCTGGGAAAGACCACTCTGCGCGACGGCGTTGAGGCCGGACAAGCAAGTACATAAACGATCGTAGTCAAGGAAGCCTCGCCGACTAGTGAGCTGGAAGACACACTGAAGTATACGAATTATAAGTTATAGGTACTTCATTTTTCATTATTTTCTGTAAACCTCGCAAAGAAGCATGCGAAGATCCATTTCAGAAAGACTTAGAAAAAGACGTGAAAAAGAATCATAGAAAAAGTTAAAGTTCTTTTCGTTCAGCTCAATAATCGTAACGAAGTGGCGCAGAATAGTAAGAATGTTAGTCTTTTCCGTTATATTTAGCTGCTCGTTAAAAAAATACACAAAATAAATCAAAAATAAGGAAGAAAAGCCAACCAAGAACCTTTAAGGACGGCTGGAGTAAAGAAGGGAGCAACAGCATGGCGCATTTAACGCTTGAAATGGGGTCTTTTACGTATTTACTGACACGCGAAAGGACGGAAAGTTCTCTCGCGGAAAAAGCGAGGTCTTTCTCTTTCGTTTTTTCCTTTGAAGCTGTTATTATTTTTATTTTGTTACTATAATTATTAGAAAAGATAAAAAACCTTTAAGAGCTACTTTAGCGTGTAAGTTTTCTAAAAAGAAAACGAGAGCGGGATAAAAGATGAGCTCCCCTACTTTATTTTTCCCTTGAAGTTGAAATTCAACTGTTTCCTAATAAATATAATAAATCTTAATAATATTGATATCATAATAATAAAAAACCTCTTCTGCCTTTAACAATAAAAGATTTTCGAATATTTCTAAAACAACATTGTTAACTTCTGGTTTAACTTTACTGCTAGACAGGCAAGAAAACACGTGGGAGAAAACAGTACTATAATAAAAAAAGTATTAGTAAGTACCCTATTAGACCCCATGTCGAACTATTACTTATTATGGTAAGCAAGCCAAGTGCATTGAGAACGACTTCTACTCCAATACAAAAAGAGCTACGCATAATAAAAAAATATTAAATATATATATATGTGTGTGTAGGTATGTGTATGTTATATAAAAGTTGCCGTTATTAAGCCAGAAGGGTGTTGAAAGTTGTCTTGAAGAAGAAAAGGCAGTCTGGGAAGTATAATGGCTTCATACTATTACGCAAAAGCTTCATTAAAAAGTTGAGAGGAAAACCCGCAAAAGATACTATGAATGGTATGAAAGGTTCCAATGATAAGTCTTCGCTGATCTCGCAGAGAAGCGCGAACGTGTTTATGCCGCGATTTCGAATTTCTCGCAAGGAAGAGGCAACCTTTTCGCTGAGCAAACTTTTCTTATAAGTCATAAGCCTTCAAAAATTTAAAATTAATAACGCGGCAACTTTTTTATTCACAAACTGTAAGGTTTAAATTTCTATTAATGTATTTATAAAGCCATTTAACTTTTAATTTGCTTTTTAATTAATAAATTTAACAATTTTCTATATTAAATATAACTTATAATCCAATTACTTTGATATACTTTTATATTATCAAACTATAAAAGCTTCAAAATTCTATTATTATATGACATTCTACTCATGTACACATATAAAACAACTAATATACTTTATTAGTAGTATAGTAACTTTTTATTATTAACTGGTACTCTAAGAACACGCTAGCTGAGAATTCTATAAAATAAAAGATTAAGAAAATTGTGCTTTACTTTTTTTTAACGTTATTTGTCCTTAACTTTATCTTGTATATAAATTTCAATAACAATTATAAAAATACCATTGGGCATCACTTATTAAACGTAAAAGGATAACTCCGACTTTAACAACAAAAGGCGATAGCTTTGTTCGCACTTGCTTGAAAATATCAGAAACAATATTTAAAAGTCCAAGCTGTTTACTATTGTTATTACGATAGTTATTATAATTATTATAAGTAGTACTTGTCTGGCAAGGGGCACAACACTTTCGATATCAACTTCTCTTACAGCTAAAGTAAATAATTATAATATAATAATCTACATAAAAGCATCATTAAAAACGATTAAAATAAATAAAACATAATAACAAAGTAGCCAAACTTAAAGTTTTTTCATAATGAAAGTTGCGGCAGAGAAAATCAATGAAAGCTGTCAACTCAGAATTTTCTAGTGAAGGCAGGAAACTCAGAACGCCAAATCTTCTAGACTTTGTTATAGACTAATAGTAATATTATGAATAAATAATGATAACTTAATTATAATAGTAATACTTTGTTCCCTTTGCCACGGGAAAGCATGTGTGAATAAAGAATAGGGATGACCACGCGGAATAAAGATGTCCGATGCTTGGGATGAACCCCATTGCCAGCTTCTGTTACTTTTATTAATATTATTACTATGATTTATTGTTATAAAAAGAACCGTTATAACTGTAAAATTTGCTGAGAGCTTCTCGAAATTTGCTCTCGTCTGACAAATCCTTTATTATTATTATTATTATTATTATTATTATTATTATTATTATTATTATTATTATTATTATTATTATTATTATTATTATTATTTACTAATAAAAGGTCCTTATAAGGGTTTAAGTAATTAAAGTTAAAAGATAGAAGACAATTTAAGGCCAACTTCTGTATTTCAGTATGAGCTTTGGTCAAGCATTCTACATATGATAATAATATTAATAATAATGATAATAATAATAATAATAATATTGCCAATGTAGAATCCGTAAAGGTAATGCGAGTGTTTAAGCTTGCGCGGGTTGGAAAGGTTTTCTATATAATTAATAGAATTTTGCAAGTTAAGTTAATCATGGTAAGAAGAATAATAACCAAAAACTTTCAAAAAAGAGCAAAGTTTTTTATTTGCTGGCTTTTTATAAATAGAAAATTCCTCGTTCGTAATATTCTACATAAAAAAAAGGATAACGTAAACTATAGAAAAAAAGTTCTATATCACATATTAGAACTTTGATAAGACTTTGTCTTTTGTGCTCTCCAATATGAATGACGTTATATTCTTCTTCCAGAAAAATTATGAACAACTCAACAAACTCCGTTGCATTCTCTTCAAGTAGTTGAACCGAATTTTTGTCCTTGTCATATTATATATATATTATGATAATTTAATATATACAATATTCTATATGTAAATAAAACTTGTAAAAATAAAAAATAATAACAAAGCAGGTAATATAAAAACAATTGAAGGTAAATAAATAAATAAAAAGTTATAATAATAAATAATATATATATATTATTATTAACTTGAAAAACTTCGAGTAAAAGTGAGAAGTAATGCTGATAATCGAGTCTATCGCGATCAACATGGTCAGCCAGCCAATCTTCTTCCCTTTCATGCATCTCTACAGAATATAATAGTAACGTACAACAATAACAAACTTTTAAATATTTAAGTATAATAATATTTATAAAAAAGTATCCTAAAAGCAAATAATATAAAAATGTATTTTCCAACACAAGTCTCTTATTTTTTTTATTTAATTAAAATCTTTAATAATCGGAAAGGCAAAAAAAAACGAAAAACCTAAAGGAAAGGCGTTCCCTTTCAAGAGCTGTACCACTTCGTGAGTAGAGCGTAAGTGTTTTATAAAAAGTTTCCTTTACTCATATAATGTGTAAGTAAATAAATATATCAATGACATTTCTTTTTATGGATATAACCAGAAGCCTCTCTGTCTGGAAGAAACGAACTGGCGGAGAAGAGCTATAGAGCCTTCCCACACAGGCTTAAAGTTCGTATATAAAAGCCCAAAAGTGTATAAAACAAGAACCTTATATAAATATATAATAATATTTTTAATTATACTTATATTTAATTGTAATAACAAATTCAAATAAATACGTTTCTATAAAGAGGAGGAACTTCATTATTTTCATAGCACATCATCATCGTGCGAAGTGCCTTTAGTTTTCCTCGATACTCTTCAAAGTCCGCTTCGTAACTTTCGCATTCAATACCAACTAATATAATCATAATAAATAATAAAAAATAAATGGTAAATAGTAAATAAAAATCAAAACTTTCAAAGCCTCGAAAACGAGACTCCTTACGAATTTCTGCCTCAAAAAGAGAAAGAAGCTTAAAGGTAAACAGACGCCGCTTCTTGTACGGGCTTATAAAATTTTTTTCAACCAAAGAGAATAGCTTAATAAAATGAAAATTGGCATAGAAAGGTATTATAAAAATAATGTAAAATAAACTTTTTCAAGCAGAGACTGAGAAAAGATCTTTTTGTTGTGCCTCTGAGTCAACTCAAAAAAAATATAACTTATTTCCAAAACACAATATTCTGTAATAAAAATATCGAAACTATCAAAAGCTTTTAAAAACGTTCATAAAAAATTGTTTAAACCATCAAAAACTTCCAGCAAAATAATAAAAATTTCCAGTAAACCAGAAAGTTCGACACCGTAATCAACACAATAACTGAACGAAGTTAAAAATAAATAACTAAAAAAAAAAAATTTAAATTTCTTACTTTAGCAAACAACGAAGAGCCGCAGAGCAGAGAACGGAAAGCTCGCGCTGATTGGAGGGCTATAAAATTCATAAATAAATAATAACCTAGCATTAACTATTATAGGGCACAAACACCTCTTTCTGGGCCAACCAGTTTTCAACAAGGCCAATTATAAGTCCTTTAAAGTTTTTGTGGGGAATGGACAAGACATTCAACGCCATGAGCGCCTCAAACACGAATTTTGGGTTCGTTTTAAAATCTTGAAGGCGCCCCACCAACTCGTTCGTAAAATATTCCTTACAATTAAGCCGGTTGGACTAAGAAATATTGACAAAGCAAATATGTTAAACTTATAAAAATAACCAGCAGGTAGAATAGGTATTTAAAAAACTCTTAATAATAATAACTTTTAAGCAAGTTTCGTTGGAGACGAGAGAGAAGTTAATTTTTCCTGTCAGCTTGCATAAGAGGGGTACAACGTCTTGAAGCAACGCAGAGTCCACGTGGCTTTCATTAAGGTAAGACACGAGACCGGGCAAGCAACGGCTGTGAAATACATCTACCGTGTGCTCTACCATGTACTCTTGGGCAGTTGTTAAAAACAAAATGATGGAAGTTTACTAAATGTACCGCACATGGCAACGATTCTACTTCGAGGCACTATATAATGGTTGAAAAGATTATCAATAAATGTTGATGAGTAAAGTGCCGCGTGCGAGGAGTCCCCAGCAAACCGGATAAGGAGAACAAAGTGGTCGCAAGCTTCTTCAGACACTAAAAAAACAAAACTGTCACCTCTAATAATATTAAATTTTTTCTGGTATTTTTAAAAAAATTTATATGTATAATAATGAAAACTAAATAGTAAAAAACAATGGCGAAATCAAGGGCCCCAATAAATACACACACAACAACTATAACGTACTTACATAGAAATTAGGACTTTAATAACATAGAGATTATATACAGTTAATAGAAGAAGATTTTTCTTTAAAAATTAATTCATAGTAGAACTATTATGTGATACCTCCAAGCAAAAATAAATCATTAACAGACGAAATAATCTTATTTAATTACTTTAATAGTTTTCGCAGTTATTATAACTTCTGATATTAAGATGCGAAACTTATATAACAATAATCGTATAAAAATCTTGACAGAAGCCGAAATATAACAAAACAAACTAATAAATAATAGTATAATATTGATAATTATCCACAAAGTCACATTCGCACATCTTATTATAACCAAATATCTTCAGTTCCAAAAACTTGGAGAAGTACTATAAATAAACTTTTTTAATAATTACGTCTAATTCTTATTAAGTATACTCCTCCGAAACATTAAAATATTCTATATATTATTTAAAGCTAAAAGCTTTTTTTAGAGATTTTATGTAATAACAGTCTATTAGGATCAGAAAATATTATAACAGCTCACGAACTAAACTCCACAACCAGAATATACATTAAAGAATAGTCATTTCGAACTGTTAGAATTCTTAATATAAACATTATTTTTTAATATTAAAATAATGATAAAAAAGAAATATATAAACTTAAATTTTTTTGTAGGTTTTATTTGCTTAACTATATAGAAAAAAATATAATAATTGTATTTCCAAGAATTTCTTTTATAAATTTGGTTAGCATTTTCTACTACCAGAAGTTACTCATTTTTTAACAAATCTAAAAATTTAAAGCAACCAATCCTAAAGAAAGCTCCCACGACATTTCAGAGTAAAGACTCAAAACTTTATAAAATAAACAAAACCCAATCAACGTAAAAGTACTGAACAAGCATAAAAATAAAATATTCAGCTGTTAATAAACTCTAGTTCATTAGTAAAACATCACCATATTAAAAATTTAATTATTATTATAAAAGTTCTCATCTTCAAAAAATTTTATACAAATAAATTTTAAGAAAAAACAACCTTTTTCCAAAAGATGAGAAGTTTCATATCCATTGTTTTCTAAAAAAATCCTGAACGAGTCATTTTTTAAAGAATCAAAAACAGACTGCAGTGATTGGTGGTAATGTGGTAAACATTTAGAGTGGTCGATTTTTTTCGAGTTCAGCCAAACTTTAAGATATGCCAGCGCCTGCCAAAGCGCAAACAACAAACCAGCGAGTGTCACATTATTATATGGGTCGCTCAAAGATGTTTTTGGCTGGTGGTACTGATACAAAGTGTCGTTTATAAATAAAAGATGGTCTATAAGAACTTGCCAAATTTCACAAGAAGTTTCTGGTGTGGAATGGCTAAAATAATGTAATTATTAGAAGCAACTAAACACAAATAATTACAAAATTTAAGGAATCAAAATCTAAAGTAATCCAAGTTTTTAATAAAACTAGCAAACATTAAAAGAGTTAATTATAAATAATTTAAATCAAAAATACAGTAAGAGACTTTAAAAGTGGAGAACTCTATAAATCGTTAGCCTTACTTAAAAAAAAATCCGAAAGGCAAAAACCATATAAAAACTTATTCCATTGAAACGAGAACTCGAAAAAATTAGGTTTAATTATTTCTAAATGATAGTATATTTATTTACTTTATTCTATATTAAAAGTATTTTAATTAATATAACCCTTCAACAAATTTAATAAATAAATTTAAAAAACAGAAGTTAATCAAAATAATATATACTACACCTAAAAAGAAAAAAACTTTTCAATAAAGACATCACCTCTATATTAAACTTAAATCAAAATACTAAATATCTTATTACTTTATTAATAAAAAAATTAAAAAGCAAAACCAAAAAAAGAAAATTTAATTAAGTTAATAATAAAAAAATAATTACTTTTTCAGTAAAATCATTAACTCTTTAAAAATCAAGGCCACCCGAATGTTTAGAGATTGACGGAAGTTAAGCTCATAAGAGGCATCTTTTTCAGAGTGTATGTTGATAAGCGAATCTAACAAGTGCTTCAGAATTTCAGAAGTTTGCGAATAAAAGCCTTTTCTAACTCCTTTAAAAAGCTCGAAAAGTAATTTCGAAATTCCTAATAAAAAAAAGGGAAATTAATAACTTAAAATAATAATAACTAATCATAAGAAATGTTTATATTAAATAATTTCTAAATAAAATAATTTTTATCACCAAAAGGCAAACCTTTATCCACCGAAACCTTTGACTTCGGTAACTCAACAAGTAAAAACAATAGTTTACTAACGAGACTCTGCCCTTTCAGTTTCCTTAATAAATAAGCAAAACTCTCAGCAGCAAATTGTAAAACATAATCTTTCCTAAAGCGCTCCAAAAGTAAATAATACTCTCTAAAAAAAAATTCAAAAATATGGTATAAAACAAACATAAATTAAATAAATTAAAATTTAGTAAACCTAATGTAAATCTCAATATCAGAAATGATATTCTTGCCAAGAAACTTAAAAAGGCAAGCCAAAGAAGTGAATATACTCTAAATAAAATTAAGAATAAAACTTAAAAATCTAGAAAAAGGAATTAAAAACCTTAATAACTTCCACGTCGGTGGACTTCTCTAGCAAATATATGAAAACGTCGAAAAAATTTTTAAAGTAATAATAAAATTCCTGTCTTAAATCTCTTGCCAGTTGAACAGTTAGGCTATATTGCAGCGTTATAAAGTGTTATATAATATGAGTAACATATAAAACATACTCCAGAAGAGGAACAAGCGCCATACTACCTTCAGCTTTTAAGTATTCTATAATAAGACTTGATATTTTCTCTTTATGAAATAATAGCTGATGGAAGGAGAGAACATACGGGGTTATCTAGATATAATGTTACATTCAAAAGCTCATAGTTATTTAAGTAAACTAAAAAAATAAAATAGATATAAAACTAGAGATTCTCCCAATTCTTATATTTGTGCAATAATTTTTTGCTTTATACTAAACAATATAAGAAGGTAAACAAGCAAAAAAATATTTTACTTCAAGACAAAATTTAGCAAAATCCAAAGTGCAGTTTAGATCTTTCCAATTTTCCAAGGATTCATGAAAAAAAGAGTCTTCGCACTTTAAAAAATATTATAAAAAATAAATGTATAGGTTCGAAATCTAACCTCTGGAACTTGCTTAAAAGTTTCCAGTCTATGCTTATCTATTTTTAAATTAGCAACTTGTTCACGAAAAGATTGAAATTTAAACCGGAATTTCCCAGTTACTTTATCATGAACAGCAACTTTACCCATTCCCCTTAAAACACAAAGACTTACAAATTCGACTCGACCTGCAATGTAGCACAAGGAGATGGATAGTGTTAGTGTAAAAACATCACGTGCAAGTGGGAGTAGCTCAGTCAGCTATAATTAAAGCACGCGTTTTCTTTTTTCTTTCGAACACTTGTTAATATTTTTTTTTTTATAAAAATAAAAAAACTAAATAGCTTAAAACGGAGGTTAATTTAATAAGCCATTAGTGATCCTATAAGTTAGTTTTCAAAGTGAGATTTTTGGCAAAATAATTAATCTTTCTAAGTGATTTTTGGTAAACTATGAGTTTTATTATGGTAATAATACATCAGTTTACAAAAAATTAAATATAGCATTTTTAGGGCAGGCTATATAAAGAATTGTAATATACTCCTTTTGGTGTGTTATAGTGACTGATATAGTAATAAGTCGTCAGTAAAACTTTTAAAATTCTCCAATATGGTGAAGTTTGTGCTCACACGTGATTGGAATAGCTAAGTGCTCCATGTGATTCATAGATTTTGGAAGTTAACTAAGACCTTAGCAATCTTAGACGTCTCAAAAATGAATTATGATAATTTTTGTTTGTGAACGAATTAAAAGATAAAATAAAGATATGCCATTTTTACCTAATAATCTTTTAAACTGCCTTAAAATTGGTGAAGATATAGTTTCACTTGAGCCAGTATTTTCAACGGATTCAAAGTAACTTATACTTTTTTTCTTTGTTTACTTATTAAAGTTTTTGGTTAGATATATTTTTGTTTGTTCTGGAAGCAAAATAAAAATAATAAGTACAAAAACTGGTTTTGTGGTTAATACCCTTGAAAACAAAAAAGAAGTTTCTGGAGTTCGCCTTAGCCCTATAAATCCCCTACAAGTTGTTTTATATAATGTTATTAAAATATTTCTTTATTGAAATTTTAAAGCTTTACGTTTGGTCTGAAAGTGGTTATATCAATTTATGGGATTATGAAGATGGGAACTTATTAAAGGTTTTTTTTATTGGTTACTATAAATTTTTTTACCAATCTGACTTATTTTTAGACATACGAACTTGGTCTTCCCATTTTACATTTAGAGGTTGATAAGGGTAGTACTAATCAAATATTATTTCTTTCTTATTATCAAAAAATCGTTGATGGCCAAGTAAAAAACACAAATAGACAACAAGTTTTACTTTATTCAGTGACGTTACCAAAGTTGTCAGGAAAGGTGTCTATGGAAGTAGTATTATTTTACTTGTTATTAATTTTAAACACTTCAGATTACCTCGTTAAAAGTTCAGACCAGAATACAGGGCAAAGTTGACAATTTTTATTTATCCGGAAGAGGTGATTTCGTCGCTTTTATTTCTGGAAAGCAACTATTTGTGTGGAATAGAATCCAGTATAATATGAAAATGTTACTATTTTTATAGTACATCTTTTTCTTAATTTTTAATTTTACTACATTATTTTATAGCTTTAAAAATAATCATAGACTCACATGTTTAGCTATTCACCCTCAAAAAGGGTTTATAGCTACCGGTGATTATATTGGTACTTCATAATTTTTTATTAATATTTATTCTTAGAAGATTTATGCTATTTACTATATATACTTCAGGCGTGATAAAAATTTGGTATTTTAATAAGGAAACTCAGAAACCTTTAAATTCCGAGTTGCATTGGCATTCACACGGAGTTAATACTATAACTTTTACAAGTAATTTTTTTGTTAATATATTAGACTTAATCAAGTAACAAGAATAATAATAGGCGACGGGGAATACCTTCTATCTGGAGGCAACGAATCAGTTCTTGTAGTATGGCAGTTGCAAACTGGAGCCAAGAACTTTTTGCCGCGCTTGGGTATATAAATTTTTACTTGAAAAATTCTGGTATGATTTGGCCACTCTCTTGTTTTCTTGCCGTTTGTATATTTAATAACAAGTAATGTCTTTGTTTACATGGATTTTGTTAGCAGGAGTTATCGTTCGTCTCTTTTTTTTCTCTTATTCAGTTATATACTTATTATAATAGGATCAGAAATATTATGGATCCGCGTAAGCCCCGATGAAAAGTACTTTCTACTGGCTTGCGGAGACAACACTGTCCGCCTTGTATCCTCTTTGACATTGGCTACTTTAAACATAACACATGGCCCAGTTTTCTCGGGTCCCGCCGCTAGATCTTCTTTTCCTTTGTACTGCTTTCTTTAATTTTTTTTTTTTATCGTTCCATCCTCATGTCTTTTAAAAAGACTTACGGTAAATCCACGGCGGGGCTACCTACTTTTACCAGCCATGCCTGGCTACTTGCAGTTTTATGATATCGTTTCAGGTTACTTCTGTTCGTTTGAATATATATATATACATATATATATTTTACGAAGATAAGCACGTTGACACGCTGGCTGTATCACCCCGAAACTTTTACTTGGCTATGCAAAAATCCACCCGACTGAGTAAAACTGTGATTGAGCATGCGGTTTTTAGTTGGGATGCCTCACGCTTAGCCACAGTTAACATTTTTTTCGATTTTTTGTATACCTCTACGCATACTTACATAATTGTGTAAGGTCGAGCGATGTGACAATGGAAAGCTTGGGAATGAACTTCAACTAAAATTTTGGACTTACGAAGTTGCGGTTTCTCGGTTTGTTTTGAATACATGCGCCGACTCACCCCATGAAATGTATACTTTCTGTAATAAGTAATTGTCATGGTAATAATAAAAATATATAGCAATGTTACGTGCCTCGTCTACCACCCTGCAAAGCACGTGGTCGTGACCACCGGCAGTGACAAAAAGTTTAAAGTGTGGGCCCAGTGCACCATAACTAAAGATTCTACTGCTACCACTTTCAAAGGGTTTATTATTATTATTCGATATTGTTATTATAATAATTATTATAAAATTAGCGAAGAAGGACAAACGATACCTAATAATAAAGATATTTATTACTGGAGCTGCCGGAATGTGGGAGCGTACCGTGGTCAGCCCCCCACTTACGCTGACTTTTGCCATGACGGGCACGTGCTCTTATAGTTAATTTAGATAACACTGTTAATGTATATTATACAAAAGTTCTTTGCTTGCTGTTGCCTATGGGAAATCTATAACGCTTTGGGATTCAGACCTGAACACTTTAAAAGGCTCCTTCTGTTATGGTATGCCTTCATCATTGTTATTATTTATTATTATTATGCTTTCTACTTAAAAAGTTCCTCCGGGGCAAACTATCAGACAACTCAAGTTCATACGGGCAGCTCCTTATATTGTTTCTATTACCGAGTCCATGTGTTACGTGTGGAACTTATTAACTTGTTCGGGTGAGTTGTCCTTACTAGTCTGATCTACACATTGTCTTTCACGTCGAAAATGATTTGATCTATTTTTTGCAAAGTTTGGTGGAGTTGTGAACTGCACGCTACACGACTTATCTCTAGTTTTCAGAACAGCGCATTTGCAGTATCTGCGTATATTTCTCCTTCGAAAAGAGAGGCAACTTCCCTTTTTCTTATATTTATTTAGCATTTATAATATTTGCATTTTTTTTTAATTTTAGTAATTTATATTACAATGTTTGGTTATGAAAAAGTGGAAACGATACTTTTATAATGTAGACATCTTGATTTAGATTAGTTATTAAGTCAAGTTAACTATTTTATTATATTTGTTAACTGATTTCGTTTGGACTAATAACTATTATTATTTCTTAAGCTTGGACAAAAAATAATATTATTTTCTCCCGCATCTCCAGCGCCTTTGAGCACTCTGGAAGTGTACAACGATTTAATTCTTAATTTAACTTTTTTAGAATATGATAATACAAAGTCTTTACGTTTGGTTGTTATAACTGAAAAGGAGCGAAATATATATTTGGTCACAATAAAAAGTTCTCCAGAAGATTCGGTAGTGAATACAGAATTTCCCAAGTCAGTGTTGCAAAACTCCATTAATTTAGTTGATAGTAATAATCTGGATTTTCTTCTTTGTGGCAATAACAGTAACAACAATAATTATGATGATAATAATACTAACCACACCAAAAAAAAATCGTGGACTGGCGTATTCAACGCGCCATCTCACTTGTTGCCGCCCATTCGCCAACTTTTTCCACATTTTGTTTCTAATCTTCTTCAGTGTACTAAAGACTCTACTAAGAGGTGCTCTTTTTTCTTCTTTTTACTAGTTATTATGTATATATTAAGTTTTTATTTGCAGCCAGTCGATCCAAGATTTCTCGAATTTTCAAATGCCGACCGCTCCCACTTGGGTTCCTACTAAGGCTGTTCTAGATGAAGTTACAAATCATAACTTAAGTTTAAGGGCCCCAATTGATTTCAATTTTTTGGCTAACGTTTTTGCTCAAAGTATTGCTGTTACAATTAACTTTTTTTTTGATCTTATTATTATTTTACTTTTCAGTAGAGCTCAAACCAAAGGACGCTGAAAGTAATTTAAGAGGTTATAAATATAAATTACTTGCAGATAAACATCCCTCCAAAGAGGAAATTATTTATAAACATACGAATGGAATTGTAAAAATTAACGATAAAGTCGAAACGCCCTCTGTTACTCAAAAGGAAATATTTAAAAGGAAAGTAAAAAAGAGTTCAAAACTAAATTCTTATAAAAATACAAATCAAGAATTAACTTTGAACGGAATCACTGCAGTGGACTCGGCGGGAAAAAGAGCAGCCACTGTCCCAACAACAAAGTTAATAGCAAAAACAAGAAAAATAGTCAAAGATAATAATAATTCACTAACGTAATACAGCTTTTAAATAATTTTTTAAAAGAATGATTTATCTTGGAGATAGTTTACCTTTTTTTTTTTTATTAAGTTATATATAATAATTGCTAGCTTTTGACATACATTTTGACAAATAAAAAAACTTTAAAGCTCAGTTTACTCTTACATAGAGAAAACAATATAGTTAATACATATAAGAGGATTTAAACCTTTTTTTATTCCTATAATTTTTAACAAAAACTAGCGAACATTTGTTAAACGATAACTTATTTCTATAACATATAAATAGCCTAAGAAGCTAACTTCACTTCAAAAATTAAGTTAAGTAAAATTAATTGCTTTGTAAAAATAAATTCTAATATTAAATAAATAAGCTTAACATAATAAAATAAATACTAAAACTTACGTTTTTCCAGAAACTCAAGTAAAATAACTGAATTGAAAAAAAAAGGGAAACAAAGTTTTAAATTAAAAATATACTAGACTGGTATAGCAAAGGATTTATTAAGAAGAGTTTACACAATAACCCAAGTATTATGCTATAGTCACTTGAGAAATTTTACTTTTCTCGTTTTTTTTTAGTTTACGTTTATTATGTTTCTTCGCAAAACGCATATTTCTTACAAATTTTGGATCAAGCTAATAAAACAAAAATAAATTACATATTTTAACAGCTAATTGAATTAAACAAGACCCCTTTCAGCGATCGGAAGCGATGAATTTTTGGCTTCTTGATGCCATTTCGGTGGTCCTTAGCGTTTTGGTTGTGATTTGTATGGTTTTTTGACTTAGCCATGTTGAAAGCCTAAAAATTTTTTAAAAGTTTAAGGTAAATAAATAAAAATTAATAATTACGTCGACACGCCTAAAACGAAGGGAGTACTAAAGGAGACTCAACCATACACGTGCTTTATGTTTTTTTACACAGCTTTACTAGTTAAGAAAAAACGTGTAACACTATTTTTGTGTGGGGCTGACTTTTCATTATGAGTGCCGCAAATCTATTACATGTTTGCTTTTACTTACTTTTTTTTTTGAGTTTCTCTTTTAACGCAAGTGATCGTAGAGAGCTTATCGTTATTTTGTAAGCTCTTTTGAAAATTTAGAAAAGAGTTAATTTTTACTGTTTACTAAAGAAGGTAAGAATTTGTTACGAAAAGTACTAGTCTTCCATACTTTCTCCTTCAAGTTTTAGAAAAACTGTGGCCCACTTAAGAAATTATATTAATGGGTTTTAAAAAGTATGGAAACAAAATAACTTAATTTGTATGATAAAATTTTGGAAACAAAATTAGTAGTAGTCATTAATCCTTTGACTTTAAAATAGTACCAACTATTTTTTGGACAGCAATAACAATAATGATTTTATTATTAAAGCAATATTCGAATTTACGACCTTTACATGGGACTAAATGAACATGATCGTGCCCATGAAACCTCAATGCTACTCTCGCCGAGTTAATGTTAAATGTGGGGCTTCTTGTAAGCTTCGTATATCGATACGGAGTTGATGAATAAAAAGTACCGTTAATGAGTGTTCGTTAAATAGACCGAAGGGCTTAGACAACAGGGCACCTACCAAATACAAACTAATATTTAGACGCTGTTATTATTAAGCATAGTGCATATACATGTAAAAAAACTGCGAATGTTGTACTTACGAACTTTTAGGCCAAAAGGTAGTCAAAAGTGTTGACCAGTTTAGAAAATAGTTTATTTTTAGATTTTAAGGAAAAAGGCTTAATTTCTGTAGAAGTGTGGCAAACGAAGAAAGAAAAATTTTCAATTTAGCTTAAAACTGTCCTTGAAATTCAGGTCACAGTCGAGTCACTTTTAAATGGTTTTACAAGATTTTACTAGTCTCTTTCTTCCTGAAACCCCCCTCTTCAGAAGTACATTCTGTGCCTGTACTATTGGAATCATAAAGGCTGCCTTTCCTTTTCGAAATCGAGTATAAGAAAAAAAGTTAAACAGCGTTTGCCTTCAAGGTACCACTGCTTCCATAACACCGCTAAAATAAATCCTGTTCTATTATAAGCGAATGTTGCTAATAAAATCTTCCTTAAGTACTAAAAGAGCCTAGACCACGCTGCAAACTCGTTACTTATGGCTATAACTGAACAAAGCACTATATTTAATAATAAAGTCCTTTTATTGATCTCATATGAAGATTGAGCCTTTTACGCTCAGTAATCCTTATGACTCAAAAATGCTCTTTGAAATGCAATCAACCTTAATAAGATAATACTTGAATTTTCGCAATTTATTACGATGGAAGATATCGATATTGCCTTAATATGTGTAATTCATACAGAAAACTATCATAGGATAGTCGTAAGTCGTTGACGTATATATCGCAACGATAAAAAAAGTAATACTATGACCTGAAAGTCAATAACCCTTAAGGTTATGGAGTTATTACCTCTATTCCTTGTTGCGAAATAGTCACTTTCTTTGGTTTACAATAAGCTACTAAACTGCGGACTTGCACGTTTGAAACTGCTTCTTGGTACTTGCATCGGGTGATATTAATCGGAAAGATCCGTCTATGAAGTAGTTGTTTTTTAAATTGTTGGAATATTCGTACTTGTAAATATACGCTTCAGCTATACTATTACTAGTCACTATGAACTCTGTTTTATCTAAAATCTCTCACATTAGAACTAAAGCCAGTTCCCCTGGTATTCCAGAGACTATTAAAAATATATTGAAGCTGTTGTACTATTGTGATCAAGCGAGTACACAACAGTTTATTAAGCATTAAAGAGCTGTATGGAAAGTATTATAAGCTGGAAAGATTTATAAATGAAGCCTTGGTTCTTATAAAGAGTGTATTTACTTCCGGTTCCAAGCTTCTTGCGTGTACCGACCGCGAAGAGGCGCAGAGAATTATTATAATTTTTTTTTTCCAGGTCACTAAAAGAAGAAACTATCCGCACTTTAAAGGGAGTTAGAAGATCATTGCAGTTCTATTTGCGAGAATTAAATTGGTATAGTTATTATATTTTCGAAATCATTGCGGTCATCAAATCATTTACAAAATGTAAGGTAACTCCAGCCTCACTGCGGTAATGAAATGGTTCAAGATTATCTAAAAAAAAGTCTTACAATTTATTGAGCGAACTATGTAAAGCTCTTATAAGGAAAGAGGGATAAAAAGAAGGAGATTTAAAAAAGGACTGCATGAACAAAAAAAACCTAGGTATTTACTACAGGCAATTTGTGCTGAAATTAATGATAGTTTCTAACCCCAGCAGTTGAAGTACGTTAGGCATCCCCATGTACTAAATAAAGCGCGTTAAGAACTATTAAAGCGCAAATTATTGTAACAAAATTTTTAGGATATGCTACCTTAATATGGGATTCCCTGCTCCTTGAAGGAGACCTACCACTTTTTGGCTTGATGGAAAGTCTAACAAGAATGAAGCAATGATTTGAAGGTAAGGGTCATCATTAGAATTTATGTTATACATACTACCTTCAAAGACCGAAAAAGGGGGTCGCGTCTTTGGTATCGGACCCAGAACCAAGAGTACGCGCTTCGACGCTTTTAACTGCTGAGCTACGACAACAACTCTCGCTTCAGGTATGATAGCTTTAGGCATTTAGCTCGTTAGTTGTCTTTACTAGTATATAACTATTTTTCTGGTGTTCCATCGAGTCAAAAACTTCTATTACTCGAGCTCTCTGTCGGGAGTATGGCGCGTTTATCATCAAGCGCTACGTGGCTATGTACTATTTTGTGCATTTTGGGCGCGGATGGGGTTTTACGTGGACTACCAACACAGTTACCTCTCTCAATGAACACAAACCACTGAGACAGAGTTAACCTACTACGTTGATACTTAAACAGTATTATCTAGAGTTATAAGAGCTTAAAGTTAGGGGCCTTATATTTTCGCTATCGTGCTTTAAACTTTTTATAAGCGGCCTTGGACATATACTTTTTACATCGAAAAATTTTTTATGCACCGCCGTAATATCTGTAATGCTAGAAGATGACTTAAGCCTAACTTTAAAGAAAGAGACAAACTATGTAAAAGTAAATTCTGGAATAAAAACTGTTAAGGAACTTCCCCCTTCTCCCAGGAGATTGGCTTACTGTTGTGATGGTCCTTCGGATGAACTAGTAGGTGCAGAAGAAACCAGTAATAGAAGAACATATCCTTCTCGAACTCAAGCTATTAAGTTTTTAAAAAGTATTACCCTTACTTCTGAAGTTTCTAATAAAGGATCGTACACTTTTAACTCTATAAACAACAGCGCCAATGCCTCCTATATAAGACTTTTCAGTAACTACTTACCTGAAGAAAGTTCTCCTACTAAACTATCAGTAACCGATCATTCTATTATACAAGTTGTTACTGAAAATTCAAAGGCTATCCCTACGAGTCGCTCTGAGAAAAATATATGTACATTCGAATTTCGGTGTAAAGGGAACGAAAAAAGACTCATTGAACATAATGACTCTCCTTTGAAGGCACGTCAAAAAAAGGAATTTCCAAGCCCCTTATTTAAAGTAAATTTTTAACTTGACCACCTTATTTAAAAATAGAAGTAACTAAATCTATCCTTTTTTTCTTTTCTTTTCTATCATCTAGTTAGTATTGCTTTGTTAACTTGTTGTTTTTGTTACATAAGAATATAGGGTATAATAAATCTTTAATTGCCTTTGTAAGTGCTCTTTATTTTTTATTTATTTATTTTAATATATTAAAAAAAGATATGTTTAAAAATTTAATCAGTTGTATATACTTTTTATATATATTATATCAGATTTTAAGCTAATCTACTTTATTTCGGCTTAAGGCGCATCTTAAGAAAGGTAGCGCTAGTGCAACTTCTTTTTTTGTCGACTCTAAAGAATCTAGCACCCCTTTTAAGGGGTAAGTTGTACTATTTCTTTAACTATCAATTATTTGTAGATTTACATTAATAGCACTACCGTTGTGCTACATATAATTAAAATATTTTCTGTTGGTATACTTAGTATTTACTATTTATTATTATTGTTTTTATTTTGTATATGTCACTTATCACATTTTCGACTATTTTTTAAGTCCTTTTATTTTTTCTTCCCACCAAGGGTAATATTTGCCATCATATATCCTATTACAGCACCTAGTTTACCTTGAGCCAGCAGTACGCTTATGTGATCGCCTTGAATTAAATTAGGGTGCCTAGCTATTAGTGTTATGAGTCAGGAGACTTTTTGCTATTGCAAGTTTGTCTTGTTTTGGCTCAGTAGCATAATTCTAACTAGCAAAGAGAGGGCGCTTCTCGGAATATTTTGTTTATATTTGAACCGACTACTTTTAACTAGCGTTTGAGCAGGTTTACCTTAGAAATAATATTCCTGAAAAGTGGTGGCGTACACTGAGTATTTTTATAAGGCGTTTTATTGCTTTTTTAATTTCTATATCTTCAGTTTACGTTTACTTTTTATATTATCTAATATGTATGACATAATTTAGCTCGAATACAAAACTTGAGGCCCCTCTTTCCGTGACGGTTATTGATGTAAGCCAACTCGCAGCCGCTCTGGAAGAGCGCGTTATACTGGTGTCAAAAAGATTTGCTCCTTTTGCAGGTCCGTATTTCATGTAAAAGTAATGGACATTGATTTATTTGTTTATTCACAAATGTTTTTACTATACAGCTTTCAGTGTCATTGGCTACAAAAAAGAGTCTCAATCACGTGAATCCTTTTCTGGAAGTAGCCGAAAAAATTTTGAAGAGTTGAGCACTAAAGGATTAAAGAAATCCTTTAGTAGCCATAAGTTTAAGCAGCTAAAGAAAACAGCCATTTCTTATAAATATCTTTTTGAAACAACGATTGAAAGTTTCTATAAAGTATTAATTTATTATCTATCTACTGTTTACTGCCTTCATATTTTAAAGCTGTGTTTCACGTAAAGATATTTTGAGGGAAGGTGTGAAAAAACTACACACCTGCCAACTTTAGCTTGTAGGCCTTAACTTAGCCTTGCACATCCCGAAATCTGTTGCAGTTTATTTACTCCATTAGGTAGAAAGCAGAATCATAACGGTTACCATAAAGGGACAATGAATGAACTGGTTTTCTCGACAACTTGGCAAGGCGAATAAAAAAAACGATTTAATATTTGAGAATGTAACTTCATAAGAAAGTTCAACCGTGTTAGTATAATAACTGCCTTTTGGTGTAACTGTGAAAGTTATATTAATACTTCTGCTGAAAGCGTGTACAGTGTTAAACCACCTTCGTAGTCCTCCCACTTAACTTTATTACTTTCATTCTTAAGGGCTTCGTTTTAGATAATCCGGAATTTCAGTTGGGAAAGCATAAAAATGTAGCCTTCCTGTCGTCTTATGTGGTACTAACCAAAAGTAATTAACTATTATCGCTCTCTCTTTATTATTCTTCCTGTCTATATCAGTCTTCCGTTATACAGTACGTAAAGCCTGCTGACCTTAAAAAAGATTTAAATGAACAATTCAGAGAGAAATTTCCGGATGTTGTTATTTCACTTTCCAAGTTAAGAAGTCTGAAACGTGAACTTTTTTATATTATTGTAGTAGAGGTGAAGTTATGTATTTTGTCCTGCTTATTTTTATAAAACGAAGATATTTACTGGAACTACACATATCAAGTGTAAGCTGGAAGTGTCCTCTGTAGCGCTGGCAGAACTTTATTTTGAGAAGTTAACCAAAAAGGCCCTTCTATTATTATATTATATATATCCATTATACTAACGGCCAGCTTTGCAGGGATTTGTTCATAAGGGCAACCGCAAGTTAGTTGTTGGTATATACTCCTCTTTGCTCTTGCAAACACTATATAAGGTGAGGTTCCTCTGTTCCACAGCTACATGTGGACTCCTGGCGGTTAAGTTCAATGACCACAAAACGGCTACAGGAAGCATAAAACAGTTGTGCGACTCTCTAGAGAGAAACTTGCACGTGTCCAAAAAGGTCAGTTATTCTTCCACTATCACTGCAGCGGCTGCTTCGGTTTTATTTAATTATATACTGCAAAGGAGATATTTTCATTTGAGTTTGAAGTGTTTTCTAGACTAGAGTTCTCTCTAAAAGCTCCTTTGGATAAAGTTATGGAACGTTACAACAAACTTGTGGAGGTAATGCTATAAATCTTCCTGCTGCTAATACTTAAGTGCCATAAAAGATTGTTCGTTATATATGATAGCTAATTTAAATTATTTATTAGAATCTCTAATGATTTTTACTTTAAACTCATCATGGAGCAACTTTGTTACCTCAACTAATTTAAAATATAAACTATTAAAATAAAATTTTTGTTGACATAAATTAAGTTTACCGTACAAAATTAAGAAACATTAAAATTGATATTTTGAAAATCACGATAGGAGGAAACCAATTTATAATATACGTTATATAAACGGAAAGTGCAAGTTAATTCCGGCAAAAATTCCTATGAAAAACGATGCTGAGTTGCTATGCTATGTGAGAGCTAACCATGCGAAAGACGAGTCGCAGCCGTTAAAATCCATCCATTTAAAAGAAGATTATGTTCGTGCTGACACTTTACTAACTTTGCCATGAGATCGGCACTTATCTCCATTTTTTCTCCAGTCGAAGATGCTTATAAAAATTTACCACTAAAAAAAATAAAGACCAAACATGGTACGAAACTGTATTCCTTTTCAAAAGAGTCTTCATCGCTAAAAACAAGCGCGTCCTCGTTGTTTCCCCGCCAACACATTTTTACGGGATCGAAGACCATACCATTTTCCACCTTATAACATTATAGTTGTAACAATAACAATTAATAGCAATAATAATAACTCTTGGCAATAAAGTGGACTGAGTGCTTAACGGGGCGATCAAAGCAGGTCGTTTTCTTTGAAGTCCTTATACAAGTATGTAAAGTGCAACGTACTTGCAGTCGCAACGAAGGTACCATTGTACTCTTCCAGCGAATCACTTCCCTTCTCGCTGCACTGGCTGGCACGCCAAGAGTTAGTTTCTCTATCAAAGGACATCTTTCCTACTACAACGCTAGAAGCTAAAAAGAAAATAAAAGTTTATTTTCTAGGAGGCGTATCGAGGTGAGTTACAATTAAGCTTGCCATCAAGCGGCACGGAAAGTTGTACTGACTCGCCCTCAAACTCTTCATCAAATTCAGAGAAACTAAGACTAACGCTGGATGGAAAGTCCCTTCCTCCTGAGCTCAGCAGAGTCTACAAGTCCACCATGGAAATTTCGTACTCAAAAGCTTATATGCGTATCTTTACAGCAGCTTTAAAGTCGGTGTTTTCTGCTTGTGTTGTACTCTGGAGAAGAGCTTTTCTTAAGTGTATCAAGTCGTTCGGTAGGTCAGTTGGTTTATCGCGTTCTACTAAAATATAATTAAAGTATAATTAAACTATAAAGCAAATCAAATAAAAAGTTATAAAACTTTTTGCATAGCGCGTGCTAGTGGCTTTATGCAACATATCCGTGTTAAGGCCTTCTTTAGGAACTACCAGATCATCATAAGTTTCCTCAGTGGGAGGGGGCACTATCGGACCGCTAAACATCTCTAGTAAAAGCATAATAAAATTAAAAAAGGTACGCGATAATAAATTACGTTTTGGTGTTATTTCCTCTTCACAATCGGAATCAAAACTAAAATTGGACGCTCCAGAATTTTCTTTTGATGTTTCTTGTCGATCAGTTCTTTTATTTCTAGGAAATGCAAACTTACTTTAAGAAGAACTCGTCATAAAAAACTAACAAGGAAAGCTGGCCTAGCTTCAAAACAGGTTCCTCATCCGAAAAAATAAAATCTTCTTTTATTCAAAATATATGAAAAAAATTCAAAAAAGAAATTTTGATTAAAAAACTTAGATGAGTCTAAATAATAATAAAAAAATAAAAAAAAAACATTCATATAATATAGACAGCGCAATAAATAAAATACAATAAGTTAACAATACTAAAGAAAGAATAAACAGTTGTAAGATAAAATTTTACCTTCAGCATTCTCAAAAAACTTGCCGTCGCCAGAACAAATAATTGGCGTTGTAGACAACTAATTGATCAGAATTAAATTGATAAAAATAGAAATATAATGTTAAAATTGCTATAAATTCCGAAAGAAATATAAACTTTATTATTAGTAAATGAACTTTTCCTTAAAGCCAGAACATCAGGAGTAATAAGAATTGGTTCCTTTTTCATATAAAATATATCAATGTAAACAGTAAGGAAGTAATTATATTGGCCTGAAGCTTACTTTGCTTTTTAGACATTTCCCATATTTATAAAACAAAAGATCATTTTCAGTGCTTGGTCTAGTATTAGAATTTAAAGTGGTTTTGGGAAAACAGTACTCTTTTTTATTACTATTTTGGTCATCAGTTACTTTCATGTTGTTTTCCTTTTCAACTGGCACTTCATTTATAAATTGAGCTTCTTTCTCAAAAGAAGAACTGCCAACAGGCAAGTTTATTTCTATAAACGAGTCTTCTCGAGAGAAGTTGGTTGGCTCTGAAGTTGCAATACTCGTTCCTTCATCAAAATCTAGTGTTTTTTTACCGTCAACTAAAATTTGACGAAAATTCAAATGTCTTTTCTTAGGTGTAGATGACATCACGTACGTTGAAGGACTACTAAATTCATGCGGATAAGCTTCCTTATAAAAACTTTCTTCCTTTTTACTTCTAGAAAAATGGTTTTTTTCATTGTAAATATTGTCATTGTAAATACTGCTTTTAAAGTCACATCCCCAGTAATTTAAATCGTCCTCAAAGTCACTACAGAAGCTCAATGTTTCTTCAATGTCTTTAAATAAGTTATGACATTGGAGTGGGTTGCTATAAACTTCTTTTTCTTTATTAATCTCCTTCATATCGTCTGAAATAAATTGCGACATAACCTATGAGAAAAATTCACTTTGTGATACATACAAACTTTCCAAGGAAAAATAAATATTACAACTATTCCAATAAATTTAGTCAAGGATAGGATGAGATAAGCCGCTAATACATAAAACAAAACAAAAAATAAAATTTCATCCTTATAATATTCTTGAATTCCTAGTAAAGTCTTAACAATAAGGAATAAAATTAGCTTTAAAAGGTAAAAAGCAGAAAAAAAAGTAAGGTAAAAACATATTCGTTAAGACTATAATATTATTTATAATAATTGAATATTAAAATTGAGTTATGTCCCGAAAAACTTATATAAATACCGTTTTCAAAGGTGAGCTGGAAATCTGCCACCGGTAGAACTCATGTTTATTCAAAAAGTATATATATATGGAAAGCATTGAATGATAAAATATAATTGTCAAAAGAACTATAATAAAATATTTTAAGTTAAATGCTTTTAAAAAAATGTCCATAATGAGTGACAATAGAGGGCATAAGACCAAAGAAAAACACAAGTCATCTTCTAAATGGACGTGATGGAAATGTAGTCTAAAGTGATAAAGCTGGTCTTAATTTTCAAGACAAGCTGCATGTGCTCCTGTCTATAAAAAATGCCTATGAAAGTTATATCATATTACAACAACGTACATTTTACAGCTAGCAAAAAATTACTTTTAATAGATTTTCTCTTTTATACTTCTCATTACACTCCCTACAATTACTCTTTATGTATAAACGTTTAAGAGCTTGTATGATACTCATATTTTTATTTTACCAGCTTTTAATAATAGTATAAAAAACCTTTTGTTGACAATTATAAAGTGTAACAAATTAGTGTCACGAACTATTTTTCTTTTATTAGAAGAGCATTATACTTATAATCTTTTTTATTTCTTTATTTAATACAGAGAAGTTTGTTTAATAAAGAAAGTAAAAATGCTCAACTAGTATTCCCTTCTATAAATGTTTTTAAGGGCTTTATTTAGAGCTTACTTTCAAACATGCAAATTGAATAACTATAATCAATACTTTCGTTATTACATGGTTATTAGTAATCTCACAGTTCAAAAAAACATTAGAATAGTAATTTAACCTTCCTATCAAATTAAAAACAATAACGCGCAGACCTTAGGTTAGGAAATAAATATATTTTACTATAGGAAAATATAATAATGATATTAAGAGATAGAGAAGTTAAAACAGGTTTTATTAATAGGGGGGTTTCTTCAGTCCAACTCCATACAATTAAAGTTATATCTACACCCTCTCCACCATTCGATCACCGTAAGGAATCCAGAGGTAATTACAATCACCAGATATGACTCTACCTTAAAGGGGAAAGCCCTGTTAATAAAAAGCATTTGTTATAGATTACCCATTTTCGTACATTTTAAAAAGAAACCTTATAATGTACCTGCAGCATTAAAAAAGAAATAGCTGGATAGAAACTAATACTAATGGAACATGAACAAACTAATACAAAAGTATATATTAACGAAACACTGAACGAGACGCACAAGAACAACATAAAGAATCTGACTTCAAAAAACTGTCTCGAGGCTGGCCGGTTAAACCATGAATAGAAGATAACGAACCAAACACTAAATTGGAAAGGTCTTAGACCGTTAGAGACCGGTTCCTGAATTACCAATGATCTTTAAAGGACACTAAAGCATTTATGACCCATAACTGCCTAATTTTTACTGAAGGGATGAACTTCACAAACTCCAGAGGAAAAAGTAAATACAAAATTGTAGCTTCGATGAATTTAGCTCATTAATGGATCATGGCGGTTTTGAGGTTTAAGAAACGGCGGGTGATTATAACCCCCATATAGAAGCCTTCAAAAATTTAAACCAACGTGCAAGCTAACCTTACAGCAAAAGAATGTAAAAAATCTCCTTAAATAGATAACCAGAAAACTTTTCCTTCCTTTTAAGTCATCTTTCGCCTTCTACTATCTATATTTTTCATAATATTCTTATACATTTTAACTGATATAACTACTTTTTTTTTTACGAAAATTTGTCTGTATTCATAGTCCACGAGAATTATACCTAGTCATGCATAAGTTGCATCCTAGACAAAGAAACTTATTGGGAATTGTGTCTTAAAAAATTAACGAAGTTTCATACAGCCTAAAAGATTTTGAAAGGCTTTTTTTGTAAAGATTTTTATTTATAAAGATAAAAAGGTACGAATATATTTTGAGCAAAATTAGGAATACGTTATCACCATAAATATTAAAGCATATGTTTGTATGTGGACGACTGTGTTGTACTGGGAAATTATAAATCCTCTTTTGAAAAATGAAATCAGAATGCAAAATATAAGAATGCAACAAACTTGAGAAAAGGTTAGGGCTTAGGGATTAACATAATGATCTATAATGATCGAGCCATGAACCAAACAGTATTATCGAACAACGCGCTTCTAAATTTTATATTGGCATTAAAAAAAAAAAATTAAAAGTATCAATCCCTACCTGCATTAAACAGAAACTCCCTTTAAAATCCATTATAAATCATATTTACCGAAGTTTAGTTGAGTCGCTAAGCAAGTCTGAAAAATGGCAAAGAGTTTCATATACAAAATTTTTAGTGAAATACCCCTCCTTCCGTGCATCCATCCAGTGGGGTACAAGAAACCCCAACCTTAACAGTGGTCACAGCTGTACAGAAATAGACAGGGTAAGCAGGTAACTTCATGTTTGAAATCTTCTTATAACACCAGGTTATTTAAGAGCTCTCGTCCTGGTTAATTAGTATAAACTATACCTGACTTCTAACAAAGTTAATGGTTGCATAACAGAAGGGCTAAATTAAATAGGCTAACTTTTTCATTTCAACTCTTTTTAGCTAGTTTTGACTTAGTAAATGAGGAAAAGGAAGCAAGAAATTAAAGATTTAATGACACAAGAAGGATTATAGCAGGCTCCCTCTATGAAGAGTTAAAGCGATTTTGGAGTCTTTATCACTGCTCCTTGTAGGCATTGTATTTAGGGTTTTAGATTGTTTTAACTGAATCTTTATACGAATCCTTCCACGTCCACCCTATTTAAGTAACCTCAAAAATAACACTTTAGTTGTTTGTATAACTAATAATTTTCGCAAAGATAGTTTATCAGATACCATAAGGATAAGAGCTTGAAGGAGGTTGCAATATGAATGTTAGTTTCAACTACAACGAGTTTAGTTCAATGCACCGGTTAAAAGATTTAACGTAGACCAGTTAGCGTTTTTTTTACGATTATATGTTAACTTAACGATATCATCTCCCTATTTAACGGTGACAAAAAAGATTAGTAAAGCTAGTAAGCTGGGGGAACCGCTTACATGAAAAAAACAACGACTACTCGAAACACCACCAAACGGTAGATCATCTAAAACCAGGCACAAGAGCGGGGGGGTGGGTGGAAAGTTCTAGTGCGATAATTTAAAGGTGTGCAGCTTTATAAATATAACTTAGAACTACACCCACCCCAAATTAATATAAAAATTAGTAATTTTAAAAACTTTTAACTAAAACAAAAATAGAGAGGCAGAACAAGTCTGAGACAAAAGTAGCTAAAATTGGCCCGACAAAAAGAGTAACAAATTTCGCTTTAGTCTCTGTCAGGTACGTAGTAGTTTTTAATTTTTGTAAACGTACAAATAATAAGAGCTACAAAAGTATTAGTATTAAGATTGTCAGTTAATGAATTTTAACGCTGAAAATATCACAAGTAGGAGAATCACACCCTGGAGACAGGCAAATTAGGGTATAAGACACCTTTTGAAATTTTATTTCTCGGCTAGCCCTCTCTTCATTGATTTTAATTATAATAGGGTTAAGTTTTGTTTGGTCGGTTTTCAGCTTCTATATATATATTCGTTTTATAATTTTTCTGGTTATTATTATAAGGGTGCGGTTAAATTACATTTTACTATTGGTACAATCTTGTTTTTAGCTTTTAAATCAACTATAGTAAAGTAAATTGCGGTTTACTATCATCGTGTTCAATATTGCTATGCCGAAAACGAACTGTCGGAAATAACTAGAGTCTTCAGCTTTAAAATCCAAGCTCACTTTCCTAAGCACGACTTAAAGAGGATGAATTAAGCAGTTCTTGCGGCTATATAGGCTTATAACTTTCTCAATTTGAACGTTTACAAAATCTTTAAATATTGCCTTATATATGTAAACCATTAGTTAGCCCTCTTTGTATTTTTAAATCATTATTCCCTTTCACTATTAGCCCTTCGAAGTATGTGAGAAGTCATTTCATTGTTAGTTTTATCAGTTGAAAGTTAATAATAATATACTTAATTATTTTAAAGAAATGATCTTTTGGGTTAAAGCTGTTGAATTTACCAACAAATTAAAAACCCCTTTTTTTATCAGCTTAAGCTAAGGTCGCACAAAAGTTTAAAATCCTTAAAAAGAGAAAGTAGAGGTTATAATTACTATCTGTTTATTGTAGTAGGTACTAAACTTTATACTGCTGGTCTTTTAAAAATTAGCTCATAGCAATAAATACAATTAACTATAACCCTGCTTAAACTTTTCTTAGGCTTAATATATATAAGCAAGTTTTTTTAAAGAGAAAATAATATCATAAAAGTAAGTCGTTTGTTTTTATGATCGGTTTTAAATTGATAGCTATAGTATATTAGTCTTATACCATTTCTTAGGGAATAAATAGTAAGACATAACTTGGTCGCCTTGCGTTTAAAGACTTCCTCTCTTGCGAGCTATCGTGAACAAACAAACCCGCGTACTGCTTAAGTGTACAAGTAGGGTTATCCTTCGAGTATAATCATAAATATAACCCATTTATTAGTTTTAAACTCAAGTTGAATAGGTATTATAATCTATACTTCTCGCTACTCTAAGTTATTAAAATTAACGTTATAGAGTTAATATGAGAGTCTTCAGAGCTCTTTTATTATAGAAATAGCATAATTGTATAAAATATATAAACGTTTACGGTGCTATATGATTATATGACCACGCATCACTTAGTTATATTTTATTATTTCATTATAAAACCCATAAATATATTCAAAAAAATTATTTTTTATTAAGAGTCTATGAGTATCTTAAAATTGCGTTTACTAATTTATTACTAATTTATGAAGATATACAATTTAAGTATTATAGTTAAGCGTAAAAAATTCCTTTTAAAAACTAATCAAGCAAAGTTTTCTAAAGTAAACAATTCTACTATTTAACTTCAACACTATTAATATATTGACTTAGAGGATGGTAAAGATTAAAAAATTGTCTTAAAATTGTAACTTAAAACCCACACATTAATTAAAGTAAGGCTTTATAGCCTTAAAAAGCTAATTTTTCCCTTTTTTAAGGAAGGCCTCCACTTTACAATGATGGTTAAAAGCTAACATTTATATGCTGAATATAGTGCTTTAATAATAGCACTGCCTCTCTTGCTATAGTACAACACTTGCCCACTATTATCACTTGCATGACGACACAGTGATGGTAGGTGTTAATGGAAAAAGTATGTACACAATTTTTACCCAAGGTCCCTAAATTTCGCTTATGATCTGCAGTTTATCGTTGCCCCCGTTCTAAAATCGTTCATCTTCTTTGGTCTTAACTATCGCCAGTTCTACACTCAGCAACTTAAAAATGGGCGAGCAAGAAATCGTGTTAGAAACACCCCAATTTGACGCTCGCTTCCCGAATCCTGATCAAACGAAAGCATGTTGGCAATATTACATTGACTACCATAAAGTAATTCTATACAATAGTTTTTTTTTATTTTAATGATTCTGAATAATATGCCGTTTGCGGTTAAACAGATTTATAATATTGCCTTCTTTATAATATTTGTTTTCTTCATACTATTATTAATTACTTTTTTCTTTTGTTTAATACAAACATAATAAATGTAAGTATTTTAAAATTATAATGTTCTAGTGCATAAAAATGAAAGGAGGGGATGCTTCTCCCTGCATCCAATTTTACAGGGCATTTCGTTCCTTATGTCCTAGTAGTTGGGTGGACACATGGGACCAGCAAAGAGAAGATAATAAATTTCCGTGCACTATTTAATAGGAGAAAAAAACTATTAAAAATTTATTAAATTGAATAAAATTGTCTACTTGTAATGGGTTTTCGCAAGTTCGTAATTTTATAATAGCTTTCAAACTTTATGACGAGTACTTTGAAACATAAATTCGCTTTTTCCGTTCTTTATGATTTTAAATTCTATGACAAATATTTTTCGAACCTCTAATTTCACGTTAAATTACTAAATAGTATGACCGGGCTTTATTTTATATTGGTTTAAATCAATATAAAATTCATGTACTGCTAATTATTGAAGAACCCCCTCCCGAAAAGTGTTATAGATATTAAACTTAAATTACCTTTTTTTTTAAAATAGATCGAGATTTCTTTTATGTTGTAAGGTTATGTAAAGGATCTATGATCATTCAAATCAAAACTGAAGAACTGAATAATATTTCTTAAAACTGAAGGCAAAGTTTCTTTAGCCTTATGTTGCATATATTCTTATATTAACAAGCCTGCAGAAAAGATATTCACTAAAAAGTGAATCTCCTCCTGAAGTACGTAAAACAAATTTTTGAAATTCTAAGTGTCTTTAGCAGCTTTAATAGTGATAGCGCAACGGCACGTTAGCTGGTTATGAGACAAATAACACAAAGGCAACTCCAGTAAAGGCTTTATTAAGTAAGTTAAACTAGCATGTCTTTCAAATATTTGTAAAATTGCAGATTTAATAATATGGGTTCCAATAAGTGAATATCTTTTTCTTTGAATTTTTCAAATATTTCAAAACTTGAAGTTTGTGCTGAAGTAATTATGTAATATAAATTTTAAAAGCGGTATATTTCACAACAGGAAAACAAGTATTGTTACTTAAAGCTTCTAAAAAAGTATATAGTTAGGATAATCAATACTGTACTTAGATTTACTTAGTGCAGGCACAACACGCCATAAGGAATCAAGACCTAAAGAAAAGAATCGGTAGATGAAGGTTGTGGAATTAAAAAAGGAATGCAGTTAGACAAGTGCAAACACACGTACTTACTCCGGTGTATCAGCAAATTAGCATAAACGAAGAAGCCATGTTTTTTAATAAAAACTAACTGAGTTCAATAAACGATACGTCAACAAATCTAACCAAATATTTTTAAAATTCCTCATCCATGATAATTTTTTATATACCCATTTTAAAATTCATACTTTCAAAAATATAGATTATACTAAAAAATATTTTGGGTCGGACTAACAAGAACAATATATTAATACATTCTTTGGTTCGGCGCAAAGTAGCTGGGGGTCCTCGAACTAATTTTAGCTGACCTCAGGGCTTCTTATACATGGAGGCCCTACGGTCAAAGGCTCTGTGATACACTCTAATTAGCTTGAACCTTTAGGCTGCTTTATAACACAATGGTGTTGAAGGGGGAGGCCGACTTAATTTTTCATCAGGTATTATGACATATAAATAAAGCATTGTAAGTTATTGCTATTATATCTAACATTATTATCTTTGAAGATATCAAGCGTTTACTTTGGTATTTATGATGACCAGGAACTTGTTAAGTTAAGCGTTAAAGAAATAACCAACCCCATTCCCTTAGATGACTTGCTTAATCCTACACAAAATGGCTTGTATGATCCGGCTTTAGGGCCTTTTAACCCTGGAGACATGTAGTATACTTACCCATACAATATTATTTAATCTAAAATTTTTCAATTTTTATTTTAATTAAACTTTGCCAGTTTACCTTTATTTTTCTAATTGAACAATTTCTTTTAGATGCAAAACTTGTTTTTTAAGTTATATGCATTGTCCGGGTCACTTTGGTCATATTAAGTTGTCGCTTCCTGTTTACAATCCAGTTTTTTTTAACACAGCCTTTCTGCTTCTTCGAGCTTGCTGTTTTTATTGCTATAACTTTAAGGCTAGTAGACTTGAGGTCTACGAACTTCGTTCTCAATTATTGTTGCTCCAGTACGGCTTACTCAAAGAGGCCATTGCCCTACCATCGCTGTTAGATAGTTACATGGACAGCTTGGAAGAAGCGGTTGATGAAAATAATTTGGGGAAGACCCGTATACACTGCATAGGTATAAATATTTTTTTACTTTATACTATTTGATTAGTATTCATTCTTTTTTATCAGATTCACTTTTAAAAAGAGTTTTTAACGAAAATAACATTTATAAAGAAAATAAAAATAAGTCTGTCAATACTATTCATATAAATGCTTTTAGACAGAAATTAGTCGCAGAGTTTTTAAAAAATTCAAGCTTTTCAAAATGTAAAAACTGCTCTGGCATTAACCGTGTGCTAAAGAAAAACAAGTCGAGCAAAGTCTATGTACTTCCCCTAACTCAGAAGGATCGAAAGAAAATGCTGGCACATAAAATATTTCTGCTAGATAAAGAGGCGCCCGACTCAGCTTTTGTTTTGAACCCGAAAGAAAGTATTTTGCAGGAAGAGACAACACTTCTTTCCGCACACAATGCTAAATTATTGCTGGAGAAAGTGTGGGACACTGAGCATCCTTTGCTGTGTAAGCTCTTTCGTAAAAGCGTCTTGAGAGCGCAGAGGCGCCTACCGTCAATGTTTTTCATCGAAACTTTGGCCGTTTCGCCTCCTCGATTCAGGTTGGTTATTTACCTCATTTTCACATAGAAGTTTAATCTTTTTTTAGGCCCATCTCTCGTTTAGATGAGAAAATTTTTGAGAATCCCCAAACAACCTCTTTAAAAAAAATAATTGAGACGAGCAACCAGTTATTGAAGACTCGTTATGAAGTTTTTCAGGTCAATAAAAAAAGACAAACTGAAGGGGCAGAAGAAGGCAATGAGAAGGTTTCAAATATGCAGCCTGGACTTCTAACAATAAAGTTTACTAGTAAACTGTCAGCCCTTGTTTGATACGTACCTTTTCCTTTGGAGTAAACTGCAGAATGCTGTTAACGTGCTAATTGACAGTTCTTTAAGCAATACCAGACAAGCGCCTCCTGGTTCTATCGTAATTTTTATTTTTCATATACACTTATCTTGCGCGCAGGAATTAGACAGCTTTTGGAAAAGAAGGACGGCCTCTTTCGAAAGCACATGATGGGAAAACGCGTGAATTATGCCTGTCGCTCGGGTCTGGCGATTTAAATAACTGTTACCTGTTGCTTCTTATATGCTGTTTGCGTGGGGATCACAGTTATATCGCCTGATCCGTATATCGGGACTCACGAGATTGGGATCCCCATGCTCTTCGCCACGGACTTAACCTACCCCCAACCGGTGACAGCATGGAACATTAATGAGCTTAGGCAACTCCCTCTTGTGTCTTTCGGCTCCTTTGAGAATAATGTACTGCCATCTGACGAAGGCAATTGGTCATCAACGGCCCATTGGTCCATCCAGGAGCGACTCACCTCATCACCGAGAAGAATGCTACCATCGCACTCGGGAACATAACTTTAGAGCAGCGGACGGCACTTGCAAACCAATTACTGACCCCTCCAGGTATACGCACTTCTCTTTTTATCCTAAAAAACCATTTAGTCGTAGAGGCTTTGTATAGAAGACGGATATTTCTGTAACGGGTCCAACAAAAAAGTTCTGCGCCACATCAAGAACGGGGACATCGTCCTGGTTAACCGGCAGCCAACCCTCCACAAACCCTCCATCATGGCTCACACTGTTCGCGTGCTGCCCGGAGAGAAGACCCTGCGTCTGCACTACGCCAATTGCAACACCTACAACGCCGACTTTGATGGCGACGAAATGAACGTGCATTTTCCTCAATCTGAGCATGCTCGCGCCGAGGCGTACTTTATAGCGAACACTGATAACCAATATTTGGTGCCCACCAGGTTGCTTATGCCTGTTGATAATTTCGCTTTCGCGTGTGTTTTGATGACTGCGCGCCCTTCGACAGTGGGGCCCCGTTGCGAGGTTTGATACAAGACCACGTTTGCTCTGGAGCCGTATTGACTGCACGAAACACTTTTTTTTGTCGAGAGCAGTACCAGCAACTTTTGTATGCAGCTCTTTCAGATCAAGAATCAAAAGTTAAGGTTGATTCCTGTTGTTTTTGTTGGCGCTCTTAGTACAAGCATAATATTAGCGTCTATTATTTAGTTACTCCCGCCTGTGATATGGAAACCCCAGCCTTTGTGGACCGGAAAGCTTTTGGTTTCGACTATTCTACTGAACGTTACCCTGAGAGACCGTGACGAATATATCGGTTTTACTGGTCATCTTTCATGGTGTCATCGCTTGAGAGACTGCTTTATTTGTTAGGCATCTGTTTAAATAGTATCAGCAAGACACCAGCACATGTTTGGGGCCCAAACTGTGAAGAGAATGAAGTTGTTGTGCGAGGCGGAGAATTGCTGTGCGGGGTTTTGGATAAATCACAGTTTGGTGCCTCCTCTTATGGGTTCATCGTTCTTGGGGCTCTCTCTCCGCCTGCCTAGGACAATCGTTATAGACTGGTCCACGCCGTTCAGGAGCTGTACGGCGGGGAGGTGGCGGGTGCATTGCTTACTTCCCTCGGGCGTTTGTTTACGGCTTATCTTCAGTTTCGTGGCCTTTCTTGCGGTGTTGAGGGTAAATTATTACTTCTCATGGCCTCCTCCTAGTCATTACATATTGTATACTAGACTTGGTGCTGACCCGCAAAGCTGAAAAGAAGCGAACTGAATTTCTCAAAAGGTCGCATTACATTGGGAAAGAAGAGCTCGCTAACGTGTCCTGCAATGCCTCCGTTTTAACCGAGGAGAGAGCTTCAAGAGAAGTCTTACAAGAAATTTATCGGAGCAGTTAGTTATATCATTATTTATATTTTGCCTTAAATTCTCACTACTACTTTTCTTAGGCGAAAAGATGGCTGCTTTAGACGCCGCCATGAAGTCAAGCCTTAATAAGCTTACGAGTGACGTTATTTCAAAGTGTCTTCCCGTTGGGCAGCGCAAATCTTTTCCAGGTCCCGCCTTTATACTAAGTTGCTGCTTGTGCCTCCGAGGGTTGATTGTTTGCAGCCAACAACCTCTCCCTCATGATTTCAACGGGAGCAAAGGGGAGTTCGGTGAATTTGAGTCAAATTTCTTGTCTACTTGGCCAGCAGGAGCTCGAAGGGAGACGTGTCCCAATCATGAAGAGGTCCGACTACACCGCTTTCGCTTTTCTTCTTACTCTAAACATGCGTCAGTGGGAGATCTCTACCCTCGTTTCTTCCCTACGACGCATCCTCTCGGAGCTCCGGCTACGTTGTCAACCGTTTCCTTACTGGCCTGAAACCGCAGGAGTATTACTTCCACTGCATGGTAAAGCAGTGTACTATCGACCTGCACCGGAGCTTCGTTATTCTTTGCAGGCTGGTAGGGAGGGTCTTGTGGATACTGCCGTGAAGACAGCTCGCTCTGGCTACCTCCAAAGGTGGGTCACATAGAATTTTCTTCTCTCTCTTTCTTCTCTTTTTACTGTTTATCGTCCTCAGGTGCCTCATTAAGCATATGGAAGGGTTGAAGGTTGCCTATGATCTTACTGTGCGTGACGGCGACCAATCCATTATTCAGTTTATATACGTTACGTTCACGTTCTTTGCTGCTTTGTCTTCTACGGTCTCTATTATTTGTTTATTAGGGGGAAGATGGTATCGATGTTTTAAAGACCTCGTATCTCAACAATTTCGACTTTATCAAGATGAATGAATCCTCGATGCTTGTAACGGGCGTTATACACACACTATAAATGCACCTGAAAACGTATATTATAGGCGAAACTAAACTTTGTGCAAATGCAAAGAGCAGTAGACACAACTAAAGCTATAAAGTATTGGAAAAAATTGAGAAAGTCCAAGCGTAGTGGCAATCAGCTTCCACCCGTTTTATCTGTTTACTCGCCTTCACTTTTTCTGGGATCTGTTTCGGAGAAGTACGTTCATAGCCCCTAAATATCTCCTTTAGCATTTCCATCCTCTATAAAGGTTTGCAATTGATATGAGAACTTTTATTTCCCGCGACAAAGAGTGTAAGACCAAGAAAGAAGCCGTTAGTCGCCTTCGGTGGCTGTCTTACGCGAAATACCGCCAGTGTCTCGTGGAGCCCGGCGAAAGTGTGGGTCTGCTTTCCGCTCAGTCTCTTGGGGAGCCCTCCACCCAGATGACATTGAATACTTTCCATTTTGCTGGCTTTGGGGCTATGAACGTACCTGCCTGTCATACTTTTCTCTTCATTCGGTTTATATTTTTATGAAAGGTGACTTTGGGTATACCTCGACTGTGTGAGATCTTAATGACGGCCAGCCGTAACATAAAGACCCCGATGATGCGCGTTCCCATAAGAAGCGGCCCTCGTTGCAAGGAGCTGGCGGCTAATATCAAGCACAGGCTGAATAAAATAACCCTTTCCCAAGTCTTACACGTATGTTGGTAGTAGTCAAGCATCTGCCCCACTGCTTCCTAACCGATAATTTTTGGAGAATGTTGAAATCGTTGATTGGATCTCCGTTGATAAAGAAACGGGAATCCAAAAACGCTTCTATCGTGTAAGACTTAATTTCGACAAGGACGTGCGGAAGATACCAAACCTGGATCTTTGGTTTCCTTAAAACGGCCTTTGCCTGCTCCTTGTAATAACTTTTCCGCTGTAGCACTTCCACTCTACTGAATGTTGTGGAGAACAGATTTATCCGCCTTCTACTCACATTGATTACAAGAACTTTAAAAATTAAGTCATCTTTCGTGCGAGTTAAGAATGCTGATCTTCTTGATAACACCGGCGACTCCAAGGGCGCCGCTGACAACCTCGGAAATTCGGGGGTTGATGGTTGACCTTTTCTTTTTGTTTATATGTATTGGTCACTATTCTTCGATAATAGAGGATGGCGAAATTGACATCGAGGGGGGATCAGACCACCACAAGGAGCCCTTCACGACTAACCCCATGCAACTTAAAGAGGAAGGCCTTCTTTACGATGCGGAAAACCTTTTCACAGCAAAACTTCTTTCATTGCCTTGTCTTTGATTACTATGTTTACAACAGGAGTCTGACGGAGACAGCAGTTCAAGCGACCAGGAAGAAGGTAGCACACTCTCTATTGACAACGACTCGGACAGCTCTGCCATTTCTGACGATGACGACAAGGCAGTACAGTTCGCACCCTCTACTCAGGATTTACCGGAAAGTTTAAACTACGGTATTGCTGAGTAAGTTATAATTTTTAAATTTGTGTAAAGTTATTCGCTCGATAGACTCTTCTTTACGCTCGAAGCGGATCGCTCGCTTGCATGCATTATCTTCGCACATTTCTGAGTATGACTATGACGAAGATGGCAACTGGGCTGAACTTACCTTGAACTATCCTGTGAGCACGCGCAAACTCCTGCTTACTTCACTTATCGAAAGTATGGCGGACTCTGTGGTTATTCGTTCTACTTCGGGCATTAATCGCTGCGTCGTCAGCGAAACTTCTGTCGATAATGTAGACCAGGCAAGTCTATTGGGCAGAAATACTTTTTTTAAAAAAAAAAAGTTGCCACCACCACTGTAGTTACTACTGCAAACAGAAGGTGTGAACATCCCCGAAATGTGGAAGTATTATAATATTTTGGAAATGAACAAAATCATTTGCAACGACATTCATCAGATCCTGGAGGTCTACGGTGCGGACAACCATCCGCTTTACATTATTCCGGGATAAATTTTATTCTTTGTAGGCGTCGAGGCTGCTCGAATTACAATTGTTAGAGAAATTTCCGAAGTTTTTAAAGTTTACGGCATTATTGTTAATGTGCGACACCTCTCCGTTATAGCGGATTTAATGGCTAGTGCGCACACACTTTTGACGCTCCACTGCTTACTGAACAACTTTATAAGATAGACTTTCGAGGGCGGTTACAAACCATTTAATAGAATGGGCCTCCAAGCTAACACTTCGCCTTTCTTGCGAATGAGTTTTGAAAGCACAATGAGTGTTTTGCGGGAAACAGCCTTGTATATAATCCACTTGCTTTTGTACTATTTCTTTACATATATAAGTAGAACTGGTGATTGTGACGCAATCCTCACCCCATCCTCGAGTTTGGTCGTCGGCAAGCCTGTAGAGTGCGGAACAGGCGCCTTTGAGCTTGTTCAAGCTTTTTGTTAAGGATCTGAGTTGTCCGGTTATACAACACATTTATTACCGAGTCGCATAACTATTACGAATAAAAACTACGTCTGAGAACTATTTTTTCCCTTTCTTTTTTTTATCATATGCATTATTTCCCGATCTTTTGTCTTGTTCTTGAGTGCAAGCTATTTCGGAGATATATGTTAAGGGTGATAAATTACTTGTATGAGTGTATACAGTCAAAAAGTAGCTAATTCTCTTGTGGCATTCACTATCTAACTTTATGAGTCCATACCATAGTATTATCAAACATAAGTAACATCCCTATAAACCGAGAGTTTTCAGAAGCATTTATTTACTGAAAGGGCTAGCAAGTCTCACCAATGAGTTCATAAAGGATCGACAGGTTTTTTTTAATTACCTACGAGAAAAAATATACTACTTCTGCAGGTAAAACTAGTATACAACGCGTAAGTCGCAGCAAGAAAGCAGCTCCAGCTACAGAAGTCGTCAGTCAAAGACTAAACAACACAGGGAAGGGACTAACGCAACCTGCCCGAGTAGCACAAAGCCGAAGCTACAGTCCATCATGACAGGTAAGCTAAAACCTACCGTAAGGCTAGAGGGGACATGGAATCCTCATTAATTTTTTAAGAGCAACTTTTACTAGCCGTGGAAGAACGCACTTATCTCTCCCCCATATATGTTGGCCTTAACCAAGAGCTTGACATAAGAAGTTATTATAATTAAAACCATTGGCTTGTTCGTTAAAGGAGCTTCTAAATTTTAATACTTATACTAGCTATCCAATTTCACCTAAGAATCATTGAGGGTGACATGACAAAAGCAACGGTAGGCGAAATTCAACATGCATTCCATAAATGGGACGGCTCCCTATTGATCAGCTTAGATATTGCCACCCATAGGTTGATCGCGAGGAATTTTATCCACAACGCGCATTTCATATAAGGGCCCTCTCTTCGGACCCACTTTAGGATAATAACCTGGAGGCAGAGGGCAATTCCCACTTCACTAATGTGCAGTAATGGCACCATAAATGGTCACTCTAACAGCCGTACTCCCACTAAGAGTGAAAGCCTACACCGTTGTCTTGGCCTTAAAAAAAACCGCTGACGCGTACCTCGCGATAACCTTAGGACTCAAAGTTAATAAGGACCTTCTACAGGTCTATTGCCTGCTTAACGTTCTACCAAGTTTAAGAGAAATTGTTTCCCACCGTGCATCACACACTTATTACTCTCCGAAGTACATAGTCACTAGTCGCTCCCCTAACCTTAGCCCAAAGGACTATAATAACCGTATTAATAAACCATTGTTGGTAAGGACCCCATTGTACTCTAGCTTACTATTTTCTTTTAGCTACATTACTAAGCCTCAATGTTCTTCAGTAATCCCGTTGAACTTGTAATTATCCCTAGCTGGCATTACGACTTTCGCCTCAAACCACGTTAACCGAAGTCAAAGAATAAGTATCGTAGATTAATGCAATGCGGTTAGTATAATTTTACTATATATTTGTCACTCTTGCACTAAATATCGTCAAAGCAAAGTTTGTCAGTTTCTTAGTTGCTTGCTCTTTGGAACTTAACGTGCCTTTTGTTTATCTGTCCATCCGCCACTGTTTTATCGGTGATTTTGACTCCAGTGGCCCTCGCCTTGAAGTAGTTTGATTACTTTACTACTACGTAAGAAAGTTAGCAAGCATGACTCTAAGAGTAGCTTCATAACTATTTTCCACGTTACTTTTACTTATAAATTACTGACTAGTTTTAAACAATTCTTTTTAATGTTGGATGGTTAACTACAGTAAGGTTCTCTACTTTAACGGAATGAAACTAACTAGCACTCGAGAAATGCCAGCTAAATTTTTCAACTAAATTATAACGAATAGATATTTGTAGGTTTTTTCTTTTTTATTACAGTTTTGTATCGGTGGGGGAGCCATCAACTGACGCAAAGACCTCTGGTCGTATTCCGCAAATCGTTCTCACAGTTACTAATACCCAGTTTTTAAGCCTGTTAAAACATTGTTTTAGTAATCACAAAAGTTTACTGTACTATTTGAAAAAAAAATCATTTATTATGATTTAATAAAATGTTCTGGTTTTCATTTTTTTTAAATGAAATTTTTAAGAAAATGATTTGTCTACATATGTCAAAAGGGGTGGCTAATGTGGTAAAGCTTTGAATTGTTTATTTTTTGGAACCATTAAACTTTTAAATTTACGGAGAACTATAAATACCGTGTAGGAATAAAAACGTTGTTGAGCATAATTAAAACATTTGTATTATAGTGTTTTTAAGAAATGTTTTCTCTGTATATTAAAATATTATAAAGCAAGTAAATCTTGGTTTTGTAGTTTTCATAATTACTTATAAATTTAATATAGAAAGGTAAAACAGGTTTCGATATGTATAAGGGGGAAAGAAAGCTTTAATAATACTATGGGCGGGTATGCATGGCTGTTAACACAAATATGCTCGTGCCTTGTAAATGTTGCTCTTAACAGTTGCCTTAGAGTTAAAGTAGCTACCTTCTATATTAATATGGAACCTTTTAAATACTTTCATGGAGGTTTAGATAAAAAGTCAGCCCGTTTAAGGGATTCATCAAAGTTCTATAGTAGTAAAGTAGTGTTTTTAAATCTTGTTTTGTCCTTAGTTTCTTGGTTTAAAGCAGTAATTTGACCTACCTTTTTTTTTACCGTTTAGAAATTGTAAAAGTAGCTTATAGAGGAAGCAGGGCCAATTTATATATTTTACTATATAAGAGTTGTAATTTGTTATTTACTAAATAGATAAAAGACTTAGGCTGACTGCAAGCGGTTTGGGCGATTAAATAATCTTTTGTTATTGGTTTAAGATAAGCACGCGACAATGATTGAAACCGTTTCAGTTGGTCGTTGAAGTACGTACAGTTTATTTCTTTGCCATTATCTAAACTCTAAAGGACGCCCCTAAGTTTGATGCCCGACTCTCGGCCGTATATTTTTATTTTTTTCGTTTTATTTGTTTTTGTTTTAAATCCATATGATAAATGTTAGCTTTACCTATTTTGCCACTTCGTTGTACAGTTCATATCAGCAATAAATATTTTATTAATTTTTATTATTATTGGTTAAAAAGGAAATATTTTGCTTCCCTTTTCCCAGGAGCTCATTACGTAGGCCAGCAAAAGAGCAATCACAATAGTTTCGAAGTTGAAGTGGAGATAAAAGTATTATTAATCCCTTTTTTTAAAATTTATTGTTATACTAATGTTTATGATCTTTATATTTTGAGTGATATATTTCCCACTTAGCTTTCTTTGTTTAAAATTTTTATTCTTTCAGCATGTAGATCTTAGTGATTCTTTTTTATGTGGTTACCTTCGCATAGAACATCTTACCGAGGTGGTAGCCGTTTTTTCTATAATTGTTTTTAAAGATTACTATTTTATCCTCATTTTTTTTCTTTTAAAGCTACGACTTTTGCCACTTATTGAGTCACAGTAGTTTTTGTAATTAAGTTATAATTATCGTTAATATAGGAGTTTCCAGTTATCACCACATTTTTTGAGGCGGACATTATTGGAGAGAAGTACTCCTTTTTGACAAGGTATGACTCTATTAAATGGTTTACAGTTTAATATTGTTGTAATTTCTTTGTAATCAGAAAATGGGATACTAATGAAGAGGTAGACCGTAAACACTGGGAGAAGTTCGAGCCCTTTAAACAATACAGCCAAGTTTTTAACAACGAAGATTTCCATTATGACTTTTATAACTCGCAGTACATTTTTATGAGATGGAAGGTTACTGTTGTGCAAGAAAATAAAATAAAAGCTTGTTTGAGCTTCTGTGTTAACAAAATTTGTTTATTATCAAATATTTACTGCTGCTTTTTGTGTAAAATTAGGAACAGTTTCTTGTTCCCGACCATCGCATAGAGGACATTGCAGGCGCGAGTTTTTCAGGCTTCTACTACATTTGCTTTGATGTTTTTATCTAAGCCTCACTTTTTCTTTTTTCTAGCATATGTTTTTTATTGATGGTCTACTTTTTTATTATATTTTTTGTTTAGCGAGTCTCTGAAACTTTTCAGGGTTTCTACTACCACCAGAAGTCTCAGTGGTAAATATATTGTTTTATGCGTAAACTTTTAACTGTTTAATACGTGCCATCAGGTTTCAATCTCTCAAGTTAAAACGCATATTGAACAGAACCTTTCCGGTATTTGAGTTTCGCTAGATTTTACAATATCAAGTTTATTGTCTGCAGCACCGACTTTTTTAGGTGTAACTTATTTTATAATAAAGATTTGTGTCGCGTGGGAAGTGTTCTTTTATCCTTATACTTTTAGAAAGAGTTTATCGAAGTATGATTGTTATGGTCTCAAAGAAACTGAAAGGGATATTTAACGTGCTACAATTATAAATCGGGCTTAGATCCCGCGACCGGTCAGATAAAATAATAGAAAAGCTATCAAATAATTGTTTCAATTGTTTGTTATTTGAGAGCTTGGACTATTTGTGCACACTCGACACTCTGTTACCAGCTGGAGAGAGACTTGAAAATGAAAACAAATTTAATGCTTTATACTTTGATGTCACAAGTATTGAAAAGTACTCAAATGTCGACTCCAATCGCGCAATAACCTGACAAATTTAACCTTGGATTTCGTAGTGTTTACACATTGGACGCGTCAAAATGGCAGGCTTAAACAAAATTGCTAAAAAAAACCCCCAAACCCTTAAGTTCAAAAGGCCGTTGATACTAGTACCTACCATTTATTATAGATACAGAATTATTGACCGATGTTCAATAGTATTGTTAACACTAAGTAGTAACACTAGTTTACCAAGCGACTTATTTAATTTTTTTAAACAAGGTAAACCATTTTGAATAGGTATTTTAAGCATAATCTTTTTTACGTTGCTATCCTAAATACGTAATAAGAAGAAAAATGATTACCTTAAAATCCAGCAGTGACCACGATGTTTAAGTAAATTGAGTGTGAGCCTGTTATTTTCAGAAAACATATTAGATGTTAGCACATAAGCTACTCTTAATTGATTAATAAGTCTTGGACTCTTATCATGCTGTCTAGAACATACTTTTTTAAAAAGTACCCTTAGGCAGGTTATTATCAAAATAGATAGCTTTATTTTTCCATAGATGTGGCCTTGAAAAGGCAGCCCGTTTGCAGAGAAAGAACCGCTCCGAAGCCTCTCACGTGGGGGAGTTAACTTAAGCGGTTTTTTAAGTTATTACACTCTTGAGGACTTTAGCAAGCTAGTGCAAAAAATAAATATATGATCCAAATGAAAAAAGGAGCAGGGGTTACTCTCAGATCTAAACCCCTTAACTAAAGCAGCTGGCAGTCAAGTTCGAGACTTGTTCAGAAGAGGAAATAATTCTAGATGAACCGGAGATCTATGTTTAAATTTAAAACATACCGGATTAAGCAATGCATTAGGTCCCCAAAAAAAGACCTGGCTTGTAGCAGATAAAGTTTTTAAAATAAACTAAAAAGTAGCTCTTACCCTTATTTTCTTGTTATTTACTTACACTTAGACAACAACGGTTATTTATGTATTTATAAAGATCGTTTTTTAGGTGCTCAAATGAGTTACCATCTCCAATACTCGAGCCCTCGGGCAGATTCAGTCATCTAGGAGTATGAGTTAAGCTATCAGCATATTACGTGTCCCCCACGTTTAATTTAAGTTTTTACCGGGCACTACCACGTCGACCAAGGTTTTTGTGCGCCCCCCTCAAGACCTCTAACATAGGTAATCCTCTTAAAGATGATTAGTGTGTTCAGTATCCGTTCGTAAAAGAAGACGGCATTGAATTTGAAGCCTGTTTAGCGGCCCAATTCATAGTTCGCAGTGTGGTGCATCATGGCGCCTTTGGTAAGAAGTGCAGAAATTTACTTTGTAGCACATGGAGCGAGGACGCTCATGTCGGTAAGTCGAAGGGCCAAGCAGTAAATGCATACTTCATAATCGACCGAATAAACAACGCATATAGACTTGACTTTTTGGGCAAGAAAAAGCTTACTTATTTTTTTTTGCTACACATTTGATTATATACACCTCACTTAGGTCGCTGCCTTGACCTTTGGCACCATGTAATTACACGCGAACGCCACGCCAGATTACAATGATGCCCTCTAGGTATTTCGCTTAAAGGCATCTTGAAATTCCATGCCTTTGAAGGTCAACAGCGGCTTTCAATGTCGATACCAGCTAGCAAGAGCGTCAAATTAAAAAGCTATAGATGTTGACATAGCAGGCCGGGTAAATTTAATGAATAATAAAATATTCTATGACCAGAGTAAAGGACTCCCCACCTATAAAATTTTACTTGGAATAGGTCTGTTGCTCTTATAGGAGAGGTGATAAAGAGAACTTTGCGATCCCTCGCTGCGAGACAAAGACAGTGGAGCGTCCACTCGCACACTGTGATTGTTTGGGTGCGACTAAAGCCTCGTAGTTCAAGCGGGATTGATAAATTGGGCGACCTGCGTCACAGACCTTAATGTCGTACTCGTATAAACGCTTTTTTGACGTCGAGAAAACAGTGCTATTGGCTTTAATAATAAAGTAAGCTCAAGTAGTTTACTTGCTCAAGCGGGTAAGTAGTTGAATTACAGAGCGTCCTTTCCAAATTTAAATGAAACTTTGGTAAAATTTCATGAGCGCCAACCACCGCCTTTAAACGGTTTAGAAATACTACTCTAGCCGCTCGTCCGTGACCCTTGGGCTGAGGGTAGGTGTTTAGCCTTAAAAACCAGTTGCAGGGGTCTTTGGTAACCTCGCGGCTACCACAATTTTTCCATGGTACGCGCCATAGTCACTACCGGCAATTGGATCTCATCTATTATATTCATTTCCAGAGCGTAAGCTGTTTTGGCAGAAAATAAAAACTTGGTTTAAGAGCGCATTATGGGCAATATTGAGTAGGTAGACAGCATTGTCCATCACTTTTAGCTAGAAAACGCTATTGCGCAGTGGTGGATGTGAAATATGCGGTATATTCAACTTGCCACACGAATTCCCAAGAGTAGGCTCGACAATTGCTACCCCGCCTCCACATTTTATTTGTCTATTTACGATTAACATTATAGGTGCACCATCAACTTTTTCCTAATGCGTTAGGTGCTACTTTATCTTCCACACGTTCAAAAAGCTAAAAGCACTCGGATGACGCACCGCGCTCGTATATTAGCGTCTTTAGAACCTTAAAAAGGCAGTAAACACAGTTTATGTAACCTTACGTGCCCTCATAATATAGGTGTGAGCTTCTGTCATCACATCATCAAAATCGGCAACCCCTTTGCTTAGTAAAACGGAAGTTTCCAGCAGTGTCAGGAACGACCGAAGCGCCTATTAGGTTCTCGGGTTTATTTGCTCTAATTTGTACCACTTGAAAATTATCTTTAATGCTTTCTTTCCGTCGCCCAATTCGGGCAGGATAGGTGATCATTTCATGCAACCCCTTTATACTCGTTAAAAGACATTTTTAAAACGGCAAATTTAAGCGATTCAGCGTAACTCTAAATTCGAGTTTTCAGCAAATGTATTTTTATTACGGTTTGTTGCTCGACGATCCTTTGCGGTTAAGATCTTAGCGTAGAATGACTGAAAATTTATGTACAGTAAGTGCTTTAAGACCAAACGGCGTTGAGCGGTTTATTGGGGTCTTATGAATTGCAATCACACTCACGGGCACCTGTTTAGCCAAGAAGAGGATATTCTCTACTGCCTTAACCCCCTGGAGGGATGGCAGTGTTTTTAATCGGTGTTAAACTTTTTATCAAGATAACAACTCCCCGCCGCTAGTATAAACTGATCCTGGTGAATATCAAATGGTGGAAAAGTTAATGGCACAATCAAGAAGGGTTTGCTGACAACGCAATAATCTTTTCGCTTTGCAATTACTCCTGCAACTCATGTTTTTTTATGTTGGACCCCCCCTCACATTCCAGGATAGAATTAGGATGGTCGACGCGTTTGTGATTTAAAATGCATTACTAACAAATCCTAAGTCTCTTGTTATTGTTGCCAGCTTTGAAATTATCAGGGTGAATGACATTAGGGATTTTAGGAGACTCGGTGTGATTTTCCTTTTATGGGGCGCATATAGTTGGGGTAACGATACAACAACGAGCGTTAGGGTCGACTAGAATTTCCTGCTATCAATGACCTCCGCGCGTCACACTTGCAAGTCGCGGTAGTTAATGAAAAGGGTCACGCCACAACCGCTCATCAAGTGGGTGTTTCATGCAAATGGCGCACTCCGCAGTCAAGTGGTCTTTACAGGATTAACACATCGTAAGGAAGCAGCGGAGAAGCTTGCAATATGCTATGAGGTCTGGCAACCTTGGCATCAGTCAAGGCGTTTGCTGCTTCGTAGTTCTTCCACTCCGATTTAATTAATGAGACACTTTTCATTTTTAACAATATTGGCTGTCCGGAACAAAGTAGATGCAATAACACTAGTATTAACGGACGCTTCTCCGTTCATCGTTATTAATGTCCTTAGTGTGCAGTCGTGCCACTCGAAGAAGTATGGATGTGTGATGCGCGCAGATCCGTCTCGACCATCAAATTGTTGAGTTCTCAATAAATTTCGGGGTCAAAAACATGTAGGTCTTTTCCTCAGACAATTAATCAATAAAGTGTTGTAATTCTGATTACGCATGAGCGTTTTTATAACGCTCGTTTATTAGTCGTTGCCGAAAATAATTTAATTCTACTTTTGCGTTTTAGAAAGGGTAGTGAGGGGGGGGGAGGGCTATGTCGCAGGATGCTGCTACAAAAAATGACTGTTCGAGTGTAATAAGGGCAGTGTAGTAGCGGTGTCCACCTATGACTACTAAAGCTTTTGAGGTATCTCTAAGTATCTAATAACTTTAAAAATTGGCATTACTAATACTAGTGTTATAATTACTTTATTACACTGATGTACTTGTTACTATTAACATTACCACACCACAAGAATTTTATTTATTCAACCTTATATTACTATTATATTTGGTACTATCATTTATATTATTTAATAACGCTCTACCTTAGAATTTTTGTTCATAGGTATTTACTTTATTAATCTTTTTCAAGGTTAATAGCTTCGTTTTCTGTAGCCTTTATAGTCTCACTTCCTTTTAATATTACTTAGAAGACCTGAAGCTGTTTAGAATCTGTAAGGGCGAATAATAACTTTTATTGCTTGTTATTAATCTAAGTTCCTTTTAAATTCTTTAATAATAGCTAAGAAGTTAGCTTTACGTGCTCACTGCTCGTCTTCAGCAAAAGGAATTACTATTTAAGTAAATATATATAAATATTAAGCTTGATAAGCTTGAGTGAGGTTAGCACACCTACCTACCGCTCTTCCTATAACACTAACTTAAACCTATATCCAATTGTACTTTCACTCACGTTGTTAGCTAGGAACCAACCACTTTAAAGAGGCTAAAGGTAAACGCGTATTATTTTTCTGAAGAAATAATCGAGATCTAAAAAATATTTTCGTAATAGGAACTATTTCCTCATCTAAGTTATGACATAGAATCTTACGTAATAATGTTAAAAGAATGTTTCACCAGTTCAAAAGGCTAGTCAACTTAAGCATCAAATTACGAATATTGTCAAGATCCCTGTATCACGACTACGACACAATATAACTCGTAGGTCTTAAATCATTCAAATTATTCAAATATAAAAAAAGGGGAAAAAAAAATTCATCACTAGGGTGTCTATTCTTTAGTGCCAATATAACCTTAAGCCCTTGATAATCATATGAAATATTAACTTTCAATAAGAAACAGAATAAAAATCCATATGAAAAAATTGGAAAGCGAGAGGCGGCCTGTCTTCGCTAAAAAATAGAATGTAACTCTTTAACCTTTACCATTGCAGGCCTTGTCTAACATAAATAAAAGTTACGGTTAAGCGCTTCGAATAAAATCCTTTTAAGAAAACTATTATAAAGTCCTTTTTAACTATAAACGATAGATAGTTAAACATAAAAAAGTAAGGTAAGTTGACAAAGTATGGTGATAACTTAAAAATATTTATTAAAAACTCAATATTAAGAGAATGCGAAGACACAAAAACTCAAATAATAATTTTTAAAAGCTCCGCAGTACAATATTTTTATGCTTTGGACTTCTTTTTTGAAGTTAAGGCAATCTTTCTGGCTGTTGTAAACGTAATTAACCCCTCAAAAACAAATTAACACAACATAAATACCTGGCTTCGGCTTTTTAAAACAATTCCACGGGTAATCCTTCAGTTTCTAATAAAACAAAAAAATTAATAAAAAGATTTAAGGCTCAAAATACACAGCTGAAATATAGTTTAAAGGTATGACTATAAAATAGATAAGCAAATTGGACCTCTTCAAAAGATTTTATGTGCCCGATGTTTTTCATGTACCTTTGTGCAGCAAGGAAATCCAAACGCACATCTTAGCAAAAAGTAATTTTCGCATATAATGTGGTATATAAATCATATATGCAAAAAGTTTTGCAAACTTACCTGGATCAACGTAATATTTAACAAGTTCAGGGCCAATCCTCTTTCTTGTAAGATACTTTACTCCCGATCTACAATAATTTTGTATAAGTATATAATATAACCTTTTAAAAATTACAACTTTATGTTAGGTTCCCGAGAATTGTAAAAAGGCCTCTCAAACAAAATATTTTTAAAGTGAAACAGTTGATTATTGCTCGGGCCAAACTTGCAGGATGTTTCTCCTATTATTTTGGGCACCACGGGTAGTAAATTAGGCTTAGACATAACCGGTAATCCCGTAATATAAGTCAAGCTTATGCTAAATGGACTACAGGTTACCAGACTATCATCCACTTACAGTGAGGAAATAAAGCTCTTTCGCTCTTTTTGTCTGCATTGCAGAAACCAAATTTAACGAGTCCTCGTGTATAGTCAAGTTTTAACGCAACCGTACAAATTAAATCAGAAGCCTATTAAGAACTTCAGCTTCAAGCATTACCTTTTTGCATATTAGTGAATCAGCATTTTGAATTGTTGAAATATTATCTCGTCTTTACATTATAATAGCACAATTATATTAGTCTGTTTACCTAGTACTATGCTAATTTTAGAAATGAGAAGAGAGCACTATTAAATTCTAACATTCGTAAGTTAGTTAAAGCATACTTTGACTCACTGATGCACTATCCAATGTATGCAATACTAATATCATAGGCCAGCTAACCTCAAATAGTGATACCAATGGTGTTATTTTGGATTACTCGCCTTTGTAAGCATTTTCACTAGTTAATTTACCCTCGTTCACCGGTAGCTTTCGGACGCCTCTATTGACTACTGATACATAACTAACTGTAGCTTCATGACATTGATCATCTCAGATAGATCGAAAGAAAGATATACTGAAAGAATAAACTTAGGTTCGGCCAGAAGTATGTAGACAGGTCAAAGGTAAACGGCGGGTGCAATCTAACAGATTAGTTATTCAATCCGGTATCGTGAGTTGTCACTGTAGCTTAGTGGTTAGAGCATTGTTGCGCAATCTTAAGGTCGCGGTTCGACTCCCGTCGGTTATAACTCGCAGTTTTCTGGTTTATTGGTTATGTGTACAACTTACCTACAAACAAAATTCTGATACAATTATCGCTAGTACCTGAGCAGTAGCATTAGTAGAGTAAAAACCAGTGGCTTAAGTCTATAATACAGTTCTCAAAAGAAGCGTGTGGCACCATGCTACATCGGACAGCCAATATAATTTAAACGCACCGCTTGAGGTGTTGGTAGCCTTTACCCTCTTGTTTACTAAGGTTGCGACCTGTGTCAAACAAAAAAAAACTCTAAAGACCCCTTATAATTGTTTTCTCTAGCTCAAAGGTCCCTGTGTAAACACAAAACTTAATCCACATAGGATCACGTATTTCTAGTCATTTGGTGTAAAACTATTCTATCGGTGTAATAATGTTATAATCATTAGTAACTTGGGCAATTACCTAATTTTAGGGGCTCTTCATCTCCTGGAAATAAGTAAGACACTGCTTTTTAATAGGTTTATATTCATAATCTAATTTTGTAGCTTAGCTTAAAGGTGGTTAAAACCGGACCGCTATAGGTTGTGTTTAAAGCAATAAATGATTGGAACTGTTCTTATTATTGTGAACAGTAAAGGCGCCAATAAATATCCTCGTGAGCCCCCTATAGTTCGCTAAAATGAAAGTTGCGTTATCTTGAATACTGAATAAAAATCCTTTAATTGAGGATGTTAAGACTCGATACCTTAATAAATGATTTCCTGCCCCTTAAGGTGGGCGTCCGCTTTTTGGCGTGGTGAAAACCTAACAGAGGAATGAGTACAAAGCTCTATCAACGAAATAGGAACATCCAGTTGGGTCGACCCGTACAATGAGTTGTAATGCCGTATCTTATCAGTCACCTTTTTAACATCTAGAAGTACGAACGCGTTGACCTTTTACTATTTAAGGCTTTAGCTACGTGCTCAATAACTTTAATAGCTTGACTTATGCACTACTAGAAAATTTTCCCCTCTTAGCTCTTTCTTGGGTAGGTACTAGAAAGTTATTGTAAAACTATACACTTAACTAAAGCCCTGTTTTTTTAAGTTATCAAATACAGTTAAATCGCAGCGTTTATATAACTACGTTAAGTTATTTGATTAATTATCTCAATTAATTTTGGGTTATAACGTGTAATTAAGTTACCATTAAAGAAAAAATTTTTTTTAAACATGTAAGCAGCAGGCTTTATACAATTCGTTTTTAACTTTGTATCACTTTAACTTTTGCAATATTTTGATTTATTAGCAGGGAATATTCTGTATACCCCTGGGGCCTTGTTGTGACTAGCTTTCTATCACGAAAGGGCGGTAAAATCAGAGTGTTAAGTACAACCCATAGTAAGCCAAACCATGTAAAAACTGTTATATTTTCCCATACTCTAAAAAGTGATCGCCCACTTTGAGGGGGCAGGAAAATTAAGAGTCTATCAAGCTAAATAAGTAAAACCATCATACTGGGTCGAGAGTTTTTATCATAGCCGGTTAAAAGCACTGAAGCGCGCCTTAAGCTTGTGCGCGGCTGTTTTTTTTCAATCTTGGATTGTTAACTTTGCCCTCATAACTTCTATTAGAGTTTTAAACGAAAACAAAGTCTGCCGTATGTCCTCTCTCTGTGTTTGGTGCGAAATAACGGCGCGGTGTCGTGATAACATCATTTTTGAACTTAAAAATTAAATTTTTTTTAATAATCACCTAACAAAGTAGAATATTGATTGAAAAGCATTCAAGATATGAAAAACACGGGTAGATTTACAGATTTCAACTTTATTTTAACGAAGGAGAATAGCAGTCTTGAATCTATTATATATGGCGAAGAGATTCCAGAAATTGCTTCCGATGAAGAAGGCCTTGCAGGCACCTATGACCGTACTTTGCTTAACCAGGTTCTTATTTTACGGTTGCTGCAGCCAGCATAAATGGTGTCACACTTACCGCTGGGCTTATTTTCATAAAATCAATTCACTTTTGCTTTCTAACCTCCAAGAGTTCACCGGAAAGTTACACTGAAGAAAATAAGGAGTCTAGTCAGCAGATTTCAAAGGTTTTGGATGAGTTTGGAAGTAAATATTACAAATTGTTAATAGTTTTTTACTTTTAAATTGTTTTTTCACTTTCATAAACTAACTTGACAGTTATTTTCTAATTTTATATCTTATATTTTGCCTCTTATTAATGCGGTATATCAAGATAATAGCCTGGAGGGATTGAGTTTTGAACGGCCAGATGAAGTTAGTTAGTTAGTTAGAATTTTTACTGTTACATCTAGCACATATACTAACTTTCCAATCTATTTTTTAAAACTTTAAATAAATATAAAGTTATATATATATAAAACTATATATTCAGCTATTTCTAACTTAATAGCATTCCTTATGTTAACTAAATTATTTGTTTAAACCATTTTTTTACAGAAAATTCAGTCCGAAAATTTTACCAAGCTACAAGAGGTCCTCAATTAAATTTTTAAGAATAATTAGTAAAGCTATTCCCCTCTTGTTTTCAATAGAAAACTATTTGCCTAAATATACCTTTTTAAAATAAGTTAAAAGAGCTAACGTTACTTTGTTTTTAAGTTTGATATATAATTGTTCGATACCAAATCATGTAATGTGTGGTTGCTTTACCTGCAAAGTGTCGTTGATGTAGGAATATAACACAGTTATTATTCTATATTATTATAATAAGTGACTTCTCGTTTTAATCCGAGCCAAGAATTAGAATTTAACTTCTAAGTATTGAGTGTATAACTCTCACCTTTTGATCTGGTCATTCTTTAGATAATATAAAACATTTTAATTTGTATCAGATTGTTCAATTAAGTTTTCATGTGTAGTACAAACTTTATTTATTAAATACTTTTAATAGTGAAATTAATCCTTTTTAGAGTCACTAGAATTAAAGTTTATATAAATCCTAGAGGTAACGAAATTAATTAAAATTTATGGAAAAATTATTAAAATTTTTTTAAATATAACTTTTAGTGAGAATTTTTTTTTTGTTAAAAAACATAGTTAATGGTGATTTGAGCTTTTGAATTAATAAGTCAGAAGGGTTTACCTATAAAAAACTGGTTATTTCGTGAGACCATTGTGACTTTATTTGAATACTCTGTTAAATAATATATGAAAGAATGAAAAAGTAAACATTTAGTAGATTACTGTGAATCAGTTTATCAAAAAATTAACCTTTTTCTTGGAGTATGTAACGAATTTTGCAAACTATATTGTTTCAAGTTACTTTATAATTTTTTTTAAATTTTTTTATAGGTAAAAGAAACTTTAGAAGTCGAAAGTAAAAGTTTACAGCTAAATTCCAATAAGATTGACGACTTTTTTTTTCTTTTTCCGAAAGTATCATATATACATGTAATAAAATTTTTATTATTAACTACTCTAAAAAGGATTCTTTGCTGGTAGCTAAGGCCTTGAAGGTTAATACTAATTTGCTTTGATAAAGTTAAAAAGGTCTTACTATTCCGCTGCTCTCTAAAGATGATTAAGCACAGAAACCATGTGATAGCTCATTTAAAAAAACACGTGGAAAAACAAGACAGAAAACTCGAGTACTAATTTGTTTGCTGATATTTGTATTTATAAATAACAAGTAGCCCATGTTACACTAGCGACTGTTTAAATCAGCTTGAAAGACTTAAAGCCCAAGTTCGAACTAAAGATTTAATTATTGACAAAATTTTCAACGATCTGAAGGTTCTTGCTTTTTTACAAAATTCGTTAAATTATTATTTTAATTAATGTGAGTTGTTATAAGTACTTTTTACCAATTTTACATTTCTTATTTGAAAAGAAGCTTTCTTATTTTTTTTTTTAATTATTATTTTTTAATAGTTTGTAAGTCCAGCTATATAAATAATAACCTAATTATTGACATAAAGACTGCTAAACAGATCAGCGAGGTTTATTTGGGACAAATCAAGTTGTTTAAATTAAGCGGGATTGAAAAAAACTTTCTTAATGAAGAAATAAAAGGCTGTAGCTTCGGCCGCGATTGATCTATCGTCTATTTACCACAAAACCAGTGAAATATGTTTTTATTTAGAACTTGAAAGTTATTTCTACCAAAATATTACCCTTAAAAACTTTAGTAAGTTGTTTGTGACAAACCATGTAGTAGACCACTCGTTGACAAAATATTTAAGGTCAACCATGACGTATGGGTACACTTGTGTAGTTGCTCTAATTGCCTTAAAGTAATAATACTTGGGCAAAAGAAAGTTATAAAAACTCTTCAAAGGTAACGACCATACTGGGAATATTTGTAGCAATACAAGAAAAGTATTAGAAAAAAAGGAGGTTAACGAGATTATTTTCTCTTTTCCCGTTCTAAATTTTAAAGTCTAATATAAGGTTATGTAAGTCAAGGTTTTTAGTACTCGCTTTCATTAAATTACTACCTGTATGGACTAAAATTTAAAGAATCCACTTTTCTAACATAAACGAGCCATTTTAACAATTCTCTTAAAAACTTAGTTAATAAGTTGCATGGGTAATCTTAATCTTAAAAACTTTGAGTTATATACCCACCTTTGCTACAGTGCTCTTTTAAAATCAAGTTAGATCTTAAATAACTTGCTGTTAGCAGACATGCGTCACCTAAAAAATCTACCTAAAACCTTTATAAGGCATAAAAATTCATTGGTAGAGCAGAAGTTAAACCCAACCTTCCTTTATTGCAATCTCCAGATAAAAAAAGTTTTTAATAGCAACACAGATTTTCAAATAATATTTTAAGATCTTTGAAGCAACTGCACGTATTTAGTCTGCAACAAAAACAATTTTTTTTGTTGGTGCATCAGAGCAAGTTCCTCTTCTTCCAGGGCAAAGCTGTACTGCGCTAGAGAACACTTGGCTCTTGCTAATTCCTACAGAGAGTGTTAATCATTCAGCTTTATATATCCTATATGACTTTGTAGTCAAATACGTGCAGAACAAATCAACTACCAAGGTGTAATCTTCAGAGTTATTATATTCTAGCAGGGACAAGGTTTCATTATTAGATCCCTATTTTAGAAAAGTGTGATAAAAACTTGTGTTTGTTCATGTAAAAACCTTATAACAGTTAAAAAAAATTTACTAGAGTTGAAGAAAAAGGTGCAGGTTTAGCGGCACATTCCTTCCCACATGCAGCCTCAATATTAGCCAAAATGTCAGTATTTTCTATAGAATTGATAAATATATTATATAATATTTCCCCCCGTTTAAGTACAATAAAAATGCCTTTCTTTATTCTCTCAATTTTAAATTTTAGAGTTGAAATTTTTTCAGTGTACTTCTTTTTAAACCTCGAGTTGCCCTGAAGTTTCGCTTGAAGTTCTGTAGTATGAATTTAAATTTTTTCAATCTCCAATGAATGCACTTAATTAAATAACTTGATTGTACCTAACGGTATATAATATTAAAATCATAATAGTTATAGTTCTCAGAATTAACAATACATAATTTAACGACCAAACAACTCTAATATATACAGAGTGAATTTAAAAAGTTAAACAAATAACTTTTTATAGCAACCAACTTTTCCTTTAGCAAATCATTCTCCTGTTTTTTTGCCGCTAACTGGCCTGTAAAACCGGACAAGCGGGTTATAGCGACTAACTTTTGCTAATTGGTTAATAAAATAGCACTCACTTTTCAGTTTAAGGAGCTCGGAACTGCTGTTCTCATGTCTGGTTATGTAATAGTCGTTGATCAGCATGGCGTTGGTAGCCTGTAGAATTGGTAAACTGATAAGTAGACACAAATGTGGTTAAGTGTATTTACTTTCAACTCTTCTAACTCTTTGCCCTCTGCGGAGGTTATAGCGGTGGCCCCCCCGCGAGATGGTGAGGAGGCTGCTTGGAAAAACACATCACTTCCTTCTAATAAATATAAAGGGGAATAAGGTTTCCTCATTTATTGCTGTTTATGCTTACCACTGATGGCCTCCCTTCCATCGTCATATTTTCTTATTTCTTGCTCTCTCCCGCCGCTTTTATGATATTCTCTTGGTTTCTTTTCTTCTGTTTCCTTTCTCTTGAGTTCTTTTCTCTCTATCTCTTTTTTTTCTTGTTCTTCTTCGACTTCTTTGCTTTTTCGCTCAGTAATAGCCCGTTCCTTCTCTTTCTTCGCCTCCTCGAGTTTGTTATCTCCAATCTCTTCTTTTCTTTTATAAACTTCGTTTGGTTTCCCAAATTCTTCCAATTTTTTCTTTATTTCAACTTCTTGATTGGCAACTAGCTCTTTTTGCCTCTCTCGCGCAGTTGTAACGGGACAAAAACTTTTTTGAAGTCTTTCAGAGCCACCTCAGAGATAAATATAAAACTGAATATCAGTATATTTTTATAAATTATTAGAGGAACCAAAAGTAAAGTCTTCAACGCTCCTAGAGTCGTTTTCATCTTTCTTTTCAAAAATATAATTTAAAGATTCTACCAACTCAATAAGAATATAGTTAAACCTTTTTATCGACATCCTTTGGAGTTACTAAACTCTGCGCATTTATTCTGTTATAGACAATTATGAACTTTAAACATTATTATATAAATTATGTAGATCTAGAATACTTTACAATAAAGGGTAAACTTTAAGATTATATAAGTTAAATATAACTCGCAAGGCTTTAAATATTTTTAAAAACTTTTTAAAAAAAAAATAAATAATAGTCAGGTTTTTTTTTATTTAACCTTAAAGTTTTCTTAGTTTACTTATAATAAAAAAAACAAAATCAAACACAAAAGCATCGCCGGACGTTGTAAAGCTTTTTGAGGTGCTTAGATTACTCAGGCCACTTAAACAGCTAAGCGCGTCTTCCTCCTAAAATAAAGAGATATAGAACGGAATATAATCTAAAATTATAAGTTAAAAATGTTAAATTAGAAATATTAAGATAAAAACTTTAGAAAATCAAAGTAAAACCAAATTAACAATAAAATCTTTAACATAAGTACATATCAAAAAAGTTTAGCATCCAACCTTAACTTAAAAATTATTATTAAAGCAACTATAAAATACCAAATTTTTTTTAGAAGAATTCAAAAGTTTCCAATTAAGTGCGCTTTTTATAATTTTTAATAACTTATAAATAAAAAGTAAGAACGTTTCAAGGGAAAATCAGTTATTTTCTAATTATTATTTATATATTAATAATTTTTTGCTACACAATTGATTAAAAAAAATTTAACCATTTTATTAGCCACTAATTAAAACCTTTTATAACTTCGATACGATTTTTATTAACTAATATAAACGCTGCAACAACTTAACTAGAAAAGATTGCCTCATACTATAAAATAAACCGTAAAAGTAATCTCTAAAGCTTAAATAAGCCCTGTGCAATGATAATCACTTATAATATTATAAAAATAATTGAAGAAACTAAAAAAGAGAACCTTAACATCGTCTTTGAGAACATGAGCAACAACGCTCGCATGGAGGTAACACCTGTGTATAATAGAAAAAAAGATATCGCCAATAGTAACTGAAAATAGCATGAAAAAGACGCAACAGTAAAATTACTAAAATTTTAAGGATAATAGTCAGAATCGATCTAATCAAGAACAAAATAACTCTTTTTTAAAAATTAAAGAGCCAGCTTCACAGAATAGAAACAATGTGCCAAAATATAAGTTTAGTCATCGATAAAGAGGAAAATATGAAATATAACCACGGGATACGCTGATATATAAATTTTATTAAAGTATAATAACTAAAGCTAGTAACGCAAAGAAAGAGGAGAATTTAAATATTCAATATATATATATGATATACAACTTTAGAATAGCCCACTTGCTTTCTTTAGGCGCTAGTTCGACAGTTAGATTTTTTTCTTGAGCTATATTAATAATAAGTAAAGAGAGTGCTCAAAAACGCTATAGAAACGTGAAAAATAAGTAAATATTAACTTGTTTACGTATTAAAATTTTTTAAAAAAGTTTATACTAGCCTATGATTTCAACCAACTCTTTACAAGGGAAGTTTACTCTCAGTTAATGTTAGATTATGATTAAAGTTACTACAAATATTTAGCTTTTTTACTACTCTCTAACAGTAAAACAACAGAAAACTATTTTGTTCAAACATTAACGGTTTATTAAGCGTTAAAGTTGCTGCTTTTATAAAGTAAAACATCTCAAAACAAAAATACGAAACGATCTGGTCTCCTATTGGTTTTAGAGATGAATGAATTAGTAACAAAGTATATATAGCACGAATATGTTATAATTAAAAATTTATTAAAAAAAATAATATACAAATATGAACTAAACTATTTACCAGCTCCGAACCCCCTCAAAAATTTAGTAGATATTAAGGACAAACCAAAAATATTAAGGTGAGGGCTCAAATCCACCACGTTAGCGCAGACTTTTTTCCTTAAAAACATTTTATCCTTGTTGTTCTATTATAAGGTATAGTTAATTTTATAATTTAGAAAAAAAAATTATAAATGTTTTCAACCCAATTTTAATGTGATAAAACAATAATAGTCTTTTTTCTCACTAACAGAACATATTATGCATTGCAAACATTATATATTTATTAATGACTCGATATCTAAAAGTATATTCAAAAAAACTTATTCGTAGTTTAATTTTTTTTATGACCAGTAGTGAAATTAAAGTTTATAACTGACAATGAAAAAAACTACACGATACTATATATAAAGTTAACCTTAACGTAGACCAAAGCAATCTTGTATTCCTTTTTTTCGAATTGATTATTGGGTAACTTTAGTAAAGTAGAATTCATTGAAAGTTCTTCATTAAAGTTGATAACCCCTTTCTTATTATTCTTTTTGAGCGAAAAAATACAAAGTAAACGCTTAAGTTACAATTTCAATTTAGCGTTAATAAAAATTTAATTATTTATTAGTATTTAAAGAATAAAGTTTACAGTCATGGGTATGAGCAACTTTTCGGTGGTCTCCTGGTTTTTCGTTTTTTTTTTCCAATTAATAGTAAATCTGCCATCCAATAAGGCACTTTCTTTTTTAAACTAAAAAGGGTATTACCAAAGTATTTGTTTGCATTAAACACTACTTAACTGTTACTTAAGAATAATAAATTTTATATTACGATATAACTTTCTTAAAAAACCAAAACGTTACTCTGGAAGCAAAGTAGTTAAAAATTTTTCGAAATAAAAAAAAATTAATTGAATACATCCATCAAACGAAGAGAAATACTACCTCTAATTCACACTTTTTTATTTTTAAAAAAATTTGCAACTGCGTGGCTGACCTTCCGCTGCCAAATAATACTCCCCTTTCCTTTTGCAATTTTAATTTAAGTTTTTTCATATTTTTTGCTCAAAGAACGTGTACAAAGCAACAATATCAAAAGTCGAGGATAAAATCCTAAGGTCAAGGCGTACTGCACTCTAAACAACTAAATTAGGAAATACTGTGGTTAATGGCTGAAGGTTGAAAACCCTTTATAGTGTCCCCACCATGCTAAAAGGTGGGCGCCCGCCTTACGGGGCAGCAACTCATTATTAAGGTACCAAGTTCTAACAATGCAAATGAGTAAATCACTAAAATCTGTACTTTTTCTTAGAATATATTTTGAGGTGAGTCCTAACTTTCTTAATAATTATAATTGTATTATGATAAATTTGAATAGGCCTGCTATATCGTGATATATATTTAAGGTATATAACAAATTATCAAGTTAAGTTAAATATTCGTTATCGGAGGAAAAAGTTAATGGATTTTAAGTATTGGAGGTAGTGTTGTTAATGTGGCGGTCATATGCCTCTACTCACTGTTCATGACAAGCTTAAACCGAGTGCTAATAAGTTTACTGCTTTCAACGTCTTTAATAGTTTTAAGCGCAATAACAACAATAATTTTTCAATCTATGTTTTGCAGGGCGGGCGTAGAAATTCCTATCTATTTTTTAATAAAAGTAATAATTTCTTTTTATGAAGCTTTAGAAGCAAAAATATAGAACTTTGCTTGGTTAAGCACACTGCTACGCAAAGCACGGAAACTACGTACGTGATAACCTTTAAAGATACTACTGTTCGAGAATTAAAGTTTTTTAAGAACTTAAGTTTATACAAAAATACGCGCTTATTAAGTATAAACATAAAAATTAATAACAAAAACTATTATATTTATAATACTTAAATACTACTAAAAAGGGTTAAAAGAATAGTAAGCGCCCTTTATGTAGAAAAAGATCTTATCAAAAGTCACATAGTAACATATAAACACATTTATAACCATAATAATACAACCACTAGTAAAGTTATTAGTTAAATATTAGGTTAGACGACCAATGTTCATCTCTTTAAACTCTCTTTTTAGGTTTCAAATAAACCTTTTTTAATTCTGTTAAGTATATAAAATGAATAAATAATTTTTTTTTAAAAGGGTATAAACTTTACTCTTAATCATTCTTCAAATCTAGAATTTTTTTTCGTAGACGGTTTACAATAAATTCAGATTCTTGTTCGAGCACATTTTCAAGTTCAACTTTTTCTCTATTGACCTTACACACGGTTACGAATTAGACTTAAATACAGTAGACTATTAGAAATAATATTTATTTAACAACCCTCTTGAAGCGGAAAATCTACACTTACCTTTTCTACCTCAGCTTTAAGTCTCTCGGTCTCCCTTAAACTTTTATTGAGGTCATTGTTTAAACGAAGAGTTATGTTTAACCTTTCTTCTTCTAGTTGTTTTTCAAGATCACTTTTTTCTTTATAAAGCTTTATAAGTTTTAAAAAAGTAAACTATAAAGGTCGATTTTTAAAACTAGAAAAAAAACTTGATCAAGCTTTTTTTGAAGCGAGTTAGTCAGATATTCTTCTTCTTCCTCAATAGACAAGATAAGATTTTCCTTTTCGGTTCTAAAGTCTTTAATTTTCTTTAAAAAGGTGTTAGACATGTATTCCTCTTCTTGCTCGACTTCTGAGTGCTATAATAACGTATGTTTATCATTAAAATAGTAACTTGTAACTTTTAAGATGTTTAAGTATATTAATAGTTTTATATAAATAGTTTACACCGACCAAAGCAACTCTAGATGCCTTCAACGCTGAAATTTCGTTAGTTAAAAATTTGGCTTTCTCCCTTTCTTTGGAAAGTTCAGAAGTAAGTCTCTTTACTTCTAGTGTAAGTTCAGAAATAAGTTCGTCTTTATTTAGAGCCAAGGAAGCCATTTACAAAAATGTGCTGATGCAGTGAAAGTTTACAAATTTAATAGTATGAAGTTTGACCTGCGGTGGTAAGAAGTTTGCTGGTAAACAGGTCGTTCAAACGCACCTACGGGGTAACAAAAGTAAACATTTAAGGGCGGTTTGATCCGAAAAATAAGGGAAAGCATAAGCTTAGTCGGCGAACAAGAGGTCAGACTAAAGCGTGTGAAATTTACTTTATCCAATCAGAAATTTTTACTTAGATAAAATGTTTAAACCTTAGTCGGGAAAGAACAAAGTGCCTATTAATTATAGTTCCTCTTGGAGATACAAGGAAGTTCATCATTAAAAAATATTGTGGCAAAACAGGTTTCCCCCGTAAATATTTGTTATTATTCCAATAGCAAATGAGTTGTGAGACTTGAACAGCTTTATAGCCGTCACTACCCATTGGTTCGTAGTTTATTTTTGTATACGTATATTTATTTGTTTCAGTAATAATTAACTTCCGGAAGGCACCTCCTGACCGGGGAGGTGGGGTTGGTCTTGTATCTGTGGCATTCCTCTCCCTGTAGGAATTCGGGCCCTCTACTTTTTCCTCTTTTCTCCAGACCTCTGATATGCCATCATAACTCTTCGGGGCCATTACTGGTGGCCCCTTGTGCCTCAACAGCTCTCTAAGGAAGGAACACAGATTAATAGATTTACGATATTTTTGGATATGGGCCGTAGTTGGACAGTAAACCCCCATCCCTCGACTCCCCTTCTTTTTTTTGGTGTACTTGTCTAGCTTGCTTAGAGAAGTTGCTTGTTCTCCAACTACTGTCTACGTTAAGCAGGTTAAAAATTCATATTAAACGAAGGTTTAAGTTTATACAGGTCAAAAAAATATGTAAATGTTAAAAAGTTAAATTGTCTCACATCTAGCACGAAAGAGAGCTGCAAAAGCATTACGCTCCTACATTACGTTCCTAGTCGTTCAGAAATCCCAAGATAATAGGCTTAACCTGAGATGTAAATTTCACCTCTATAAATTAATCTTCTTTCTCCATAGTAAGGAGCTCCTTGAAAGTAAAAACTAATTATATTTCTACAAAAGCAAAGTGAATGAAGTAGAATTTCTATTGAACCCGTTGAAGCGACAATGAACTTAAAGATCCCAGCCTGATTCCTTGAAGAAACCCTTTAAAGATAATGAAACCTATTGCATTTTATCCGACTTTGAAGATAGGTTTAAATAATTGATCGCAAGCTTCACTCATATAGCGAAAGCTACACCTCACAAAGCATAAAATTTAATAAACTTATCTACGGGCTTCTGGAAAAGAGAATTGGAGCAAATTGAGGGATGGTTAACAATTGCCTACAATTAAATTAAATGACTAAGGGGAGGTCTTGAAAGCATTAACTAGGACCAGTTACCATGGTAAATAAAACGCAAAAAGCGTACCATGCTTACTTAAGAGAAATAAAGAAGACTTTATGTAAAAAGAATGGCCATCCTAAAAGAAAAAGCAAATTATTCGCCAATTTTATAAAACAAACACTCCTTGCAAACAGGTTATTAATAGAGAAACAGCTTTTACTTCAGCACCTAGTAACAGTATTATATATAACGACAGACAGTATACTAGATATTAGCTGTCGTGTGGTTTATAATAGGAAACTTGTTGAAAAGTATAGAAAAGCAAGAACTGTCGGAGATTTCGAATGCATGAAGAAAAAAGTAAGTAAAGCGATTCGTAATCCCGAGTCTAATATTGTATTGTAAGCGTGGAAAAAGTCTGAGTAATCTTACAATATTTGATGTCAAAATTGCATTTTTAGTAAAAAAAAAAATTGCCATCGGGAAGAAAAATTGGTTTATATTATAAAATATTTAAAACTTTTGTAACCATAATTTAGCACGAGTGGCGCGAAGCATTGGGCATGTTGAGCAAATTAGAAGTGCTAAACTGATTAAAAAGCTGGGATTGAAATATATGGAGATAGTTAGAGACATAATTTGAAAAATTTCCGCAAAAACTATTTAAAAGAAAGTAAAGTAGGGGGAGACACCGTATTGCCATTTAGACTTTTGAAGAATATTGACTTAACCTCCACGGCCTTTGATCCCCCCCTACCCTTTTCATCCTTGAGCGGCGTAAGATGAGCTCGACATATTCTCTGACTAAAATAGCTTAATATATGGCATACCTTTGACCTTAAAGCCGTAAGAGTTTTTTGAAATATTGCGCAAGTAGTACATAATAAACGAATAATAAGAGCACCAAACACGGGCTGGTAAATAATAATAATTATTAAACTAAATAATGTAAAGCAAGAATAAGCTAAAAAAAGTACAATCAAAACTAAGGAAACAAAAAAAACTTTACTGGCCTTAAGCTTCTCGTCTAAGACTTAAAAGTAAGGAAAAATTTAGGTGTTTGAGGTAATAAACACGTGCACAAATCCATTACTTAAAGCAATAAAACTTGAATTTAAGTCATTGTAATAATTATTATTATGGTAACGACAAGTATTTAATTAGAAACCAAGTCACAATTAATAATTCTGTGCAATAGCCAAATTTTCTTTAAACGATTATGTAGAGACTTAAGTGTCTGTGAAAAAAGCCAGCTAACTTTGAGCAATATCGTATAAATACAAAACAGACCGAGTCTCAAAACTTAGCGTGACAAGTCTTAGTTGCATAATTTTTAATTTTTTTTAAATATAAAGCAGAAGTACGAGAAAAAAAATGTACTAATAGCATTTCACGAAAGCGTCGATAGCATGCGCCTATCCAGGGTGTGCTTGAAAGTATTCAACTGCGGCTCGATCTCTACTTGGCTGTAAACAGTGAACGCCTGATATTTATAAAAAAACATTAAAGTTGCGAATATCCAAGTCTTTATGAAAAGTTGTTGTTGCGAAAAAAGTATGACGCACTTGTTAAAAATTTATTTGTTTACGCACTTGCAGTGCTGCCACAGCTTTCATCGCATTGTATGTCCAAACAAGTGAAGCGCATGCTATGAGATGGATTCGTACAATTAGCACATATAAGCATAATTTTTGCGCAAGGCCACGCTGCTATACGCGCAAAAAGACGTGTGTAGTGTGCTTGTGTAGCTGTCTTAACTTTCGCTGCGATCTTCGCGACGGAGTCTTGCTTTTTTTTATTTATTCTTTATATAGTTGCTCGGTTAAATCAAGAGTGACTGCTTTTGCTAATAACTCAAAATATATTGCGTAATTAGTATTTAGTTTCCGCAAAAAAATCTTGTTCTACTGAAGTAGATCGAAAAAAAGATAAAAATTATCGGTTTTTTACTGGCACTGTATCCTTATCCTCGACCACAGTAGAACTTGGAGTAAGGCAATTTTCCGGAGGCTGGGGTGCAATAGGGAAGAAAACCTACAAAGTCTTAACATATTTAGTTTTTCTTTAGTAGAGCATTCTAATCACTTTAAAGCCAATAATTTATACTAAGTTTACCTATTTGCTCTGATTATAGAGGTTACTGCTTAAAATGGTATAGTAATAATTATGCTAATTCTTATAAAAAATTACACTTGTAACATCTTACAACTGCCTAATTATATGGACTCCTAGTTCCTACAAGGTTCACCAGCCTTTAGCTAAATTCTAGAAGATAACTCTTCTCTATTGGTAAACAAACTGACACTTTGAGTCTGTTTAGTTATCATGAAATAGTGTCATGCACTAGTACTTACTTTAGAGTTTACCTACTTAGGTACTATCACTGTTTTGATTATTTATTTGTTTTTAATTAAATAATACTTCTAAAACTACCGAGTAGAAACACATAATTAAGCTTCCCAAAATCTTGTATATAGAGGGGGCTCCTCTAGTTCCAATGAGGAGCATGTGCTTGCATCCTGCTTTTTCTCTGTAGCTTTGTCTTATTTTTGCGAGGATAAGCTCTGGTATTCTTGACCAAAGCGAGCTTGGCTACTCAACTGTCATAAATTAGGGTTCTCCCTCAACTGTATAGGCCTTTATATAGTGTATTAAAGTTCTTTTAGCTTATATCTTTCGAGCCGCATTTTAGTCAAGAGCGCTCTTTAGCGTAGTGAGGATTGCCTTGTACCCTAGGATAGGGTGTGCTGTCGTTTAACAACATAAAAAGGTCGCTCTTAGATAAATATGCGCCTGTTTGAATGGTACTCCGCGGCGAAACCTATAATATCTAATAGGTATGATGGGTTGCTGTGGATGCCAAATTTTAAATGGAATTCTAGTTCAACCTGGGTTTAACTCGGCTAGGGACATGCTACCCTTTATTATGAGTTAGGAACGGCTTACTTGGGTTTTGAGCTAACGCAACTCGCTTGCACTCATCGGATGTGCTGGGTTAATTTAAAATATTTCTTTGGCTTTGTAAGCACGCTTTTGTCTACCTAAAGTAATTACCTTTAAGTTCAGTATTAATTGGTAGAAGAAACAAGCTGGAATATACGACTTTATTTTCTTTACTAGCCAATATCTCACCAGGAAGCACTGATTTTACTTATACATTCCAAATAAACAACACTCATATAGCTCCTGGCTAGACACATAATGGGATATTAAGGTTTTCAGAACAGCGTTCGTTTCTACGCCTATTATTTAGGGGTAATGACCTAATTGTTAACTGTGACCACCGCGGGATACTCTTTGGCAATTTTTTAATAACTTATGCATAGGATGAGGTAGGACTTTTATTGTGGTTCCTTGTCTGAGAAATAGTAAATTAGGAGCCTTTGAAATAGTGATACACTCTTCAGGGAGATGAGAATTGCTTTTTGTTTTAGGTTACTATATTAGAATTTATGAGGGCGAGGTTTGAAATACGCGACCACCAAAGACCGAAAAAGAGAGTCGAGTGGGTGGGAATTGCACGCACGGCCTTGAGTATGCCCGTCAATGCTCTTAACCGCTGGGGTACAAAGACAACTCTCGATTCCGGCATGATGGTTTTACGTATTTAACCTGTTACACTACACATACTAGCGTCTACCTAGTCACAAGTTAGCACCTACAGGTAAACTAAGGACGGACTTATGTCATCCTATATGATATCCGGGGGTCATTAGTATATATAATTTAAAAAGAAA